ATCGTTCATAAAAATTTCTATGTATTTTCCAATTATATCAGAAAAATAGACAACATACATCTTTGAAATGTGGTTGGAACATTATACAGACTAAAAGATATGCAATTAAAGCAAAAGTACCAAATGAATAAGTGAAAGTTATGTTTTATTGATCTAAAAGCTTCATCTAAATTTAATTATAACTAGAGTATCCATCTAGAAAAAAATAATAAAATTTCTAGCTAATTTTTCTAGAATTTGATGAATAAATGACAAGAAAAAATGATCTTTTCTAATAACTAAATTTAATTTTTTATAATCAATGCAAACCCTCAAACCAATAGTTAATCTTGATTGTATTTTATCCCTATTTTCATTTTTTTATAACTATGATCTCTGATTTTTTGGCACCACTTATGTAAGACTAACTCATTTGCTATCTGGAATAGGATAAATAATATCAACAGTCAACCACTTTAATTTTTTTTTTTACACTTTCCATCATGTTAGTATTTAATCTTCGTTGTGGTTCCCTACTAGTTCTAACCCCCTCTTCTAGATATATACTATGCATACATACACTCATATCAATGCCCCTAAGATCATCTGTTTTCCAACCAATTACCTTTTTATTTTTTCAAAGTACATCTAATAATTCTTCTTCATGTTCATTGACGTGACGCAGTCGTTGTATAGTAAATCATGTAAATTTAAAAATTTTAAAGCTAGAAAATACGAATTTTTGGATATTTAGAAGTATTTTTGAACAAATATATCAAATAGAATTCAATAAAATTTCCAAAAAAATAGTAATTTTCCAGGCCAATCAAAGGGATGTAATATAATATATGGTAATTATTCATAATTTTTCTCAAATAATACTATTTTTTATGAATTTTATACTAATAAATGAAAAAGAAATATATTTAAAATTCACAAAAAAGGGAAATAAGGGTGCGGACGTTAGGATGATGTTAGCACCCGACAAACGCGAATTGGGTAGAAACAAAGTTCCGCCTGACGATTCTTACGTAAGCGATTACAGATAATTTAATTGATCAAATTAAGATTTGTAAAAGCTAGAAGAATCGTAATTGAGTGAAGTATATTTTGGTAAATTAAAATCACACAAATTATCACTAAATTAAGCATAAAGTAAGTTGAAAGTCAGAAAACAGAGTTCCGACGTCGCGGCGGCGCTGCGTCGGCGATGCACCGAAATCCTGAGCATTCGGGAGGATAGTCGTGCAGTGTCCATGGCCTCGAAGGCTCTCCTTGGACAAGGACGATGTGGGCAATCTCTAGATCTCCTTGCGAAGTCTAGAGATCAATGAAATGGGTTGTCGAATCGTCTCCGGCGGCTGTCACCCGACGGAGCAGAAAAATGGTGACTTTGCAGCTCTCCGGCGGCTGTCACCTGACGGAGAGGAGCTGGATGGAGGTGGGGCGCGTTTCAGGGAGCTTCATCCTCAGGCCCGCGCAGCAAGAGGAGGTTCTTCATTGCATCTGGTGCGCTCTCAGGAGGTGACAACTCGTCTCCCAGCGGATCATTTTCTTCTCAACAACGGCTTGTTCGTCGATCAATCGGAGATGCTTTACTCGATGGATTCGCGATCCTTTTATCGCGAATCGTTCAGCAATATTAGTAACAATGCTCCGCGAATCGCGTTGACGAGATTTTTGCCGATGATCTAGTAATCTGATTGCTTAATCCTTCAGCGGTGATCTGCAAGAAAGTCGCGATAATCAGATAAAAATATGAATTTTGGCTCTGGGAGGATTCAAAACCCGCGCCGGTTGCCCGCCCCTTCTAGGGAAGGCGACGCGGGTTTAGTCCCACATCGGTTGTGCGCCGAATTTTCGAGCGAATATATAGTAATGTTAGATCTCTAAGTAAGTCCCTTTCTCACATGTGTACAACCACTCCTTGCCCCATAGCCGGCTGGCCACCGGTGATGTGGAAGGGGGGTGGCGCACACACGTGCCCCTTCGGTCCAAGCCGCTCAAGCCCCTGCTCATGGCTACTTCTCGACTGCACTTCCGGCCCGCTTGCAGGCCCAGCTGGCCAGCGGGTTCCTCCATTTTGTAATATTTTTATTTCTTTTTCTTCATGTATCTCAAAAGTAGGACTGTAAAAATCATATAAATTCATATAAAATCACATAATTACCCAAAAATTAACATTAATCAATTGAAAACCACTTTTCACACTTTAACATGAATATAAGTCTATTTATCATGAGTTAAGGCTAAAATTATATTATTTACTAATTATTAACTCATGATAATGAAGACTTATCATTCATCACTCAAATTAGTTATAATAATAACAAGAAATGAATTATTTTCCTCCAAAGACATATTTTAAAACTAAGGGAAGAAGTTTCAGCTCTAAATTTAGATGATCTTCTTCTTTCTTTTCTGTCAAATTTATATTCTCTATTTCCTCTAATTCTTTTAGCACACAGTCATCAATAACATCTGGATCATCAAAATCATCTAAAAGATCTATGATATGACAATCATATATTTAGGATTTTTTAAGATCATTTGATACCTCTAAAATTTTAATTTCTACTAATTGATCTTCACGTAAAATTTTTGCAATACTTGTGAGAAAATCTATATTTATCTTTGTTGTATGCAAAAATTCTCTCCCTAAGATGATTAGTGTATCATAAAATTGTTCATTAAAATCCATTTCCAACACTACAAAATCAATTAAAATATCACATTTTTTAAAATACCTTTAGAATGTTTTATGGATTTATCAGCAAATTGTAAGGTAACAGTAGAAGGTTCAAGATCAAAAATATTAAATTTATCACAAATACTTGTAGGTAATAAATTAATACTAGTACTGGTGTTAAGTAATGCATTTTGAAAAATGAATTCACCAATATCACACGAAATTAAAAGGGCACCAGTATCTCTCAATTTGTATGGTAATTGATTTAATAATAAATTACTAGCATGCATAAATAATTGTTTTTGTCTAGGTGCCGTTTTTAATGTATACATTTCTTTCAAAACTCTAGCATATTTAGGAATATATTCAATGATAGTAAGTAAAGGAAGACTAATTTGTACATCTTATAAAATTTTCTTTATTTCTTCATTATGTTCCTTTTTCTTTCTTTGTCTAAGCTTTAGGGCTTTAGGAAATGAAAGGGTTGTTCTTTCTTTTGTAATTTCCTTGATAGAATTTATAAAGTCATTTTCCATGTCTATTTGATTTTGTTTTGGACTATCCACGTTTTCTTTTCTTCTAATATTTGGAGATAAAGATCAAGTAAAATCTTCCTACTCCTTAATGCATTCATTGTCTTAACAATTTCATTTCGTAGGTTTTTTCTTAGATTCATGCTATTAGACTTCCCTTGTTGAAATCTTATTATTGGGTAGTTCCTTGGATTTTTTATGGGCTGACTAGGTAGTTGTCCCTCTTCTCTCTTATTCCTAAGAGCTTCTATAATTTATTTCTACTGCAACATCATTTGATTCATTATTTGTAGCATCCTTTGGCTCATTTTCTGCATCATTTCCATAGCATCAGGTTGGGTTTGAGAGGACTGATTTTTTTGAAATTTATTTTTCTATTTTGAACAAAATTCAGAGTTTGAATTGGGTCTAAGTGCTTCTAAATTTTGAATATTATTTGGGTCTCTCCACAAAAAATTATTTTTCAAATTAGGATTATAAGAATTAAAAAAATACTTTCTATTTTTATTAAAACCGTGGGCTACTTACACTTCTTCTTGCACATGATGAAATGATTGATCTAAATTATAACATTAGAATTCAGAATAATCATTTTCACTATACATAAGACATGTACTATTTGAATTAAATTGAGGGTTAAGAGGCTTTTTAATATTGTCAATAAGTAAATGAAGTTTATTTAATATTTGATTAATTTGATTAACTTTACTTCTTAAATTAAATTTATTTTGATGATGCAACTCATAAATTACTCTCTTCTTATCCTTGTCATATAACTCAAAAGAGACTTGATCTTTAGAATTTTTACTTCAATTCTCATAAATATTGTAAATCTCATCAAAGGTTTTCTCTATAAAAAGTTCTCCACATATAGAATCAACCATATTTCTATGTTGTTCTAATAATCCATCATAAAAATTATATTGAGTTGTCACTTGAGTATAACATGATGAGGACACTTCTTAAATAAATATTTGATTTTTTTCCATATCTCATGCAAAGTTTTTCCAAGCCTTTGAGAAAAACTCTATATATGTTTCTCATATTTGGAGTTTTTTCTAAGGGGTAAAATTTTCAAAAAAAGGCATGTTCTATATCTTTCCAAGTAGTTAATTCTCTATCTAATGTGAATAATTGACGTGACTCAGTCGTTGTATATTAAATCACGTAAATCTAAAATTTATAAAACTAGAAAATACGATTTTTCAGATATTTAGAAGTATTTCTGAACAAATATATCAATTATAATTTAATAAAACTTCTAAAAATAGCAGTAATTTTCCAAGTCAATCACAGGGATGTAATATAATATTTGGTAATTATTCAGATTTTTCCTCAATGAATACACTTTTCTATGAATTTTATATTAGAAAATGAAAAGGAAATATATTTAAAATTCACGAAAAAAGGAAATAAAGGTGTGGACGTCAGGACGACATTAGCGTCCGGCGAATGCGAATCGGGCAGAAACAGAGTTCCGCCCGGCGGTTCTTACGTAAGTGATTACAGACGATTTAATTAATCAAATTAAGATCTGTAAAAGGTAGAAGAATCGTAATAGAACAAAGTATATTTTGGTAAATTAAAATCACAAAAAGTATCACTAAATGAAGCATAAATTAAGTTGAAAGCAGGAAAACAGAGTTCCGGCGTCGCGACGGCGATGCGTCGACGATGCACCGGAATCCTAAGTGTTCGGGAGGATCGTCGTGTAGTGTCCACGGCCTCGAAGGCTCTCCTTGGACAAAGATGACGTGGACAATCTCTAGATCTCCTTGCGAAGTCTAGAGATTAATGAAATGGGTCGTCGAATCGTCTCTGGCGGCTGTCACCCGGCGGAGTGGAAAAACGGCGACTTTGCGGCTCTTCGGTGGCTGTCACCCGACGGAGAGGAGCTGGATAGAGGTGGGGTGCGTGTCAGGGAGCTTCATCCTCAGGTCCGCGCAGCAAGAGAAGGCTCTTCATCGTATCTGGTACGCTCTCAGGAGGTGGCGACTCGTCTCCCCGCGGATCGTCCTCTTCCCGACGATGGCTTGTTCGTCGATCAATCGGAGATGATTTACTCGATGGATTCACAATCCTTTTATCGCGAATCGTTCAGCAATTTTAGTAACAATGCTCCGCGAATCGCGTTGACGAGATTTTCGCCGATGATCCAATGATCTGGTTCCTTAATCCTTCACTGACGATCTGTAGGAAAGTCGCGATAATCAGATAAAAAAATATGAGTTTTGGCTCTAGGAGGATTCGAACCCGTGCCGGTTGCCCGCCATTTCTGGGGAAGGTGATGCGGGTTTAGTCCCACATCGGTTGTGCGCCGAAGTTTCTTGCGAATATAAAGTAATATTACATTCCCAATTAAGCGCGCGTGTACGACCACTCCATGCCCCACAGTCAGCTGGCCACTAGTGACGTGGAAGGGGAGTGGCGCACACGTGCCCCCATCGGTTCAAGCCACTCGAGCCCCTGCTCGCGGCTACTCCCCGACTGCGCTTCCGACCCGCTTCCGACCCGCTTGCGGGCCCGGCTGGCCGGCGGGTCCCCCCATTTTGTAATATTTTTAGTTTTATTTCTTTTTCTTCATTTATCTCAAAAGTAAGACTGTAAAAATCATATAAATTTGTATAAAATCACATAATTACCCAAAAAATCACATTAATCAACTGAAAACCACTTAAACACTTAAACACAAATATAAGTCTATTTATCACGAGTTAAGGCTAAAACTATATTATTTACTAATTATTAACTCATGATAATGAAGACTTATCAATAATCAATAATTAACTTTGTCCCTAAGTGTATGAGGAAATAATTTCATCTTAATAATTTTCGGTGTAACTTGAAAGAGATTAACTAAATCATAGATCATATAATTTTTTTTAAAATGATGATGAGATTCCTCTAAAAGTAATCTATAAAAATTAGGGAGCATTTAGAAAATTCTTAGATTTATTTTAAATTTAATAGTGGGTGCTAATGGGACTCTAATATTGGATGCTCTTTGAAATGAATTAGGGATATAATGATTTTTTATGGCCATCAAATTGTTCTCAGTTTGACTTGTACTTCCTTCAAGATCCATCAAAATTAATTTTTCTTTTAGATTTTTAATTTTGAATGAAATAGTGAAATTTTTTTCTAACCTTGGATGCAAGGATCTTCCACCATGATAAAAATCAATAAATTCGAGAATTTTTTTAATAATTATTACCCTCCTTTAGTATACTCTAGTCCTTGCCTTGTTGCTCTTCGTTTTTTTTACTACAAGAAGAAAATAAAAACAAGAGTTAATTTTTTTGTGTATACTCTAAGAGAGAAATAGAAAAATATTAAATATTATGTAATACATCCCCAGCAATGACGTCCAAATTTGACATAACTTAGTCGTTGTATAGTAAATCATTAAAATTTAAAATTTATAAAACTAGAAAATACTAATTTCTAAATATTTAGAACTATTTCTGAAAAAAAATATATCAATTATAATTCAATAAAGTTTCAAAAATAGTGAGAATTTTCTAGGTCGATCACAAGATGTAATATAATATTGGGTAATTTTTTATTTTTTTTCAAAGAATAAGATTTTTTTATGAATTTTAGATTAAAAAATAAAAATGAAATATATTTAAAATTCATGAAAAAGAAAAATAAGGGTGTAGATGTCAAGATGACATCAACATTCAATGAATGCAAATCGGATGGAAATAGAGTTCCACCCAATGATTCTTACGTAATTGATTACCGACAATTTAATTGATCAAATTAAGATATATAAAAGTTGGAAGAATCATAATTTAATGAAGAATAGTATGATAGATTTAAATTTGACAAATTATTACTAAATGAAGTGAAAATTAAGTTGAAAGTAGGAAAATAGAGTTCACTGTCGTGACGGTGATGCGTTGTCGATGCACTAGAATTATGAGCGTTTGTAAGGATCATTGTGCAGTGTCTATGGCTTTGAAGACTCTCTTTAGACAAGAACGATGTGGGCAATCTCTAGATCTTTTTGCGAAGTCTAGAGATCAATGAAATGGGTCGTCAAATCGTCTCCAGCGACTGTCACCTAATCGAGCAGAAAAATGGTGACTTTGTGGCTCTCTGGTGGCTGTCACCTGATGGAGAAGAACTAGACGAAGGTGGGGCGTGTGTTAGGGAGCTTCATCCTCAGGTCTACATAGTAAGAGGAGGCTCTTCATCACATCTGGTATGCTCTCAGGAGGTAGTGACTCGTCTCTTGATAGATTATCCTCTTCTCGATGATGACTTGCTCAATTGAAAATATTTTACTCGATGGATTTACAATCCTTTTATCGTGAATCGTTTAGTAATTTTAGTAACAATACTTCACGAATCACGTCGATGAGATTTTCATCAATGATCGAACGATTCTGATAGCTTATATCTTCACTAGTGATCTATAAGAAAGTCACGATTTAATCAAATAAAAATACAAGTTTTGGCTCTGGTAAGATTCGAACCTGCACTAGTCACCCACCTGTATGAGAGAGATTGAAATAAGTCATCTAATACCTTTATAAGCTGATGTCATTATGGTATATCTTTGTTATAAATAAGGGATATTTTAAGTATTAAAATAAACAAAATCATTCTGGGGAAGGTGTAATGTGAGTTTAGTCCAACAAAAGTTGTACGTTGAAGTTTTGGATGAATATATAGTGATATCAGATTTAGAAGCAATGAGTCCCTTTCTCACGTGTACGACCACTCCTTACCTCACAGCGAGCTGACCACCGGTGACGTGAAAGGAGAGTGGTGTACATATGCCCCCATCGGTTCATAGTCACTCGATCCCCTACTCACGGCTCCCCTTGACTACGCTTTTGACCTGCTTGCAAGCATGGCTGATTGGCGGGTCCCCCCCTTTTTCTATATTTTTATTTTAATTTATTTTTGTTTATTTATCTAAAAAATAAGACTATAAAAATCATACAAATTCATATAAAATCACATAATTAGTCAACAATTTACATTAATCAATTAAAAATTACTTTTCACAATTTAACACAAAGATAAGTCTATTTATCATGAGTTCAGACTAAAATTATATTATTTATTAATTATTAACTCATGATAATGAAGACTTATCACACCCCCAACTTAAATCATTGCTAGTACTTTAGCAATAGAATTACAAGAATAAAAATTCAAAAAAATTTAAAACATCATATTTTAATACATAAAAAATATAATTAGAAATGATGCACCTTTAGACATTTTGGATTCTTATATCAAATATTTAAGAATGATGTCAATCACAAGCGGTAATTTTCCAGGTCGATCACAGGGATGTAATATAATATCTGGTAATTATTCATAATTTTTCTCAATGAATAAGATTTTCTATGAATTTTATACTAGGAAATGAAAAGGAAATATATTTAAAAGGGAAATAAGGGTGCGGGCGTCAGGATGACGTCAGCGCCCGGCAAACGCGAATCAGGCAGAAATAGAGTTCCGCCCGGCGATTCTTATGTAAGCGATTATAGACGATTTAATTGATCAAATTAAGATATGTAAAAGACGGAAGAATCGTAATGAAATGAAGTATATGTTGGTAAATTTAAAATCAACAAATTATCACTAAATGAAATGGAAATTAAGTTGAAAGTAGGAAAATAGAGTTCCGACGTCGCGACGGCGATGTGTCAACGATGCACTGGAATCCTAAGTGTTCGGGAGGATCGTCGTGTAGTGTCCACGGCCTCGAAGGCTCTCCTTAGACAAAGATGACGTGGACAATCTCTAGATCTCCTTGCGAAGTCTAGAGATTAATGAAATAGGTTGTCGAGTCGTCTCTGGCGGCTGTCACTCGGCGGAGCAGAAAAACGGCAACTTTGCGGCTCTCCGGCGGCTGTCACTCGACGGAGAGGAGCTGGATGGAGGTGGGGCGCGTGTCAGGGAGCTTCATCCTCAGGTCCGCGCAACAAGAGGAGGCTCTTCATCGCATCTGGTACGCTCTCAGGAGGTGGCGACTCGTCTCTCGGCGGATCGTCCTCTTCCCGACGACGGCTAATTTTGACGCCGTTGCCGGGGATGTATTGCATAATATTTAGTATTTTTTTGTTTTTCTCTTAGAGTACACAAAAAATTTAACTCTTGTTTTATTTTCTTTTTGCCGATTTTTTTTTTAAGAAAAAGGGAACGAAAAGAAGCAAAGCAAGGACTGGAACATACTGAAGGAGGGTAACAATTACTAAACTTTTCCCTTGAATTTATTGATTTTTTTTATGCATGGTAGAAGATCCTTGCATCCAAGGCTAGAAAATCCTTTCATTATTTCATTCAAGACTAAAAATCTGAAAGAAAAATTAATTTTGATGGATCCTGAAGGAAGTACAGGTCAAACTAAGAACAATCCTATGGCCATGAAAAATCATTATATCCCTGATTCATTTCAAAGAGCATCAAATATTAGAGTCCCATTAGCACCCACTATTAAATTCGAAATAAATCTAGGAATTTTTCTAATGCTCCCTAATTTTTATGGATTGCTTTTAGAGGAGCCTCATCAGCACTTAGAAAAATTTCATATGGTCTGTGATTTAGTTAATCTCCCTCAAGTTACATTGGAAATTATTAAGATGAAATTATTTCCTCATACACTTAGGGACAAAGCTAGCCATTGGCTATCCACATTAGATAGAGAATTAACTAGCTGGAAAGACATAGAACAGGCCTTTCTTCGAAAATTTTATCCCTTAAGAAAAACTCAAAATATGAGAAAACATATATGGAGTTTTTCTCAAAGATCAGGAGAAACTTTACATGAGACATGGGAAACATTTAAAGATTTACTTAGAAAGTGTCCTCATCATGCTATACCCAAGTGGCAGCTCAATAGAATTTTTTATGATGGATTATTAGAACAACATAGAAATATGGTTGATTCTATATGTGGAGGAGCTTTTATGGAGAAAACCCTTGATGAGATTTACAGTCTTTATAAGAATTTAAGTGAAAATTTTAGAGATCAAGCCTCTTTTGAATTATATGACAAAGATAAGAAGAGAGGAATTTATGAATTGCATCATGATGATGATTCTAAATTTAGAAATGAGGTTAATCAGATTAATCAAAGATTAGAAAAACTTGATTTACTTATTGACAATATTAGAAAGCCTCTTAACCCTCAATTTAATTCAAATAGTACATGTCCTATGTATGGTGAAAATGATAATTTCGAATTTCAATATCATCCTAGGCAAGAACAAGTGCTAGTACCCCACGATTTTAGTAAAAATAGGGAATATTTTTCTAATTAAACTTATAATCCTAATTGGGGGAATAATTTTTCGTGGAGAAACCCAAATAATATTCAAAATACAGAAGCACTTAGATCCAATTCAAACTCTGAATTTCATCCAAAATAAGAAAATAGATTTCAGAAAAATCAGCCCTCTCAAACCCAACATGATACTATAGAAATGATGCAGCAAATGAGCCAAATGATGCAACAAACAATGAGCCAAATGATGTAACAAACTATGAATCAAATGATGTTGCACCAGAAACAAATTATAGAGGCTCTTGTGAATAAGAGAGAAGAGGGACAGCCACTTAGTCAGCCCATAGAAAATTCAGAAAACTATTCAACAGTAGGATTTCAACAAAGAGAGTCTAGTTGGATAAATTTAGAAAAGAACCCACAAAATGAAAATGTTAGGACAGTGAATACATTGATTGAGAATATTTTACCTGATCCTTATTTCCAATTATTAAAAGAAATTGATGAGCCATTAGAAGTAAATGAGAATATTAAGGCTGAAAATATAGTAGCAGAAAATTTGAATAAAATCATTTATTGCTCACAATTGATGAATGAATATAGTGAGGATGATGAGGAGAAAGAGCCCTTAGATGAAGAAACAGCAGTTGATCATGGAAAAATCATTCAAATTTTAGTAGAAGGGAGTAAGGACACAAATGAAAAAAAACATATTTTAGGTGAGGAAAAATCAATTGATTTGGGAGATGTAGGAGACAAAATTAATAAATCTAATCATAATTTTTCAGCCATGGATGTTGATGATGATGTATATCATATACCGAAATTAAAAGATAGCTCTTGGGAAGATGAAGAATTTGATGAGTTGAGAAACGAAAAGCTAGAAAAAGAGTTGATTCAACTAATGGGGAGAAACGAAAATAATGAATATGAATATAGAGATAATTTTGGAGGAGAAAATTTGAATTTTACTGAATTCATTAGATCTAAGATTAAAGAAGACAATCCTTCCATCCTTCAAAACCCACAGCCCATTAGAATTATTTCTAAGCTTGAAATATTTCACTCCTTGCAAATTAAACAAATATGTATGGAAGATAAAATAGAGCAGGGGAAGATTATGCAGATAAAAGAACACATTAAGAAATGGGTGAGTGGAAGAATTAGAGATATCAATTTAGATGAAAAAATTCTAGATTGGGTAAGAGCTAATTTGAAAATTATATGGCCTGATCACATTTTATGGTCTATTAATAGAAAGTATTTATTAATGAATGAGAGCCTTACAAAACAAGATAGAAATGAGGAAAGATTCTTTTCAAAATGGAAATATTATTTTTGGGAAGATTTTGTTAATTTCCATTTTGTTTGGCTGAAAGTATGTCAAGGTATATATATGAAGTATATGAATTTATGCTAAATCTGAAAAAGAATATCATGAAACTTACCTTGGGATACAAATATATTTTGATGGCCATAGATCATCTTATATGATTTAAGAGCTGTCCAGCTGAAGACATTAAATGCAGCGCTGCATGGGAGGCAACCCATGGTTTTTATTTCATTCTGTTTGATTTTTTTAAGCTCTGTTTTTCTTAGAATTTCGCAGTACTTATTTCTATATTTGTTTTTTTGAAAAAGTGCAGGAGGAGTGTAAGACGAAATGGAAAATTAAAAACGAGGTTGAGGTGATGTCTTTCGGAGCTTTATCATTTTTGACAATATTTTTAATGCTTAACTTTGCATATATGCATGCTTCACGTGAAAATTATATTTTCTGCATATTCTGTTTCGATTTTTCTGTGTCATTGAGGACAATGTCATTTTTAAGTTGGAGGGTGAAGTATTCATTATTAATTTATGCTATAAGACGATTAAGAACATGTGTTTGCATTTTATTCAACTTAGAACATCAACTAAAAAAAATAAAAATAAAATAAAATTCGGAAAAACTACAACATCTATTTTCTGGTTTTCTATCAGGAACAACAGATTGTCAAAAACAGCAGACGAAAAAACAACCTGAAATTTGAAATTATAGAGACCCTTTTCTCACATTTCAATCCCCTAGACACATATTACTGAAATTCGAAATTACAGCTATAAAGAAGATAGTTTTGATTTATTTTTTGACAAATTTATTGCTGCTAAAATAGAATTGAAAATAGAAATCAGAACTGTAAGAACTATCTAATTTACAAATTTCTTACATCATATTGCATGCATGAAAAATTAAATCAATTAGATTGATTGATACCAAAAGATACTAGGAAAATTATTATTGAGTCAAAAGAATGATCTAGTAGCATGAAATGTTGGAATACTCCTTGGATACATGATAGATAACATGGATTTGATTTTACAGATTTTCACTTCATGATCTTGATGGATAATATTTACTTGATGTGAAAATTTGATTGATCATTTGAGTTTAATGGAGATTTTTGCACTTTGATCTATAAGACTTGTGAGGAGAAATCACTTATTTCGAAAAAAAAAGAAGAGAGCAATGTGAAAAATCTAGAAACAAAGAGTACACATAGAGGGTGTGAGACATCATTCTCATTGTCGAAAATCGTGTATAGAAAAATACTTGTTGCAAAATAATTGGATAAAGTGAAAGCCTTGAAAATGAAGAGTATACATGGAGGGTGTGAGACATCATTCTTATTGTCGAAATTTGTCTATAAGAAAAGCTACTTATCCACTATATATAAAGAAAGAAGAAATATAGTGCAAACTTCAAAAATCAAGCCATAGAAAAAGGGAAATGTAGGATCAATATTATTCTTGGATGAGTATTGATAATTTGAACATCTTGTAAATACATCCATGAGTGAAGAAGTGATAAAGATGTGAATAGAAGAAGTGAAGTCTAGATTGTTATTCTAAGGAGTGTTTAAACATTTAAGTGCTTGACATCATTCTTAAATACTTGATATAAGAATCCAAAGTGTCTAAAGGTGCATCATTTCTAATTGTATTTTTTTTCTTTCTGCATTGAAATATGATGTTTGAGATTTGTAAATTTTTATTTTCGTAATTCCATTGCTAAGGGACTAGCAATGATTTAAGTTGGGGGGTGACAAAATTTGACGTGACTTAGTCGTTGTATATTAAATCACGCAAATATAAAATTTATAAAACTAGAAAATACAAATTTTCGGATATTTAGAAGTATTTCTGAACAAATATATCAATTATAATTCAATAAAACTTCCAAAAATAGCGATAATTTTCCAAGTTGATCACATGGATGTAATATAATATCTGGTAATTATTCAGAATTTTCCTCAGAGAATACTATTTTATATGAATTTTATACTAAGAAATGAAAAGGAAATATATTTAAAATTCACGAAAAAAAGGAAATAAGGGTGCGGGTGTCAGGATGACGTCAGCGCCTGGCGAACGTGAATCGAGCGAAAATAGAGTTCTACCTGGCGATTCTTACATAAGCGATTACAGATGATTTAATTAATCAAATTAAGATCTGTAAAAGCCGAAAGAATCGTAATAGAACAAAGTATATTTTGATAAATTAAAATCACAAAAGTATCACTAAATGAAGCGTAAAGTAAGTTAAAAGCAGGAAAACAGAGTTCCGGCGTCGCGACGGCGATGCGTCGGCGATGCACCAGAATTCTGAGTGTTTGGGAGGATCGTCATGTAGTGTCCACGGCCTCGAAGGCTCTCCTTGGACAAGGACGACGTGGGCAATTTTTAGATCTTCTCGCGAAGTCTAGAGATTAATGAAATAGGTCGTCGAGTCGTCTCCAACTGCTGTCACCCGGCGGAGTAGAAAAACGGCGACTTTGCGGCTCTCCGGTGGCTGTCACCCGACGAAAAGGAGCTGGATGGAGGTGGGGCGCGTGTCAGGGAGCTTCATCCTTAGGTCCGTGCAGCAAGAAGAGGCTCTTCATCGCATCTGGTACGCTCTCAGGAGGTGGCGACTCATCTCCCGGCGGATCGCCCTCTTCCTGACGACGGCTTGTTCGTCGATCAATCAGAGATGATTTACTCGATGGATTTGCGATCCTTTTATCGCGAATCGTTCAACAATTTTAGTAGCAATGCTCCGCGAATCGCGTTGACGAGATTTTTGCCGATAATCCAGCGATTCTCGTTGCTTAATCCTTCACCAGCAATCTGCAGGAAAGTCGCGATAATCAGATAAAAATATATGAATTTTGACTCTGGGAGGATTTGAACCCGCGCCGGTTGTCTGCCCCTTCTGAGGAAGGTGTGACACGGGTTTAGTCCCACATCGGTTGTGAGCCGATTTTTCGGGCGAATATATAGTAATGTTAGCTTTCTAAGCAAACTTCCTTCTCTCGCATGTACGACCACTCTTTGCCCCACAGCCGGCTGGCCACCGGTGACGTGGAAGGGGAGTGGCGCACACGTGCCCCTATCGGTCCAAGCCGCTTGAGCCCCTACTCGCGGCTACTCCCCGACTGAGCTTTTGACCCGCTTGCGGGACCGGCTGGCCGGCGAGTCCCCTCCTCATTTTGTCTTATTTTTATTTCTTTTTCTTCATTTATCTCAAAAGCAAGATTGTAAAAATCATATAAATTCATGTAAAATCACATAATTACCTAAAAATTCACATTAATCAACTGAAAACCACTTTTCACACTTTAACACAAATATAAGTCTATTTAGCATGAGTTAAGACTAAAACTATATTATTTACTAATTATTAACTCATGATGATGAAGACTTATCAACGACACACCTCATGTGCCTCAAGAAGTTCACATATCACTAAGTAAGATGATAGTAATAAGTCAACTTAAATTAAATTACTACTACCTTCAATTGGTAGTAATATTGTCATAACCTAAATGCGATTAGACCGATGGTGTGAGTGTTTGAGATTTATCTTCACATACACAACTCCTTTGATTTGTTATTGACCTTGCTTGTGAGTCTTCAAGACTTTGAGAGGAGGTGGTAGAGAGTGGAGACTTTGAAGTAATTTGCACCATCTTAAATGTTGATTTGAATCTTGTTGCATACATTATCTTGAATCCAACCTTGATTGACTACAACACTGATTGGTAGAGGCAAAGAGAAGAGGGGGTCGTGGTTGAGCTGTTTTTGCCTTGGAATCTCATTTAAATTTAGTGTGCCCTAATTTTGGCTGAAATGTCTTTTTTGCTAATGAGGAATATTGGGCTGAGCCTCCCTTTTCTATCCTTATTGGGTCTAACAATTGGCTCAATAGATACTTGGACGAACCTTAGTAAGCTGCATGTAGGCTTTGAAAACACACAAAAAATCATCAGTAAAATTTAGAAAAATCATAATTGTGATTGTTTGACTCATTGTCTATGTCTATGATAACACATATTCATATAAATAAGTGTAGAATCATAATTTGTCTACGTCTATGCATTGGATTATGCTTATTCTATATGCATATACATTAATTACCATGCTACTTAATCACATTTATGTATTTCATGTATGTTGATACAATTTATTAATTGTACACTTTTTTATGAGGATAGTTGATTATAAGTTAGCTCCATTTAACTTGTATGTAGTCAAGTGGCTTATTCCTTATAATTTTGGTGAGTTTTTACGATATATAAATAGAGATGGTTGTGGCCTTTCTCCTAATTAGTGCAAGATTAAGGTTCTATAAATATCTTTGATTGAATTTACTTAGGCTTAAACAACACCCTAAGTTTACGTCTCATCAATCTACTCTACCAAAAAAAAATTTGTTCTTGGGTTTCACTAACTATGATTGTTTTATCACATTCCATGATAAAACAACAGTAGCCAGCTACTTAAAAAGGGGGTTGTTCAGTATCCACGTGAAGGTATCACTACTTTACTGCCCCCCCACAACCTCTCTTAGTTCTTACTGTGTTGTCCTTGTCAGCCACCAAGTGGTGGAGTCTTATCGCATGGCCCGTTTATAAAATTATCTTGTATTATCTAAGGTTGCAACAAGTAACGTCCAATACTAAACTTGACACCTCATCACCTTAATTTTATGATTAATGAATGCTAGAAAGCGAGTAATCAAGCAATGGTATGTGTGGCCGCCTTAATTAAGCAAGATGGGTGGGAAGCTGTTAGATTTTCTCCAGGTTGGAGGTGGGGCCGGGCCAGGCAAACGCTTCAGGTCTACTTTGGCCTCAAATGTGGGCCCCGCTGCAGTGAGAATAAGATCGCTTAGAAGGCCTGCCAATATAAGAGTGACGCGTCAACGGGAGATGTTGGACGGCCCGGGAAGCTCAAGGGAGTGACGACGGCTGGGATTGGGCCCGCCCCGTCTGCGTCTGCCCACCGCCCACCTTTATCTCCTTCCTCCACTCCACACGAAAGCGAGAGAGAGAGAGAGAGAAAGAGCAGGGTTACCGTATCGTCTTCCCCAGCCCTTGTCAGAGCTCCTCCTTCATCGTCGACCTCAACCCTCCTGCGGAAGAAGCTCAGCTCTGGACATCAAAAGAGGAGCTTTAAGAGGATCTGGGGGTGAAGACGACGACCTCTTCTCTCTGTCTGTCTGTCTCTCCTCCCGTCTCCGTCTGTCTCTTTCTCTCTCTTCTCTCTGTTGGCCTCTCATTGGGTTTTCTTCAATGTCGCTGGCGGAGGGGGCGGCCGGAGAGCTGGCGGCGCCGCCTCCCTCGCCGGCTGGAGTGCAATCTATTCATCTATCTATCTATCTATCTATCTATCTATCTATCCGGAGTGTGGTCGAGATTCCGTCATCCCCCACGGGGGCCCACTAAATGAGGCGCTTCTGAGTCAGCGACGGAGTGGCGGGGCCCCCGGGCCCACCGGGGCACCGACCAAGGGAAATATATTAGCCCAATTGCGCCGTGCGGACGATTCTCACCATCGAAACTGGAGATCGGACGGGGAAGGTGAGGGTTGGTCCCCACCACCAGTCAGTCAAAGAGATTCTCCGAATTATTGACTTCCGGTCGATCCATAAGACCTCCCCCCCGGTGGAGGCACGCCTCCGCCGGCGATGGCCGCATCCCACCACCACCTATCCGAGCAATCCTCCGGCGCCTCCGCGTCGCCGCCGCCGCCGACGCACCGGTGGCACCACCACGGCGGCGGCGGCGATGGCAGTGGAGGAGAAGAGCCCAAGGTCCGCCTCATGTGCAGCTTCGGCGGACGTATCCTCCCGCGCCCCCACGACCACCAGCTCCGCTACGTCGGCGGGGAGACCCGCATCGTCGCCATCTCCCGCGCTGCCTCCTTCGCTGCCCTCCTCGCCAAGCTCTCCAAGCTCCCTGGCGGTCAACTCCCCGCCGGCGGCGGCGGCGGCGGCGTGCGGGTCAAGTATCAGCTCCCCCACGAGGACCTCGACGCCCTCATCTCTGTCTCCTCCGACGAGGACGTGGAGATCATGATGGAGGAGTACGACCGCCTCGCCGCGGCCCACGGCGGCGGCGCCACCGCCCCCCGCCTGCGGCTCTTCCTCTTCCCAGCCGGCGGCTTCGGCTCCCTCCACGACCGCTGGTTCCTAGACGCCCTCAGCAGCGGCCCCGTGGCGGCGGCGGTGGCGGCGCCGCCGCTCGAGCGCGCCCAGTCGGAGGCCTCCTCCGTTATCTCGGAGCTGCCGGACTATCTCTTCGGCCTCGACGGCGGCGGCGGCGGCGGCGCCGCCGCCGCCGAGCGGGAGGGGAAGCTGCTGCCGGAGGAGGAGACGCCGCCGCCCATGCAGGTCCCGGTTTATTTTGTGCCGGCCCAGCCGCCCGGTCCGGTTCCCCTGTCCCTCCACATGTCATATGGGCCGGTTCACATGGGTCAAGCCGGTCCGATCCAAACCGGTCCGGTTTACATCAGCCGGTTCTCGATGAGCCAGCCCGGTCCGTCCGGGCCGTACGGTCTGCCAGTCCACGGCGCCACTCCCCAAGGGTACGGCCTACCGTCTTCAACGGTCAGCGATGGGGTATACCGTGGATCCATGAGGTCCATCAATCGGACGGTTGGAATGGGTTTCCAGGGGGGATCAGCGGGAAGCATTAGTTGGACGGCGGATCCATAAATTCCATCAATTCAACGGCTGGAATGCCGCCTCCCCTGGGGGGTGGGGGAGGGAATCACATGAAGGGCATTAGTCCGACGGTGGAGCGGTCAACCCTATTCATTCAACGGTTGGAATCGCTTTCCAAGGAGGATCCTCTGATTTTATACACCGAGGATAAAATGTTTATAATAATGTCAATTAGTGTTTGTTTTTGTCGAATTTCCATCTATTTAGTCCGCCAAAAATACGATTTTAAAATACATTTTCCATCTATTTTTTAAGAATATATTGGCGTGGACGGGGTTTTCTCCATTTTAATATCTAAATCGAGATATTCTTGTCCCAATATTCAAGGTGCTTTTCGACATAAAAAATAACGAGCATAATTTATCAAATACAAATATTCTTTGACAGTTGACTTCTAATAAAAAGGCATATTTTGAGCATCACTCAAGACCTGATTTTGTTGGCGGACATCTAATAAAAAAGACCCGTTGAAGAGTAAGAACCCAAAGTCAACGAACGCTTTAAGATGACAGCAGAAAAATGGGCACATACATCTATATATATATATATATATAATATGGCTAAGAAATCATCAAGTACCACCTTCTTAGGGTATAAAACCCAGATTCATGGCCTCCACCCACACCTCCCTGGCGGTGCCAGGCGGCAGCTCCTGCTCAGACCGGCGGCTCTCTGGCGGCGCTTCCCCGCCGCCGATAGTACAATTGACTACCCATGGGATAGGGAAGAGGGAAAAGGGAAGAGGGAGGAGGGAGGAGGGGTCCGCACCTCAGTGAGATTATCAAAGAGGATTTGGGGTGGGGCTTTTAAGTAGCTGGAATCAAAGAGGAGGAAGACTGGCGGCTGGCGTCTGGACTCCAAGAATGGCGACCCTTGTTTGTCGCCCTCTCCATGTCGCAGAGCTCGGGGGATTTGATGGGGATAACGGAGGGTTGGCGGAGTTCCGGGAAGGTCTTGCTGCCGATGCAAATCGTGTCGCTGCGGCCGTGCCACACGCCGTCCTGCACGTTGTTCATCTCCAGAGTTCTCGACTCCTGAGAGATGCCAGCCGTGGATTGATGGTGAGAAACAGAGGAAATGAAATCTTCATCCAACCCAGTCAGATCAAAATCGTGTTCTTATCACAGAAAAAGAAAACTACGTCTCTGCCTAATCGACCTCATATTCTTTTTTTTTTTTAAATTAGTGTTCTTGTCACAAAATAAAAACCCACTTAAACCCACCAAAAAAGAAACACCCCTCTTCGCTGGAGAGTATTTGTCGATTAATGAGAAAAATGCATCATATGGCAAGCTAAAATCCATCCCCAGAGGTCTGGGCTCCAAGCTAGATCCAACAGTGGATCTTGGCTGGACCCAATCGAATTGAAACCCTACACAAGTATTTCTCAACCCAATTGAAATCTCGTCCGTTTCAAGAAAATTATTGCCAAACCGAATCAGATTCGCGTTCTTATTAAAAAAAAGTGCCCTTCCCCAATAAAAGAAATAGGTTTTTTTTTAATAAAAAAAAAACCCCTTAGAAAAGACTGACTAATGACCAATTGTATCACAAAGAAAACTCATACACGTGAAGAAATCTTCCTTTTTCTGATGCTTCATATATTTATTTATTTATTTTGAAAGCGTGGGGTGGGCCAGTAGAGCCCAGTATTTACCTGACACAGAGTACAGCAAGGGCACACCAGGTGGCTCACACAGTCATCCAGGGCAGAATCTCTGGCCTGCATCTAACACCAAACATTTTACGGCTTAGAAGTCGGGGGAGCTCCCATGGCAGTTATCCATAACTGACCAAATAATGGATATAAAATTGCTTGTTTTACGGCATGATTCCATTCCTTACCCTTATATTAAATTGCTTTCTGATCCGCCCTCGAGAATAACCGAGATAAATTGCGGCTGAAGTGACGGAGACAATCCCCAAATACAAGAAGCCATGCCACAAGGTGATCATGAAGGCAACGGCATTGAAGAGAATCGCGACTGTGAGAAATAAATAAACAGCGCCCTGCAGAAAGCAAGATTAATGATTCGTAGTACGACCAAGATTAGACTAAAATAAAAACCTAATTAGAGAACTAATCAGAAGCTTTGACTGCCGGTGGCCGGCCAATAAAAGAGCATCAAAATAATTAAAGTATAAGGAAATGGAAGAAAACAGATAATATATCAGGCAGATTTTTCGATGCTATTGCTCATACCGTGAAGATCACTACAAGATTGGTGATTGACCAGGGGGATCACAGCAGAACAGGCCTGATTCTTGAAATTCTGTGATGATTCAAAGGCTCGCGGATGAAACCCGCATAGATTCATAATGTAAAGTAAGAGGCATCATTGGCCTGAATGTGAACTAGTAGTCTACTTGGAGAAAAAAGGTGGGAGACCAATCCCATGAGGAGGAGATTGGAGGTCCTGCCCCCGCCTCCCTTTGATTGGTCAGCAGCCTCCTTTGAAGCCTCCAAGGCTTGGCACAGATCAGCACTGGTCACCATTGAACCTTACATTATCCCAAACATTCAGCGCTTTTGGGCTTAATCTTGCCTCCTAACCCATCCAGTTGACAGAACAACATCAAGAGCCATATTGTAGAAACTGTGGTATTGTGTTCGAAAGGCTGATAAACAGGTCCGGGGACACACTGACCCCCCCCCCCACCCCACTCATTCACTCTAGATTAACCGCCAAATAAGACAATCATTTCCTGACATTACTTCGAGGCCCCACCATTTTTGGCATTTAATAAATCTCATAGCTAGTTTCGTTCATGCTGCAATCGTGTCGCATTCAATTTTCCACAAAAACTGAAAACGGACAGGGTCCTCTCTTCTCTCCATTGCCCTCCATGCGTAAATTCACAGCCTTGATTTCGGGCCTACACTCAACTTACAGCTAGTGGTTATTGCCCGTAAGATTTCATCATTAGAGTTAGTACCTTGCGGATTAGGTAGAGGATTAGCGATCTGACCCTAATCTAAGCAATCACAGTGAACCAACGTAACATCCACTTCCCCCAGAGAAGGAAACAGTTTAAACTAAAAATAATGAACAACCCAGGTAATGCAATGAGAACTGTAAAAACATGACAAACTCTGATTAGCAAATTGTGTTCAGAATAGTCTGTCGCCAGATTCATGGGCTTATTTGAGAACGATACAACTAATGGGAAATAGATTTAATAAGAAGCTTCCCATACACTATTGCCTTTTATACTAGACTGTCCATTTATCTGCACCGCCTACTACCAGAATAAATTCTTTATCACTCGCTCTTCCGCCATTCTCCTCTATGATCAAGATCGGTCACCATTACATGTCATGGCTAGTTTGCAACCTTCCTCATAGAGAAAGCAATAAGCCAGGACTTGCTCATTATAAAAGTTTCAGTTTATCAACTCTATCATGGCATATTTATATGCGAAATGTACTGATTGCATTTGATATGTGAATAGCATAATGCCATCACTGCACAACAATCTAGATCTGCATATCTTTAGATCAAGAAACTGACGGATCTTAATTCAGTTTTCAATCAGGATTTGGATGAAAAGTAAGAATGCAGTAATAAAAATATGGCCAATATACTGGATGATATCATCAGGGCCATTGAAGATTTCAAAAAAACTGAAGGCTAAGGATCATGTTCTTTGCTACAATCTTCAGACCCCAGTATACTTTAATGCAGAAACCATGTGTTGATAACGCATTAGAAGCCGAATTTAGTCAGTAGAGAGGGCGGCCATTTCCATATATTCAATGATCAAGAGAACCGAGGTTGAGCTTATTTGATGAGAACGCGTTTTATTTTCCTATGATTTTAGAGGTTTCTGGTCTCAGGTATAGGGATATAATACATAGACTAAGGGGAGGAAACCTCCATAGATCATCTTAGTGGCAAGATAAAGCGATGAGATTTCCATTTAATGAAGACGGTAGGTAGCATCATATGACCGACCGGTTACAATGAAGTTAAATACCATAAATAATGTTAACAACAAAAGAGCTTGTCGCTTGGCATGAAGGCTGTTGGTTTGGGGTAGGGCCCTTGTACCTAGGAAGAAGTCCCCGCACTGCTTGCACACCACGTATTCCCTGACATTTAAGTTAATTATTCTACTTCCTCCTACATTATTTCTCTGATTATGCAAGCCCTATTTTAAAAATTTAAATGAGAACTTTTCTACTGTACAAACCCTCTTGCAACTCCTGCAAATGATCAAATTTCTCCAAGAGTCCATAGATGACGAATTGGGAGTTCTTATTTCTGTTTTCTACTGTAAATTTTCATAACTCAAGTAGCAGTCCTGGTATCTAAGATCAGTGCCTACTAATACATATAAGACTTTTCCGATGGAGAGAGGATTTACGAGACCTAATTAATAGATAACGTTTCACAAACCGTATCATTATTAATACCACCAAAGGATAAGGAAATAGCATCTCAGAATCAAGTGTAATAAATTCAAACAATCGCTAAAGACGTTATCTTTAACAGAAAAAAGATTCCAGGACGAATGTATGAGAAAAATGAGAGGCATCTGTCGTTTCATTAGCAGCACAGTCACCTGAAAGAAGCAGGATCCAAGATTGGCTCTGCTCATGTTTTTTCCAAACCTGTAGCATGGTAAGCTGAAACAACAAGATCCTCATTTGAGAACAAGCTAGGCATGATCTTCAATTTTTCAAGTAAAGAAATGAAGATTTGACGTTCTTATTTGTGAAACTCAGTAGAATTCTGAAAAAGGTAAACAAGTGGAATCAGCCAGCCGGCATTTCTTGTTTAATTTAAAAGCCAGGGAACGAGGGAAACAGAGAGGAAAGAGAAGAGAATACAGAGATTCAAAACTCGATATTTTCTCCCAGGTTTCTGAATTATGGTAAAAAAACAGAAAACTCATGATTGAGGACAGAAAGAGGTGGGGAGGAAGAGAAGTTTCAGAAACGAGAGAAAAAAAGGATAAATAAACCGTACCATGAGGTCTCAATGGCGATCTGGCGGTCCTGTAAGCAATCGAACACACCTCCTTCCCACATCCGCTGCACGCCCTCGACCTCCACCGCCAGTTCGTCTTCATCCTCCCCCACGCCGCCACTCCCCCTTTTGTCCACCGAGAAACCCTGCGTCTGCAGGGCTACGGTGGCGCACAACAAGTCGAAGTCCAACACGTGAGCCACCTCCTCCAGGAGCCTCGTCTCCTCCCCATCCTTCCCACCCCCATTTCCCTCCTCTCCTGCCCCACCGGCCGCCCCCATCGGTGTACCAGTTCCTCAACCCCCGATTCCACGAAGAACCACTTCCTTCGTCCAGGAACCTTCTTCTCCCCGCATGCTCAGACCCGATCGATGTGATCCTCTTCCCCGCCCCCCCTTCCCCAAGACGAAGGTCTCCTCCTCCCACCCCCGGGATCAAGAAAAATCTCAGCACAGACGTCACGATAGAATAAAAAACCTCCGCGGGATTCCTCCCACCTCCGTCGCAGGATGAGGGTTTGGTAGGCAGCAGGTGAGCGAATGGTAGAGAGTAATGGCCATGATGTACAGCGGCACAGATAGAGAGAGAGAGAGAGAGAGAGGAAGAGGAGAGACACAGAAGAGAGAGAGAGGGCTGGAAGCAATGGGGGTGGGGGAGGGGTGAGATGCGGGTTGGTGGTGGGGCCCACTTTGGTGTGATCCCCCCTGGCACTCTAAACGGCCAAGATTCCCATTAGTCGATCATCTGTGATCTGCACCCATCTCGGCCGTCCATGCTTTAAGCACGTGCGTGACCTTTGTCGGCTCTCGGCTCGTTGTTAATATGGTTTAAATGCCGGTTAAACTCCCATTACTTTCGTGCCTGGGGAGTAAATGGAATAGATCCTGATTATCGAAAATAATAAATGCCGCCGCCGCCGCCGCCGCCCCAGAACGGATAAGGTCCATGGCGGCGTCGGCGACCCGACAGTCAGATATGGCGGGCCGGCCATAACTCCTCGTGTCACAGCCGCACGTTTTACATATTACGTGTCTAATACCCACAAATTTCAGAGAGAGAAAGGGATAAACTCAAAGAGGGGGGAGAGAGAGAGGACCCACTCGAGCAGGATTGCAGGTCAACTACTTCCTATTTATAGAATCAATGCTTTTAAAAGTCAAGGGCGATGATTACATCGAATAATGATATTCGATAATATTTTAAATTACCAAACTAATTATAAATACTAGGTAGTTAGAAATATTTCAATAAAAAATGTGGCATTTTTGGAAAAAATTTGTCGCTTCCCATTGGGCCCCACTTGGTCGGTTGCGTCTGTTGATCTGTACCTGTCAGGGGGGGATAAGGAAGAGTGAAATTGATAATTAGCCTTTTCCCGCGTTTCACAGTTTCACCCTCCCCCCGCCGTGTAAGCGGATGAGGGTGAAAATTGGTATGGGTCGACCCATCCCAGATTTCAGGCCGAAAAAAGCTATGGGGCCGAAGCGGCCGGCTCAGGATTTACGGCCCATTAAAATTAATTATTATATATTTTTAATTGTTCTTAAGTAATTTATTTTATAAATGAAAACAAATCGTCAGGAGCCACTCTCTCTCTTTCTCTTTCTCTCCAGCAATTCTGGGGCCGTAGGACGGCCTCCGGATTTCCGGCTTACTGACATTAATTATTCTATTTTTTACTGTTCTGGAGTAATTTATTTAATAAATCAAAACAAAATAGTCAGCCTCTCTCTCTCTAGAAGTCTCTCGACTCTATCTCTATCTAGGAATCTCTTGATTCTCTCTCTCCAGAAACTCGGGGGCCGTAGGACGGGCTTAAGATTTCCGTCCCATTAACATTAATTATTGTATTTTTTAATTCTTAAAGTTATTTTTAATAAATCCAAAAAAGTCAGTGCTCTCTCTCTAGAACTCTCTTGACTCTCCGTCTCTCTCTCTCTCTCTCTCTCTCTCTCTCTGTAGGAATCTCTTGACTCTCTCTCTCTCTCTCTCCCCTCTCTGTGTCTGTCGGAAGATACCTCCATTGCCGGGGAGTTTGTCGTACAAGAGCAGAGAGGGGATGACAAATTGGTGAAGAAAAGGAGTTTCTCTGTGCTTCATTGGAGAGAAGAGAAGAGAAGAGAGGAGGATAAAACCCTGGCTTGGCTTCCGGTTTCTTCTGGTTTCTGATCGCTTCTGCTCCGTTTATTTCCATTTCGTTCGTGAGCATTGTCTGGAAGGGATGAAGGGATCGCCTGAACGTGAGCGCGCGGCGCCACACTCGCCGGGGGTCGCAGCGGGGGCGGCGCAGTCCATCCAGCCGTCTTCCCCCAGGTTCTTCCTGTCATCGGTCGCGGCGGCCAACCCTGCAGCGGGATCGCACCGCCGCATCGCGATCGCGGTGGATCTGAGCGATGAGAGCGCCTTCGCCGTCAAGTGGGCGGTACAGAACTACCTCCGCCCCGGCGACGCCGTGATTCTGCTCCACGTCCGGCCAACCAGCGTCCTGTATGGCGCCGACTGGGGGTGCATCGACAGCTCCGTCGCTGCCGCGGAGGACGGCTCCAAGGAGTCGCAGCAGAAGCTGGAGGACGACTTTGATGCATTCACCACTACGAAGGCGCACGCCGTGTCCCAGCCTCTGGTGGATGCTCAGATCCACTTCAAGATCCACATCGTCAAGGACCACGACATGAAAGAGAGGCTCTGCCTGGAGGTGGAGCGGCTAGGGCTCAGTGCCGTGATCATGGGATCGAGGGGCTTCGGCGCGTCGAGGAGGACCAGCAAGGGCCGCCTGGGCAGCGTCAGCGACTACTGTGTTCATCACTGCGTGTGTCCTGTTGTGGTGGTCCGCTACCCCGACGACAAAGATAGGGGCGGCGCCGCTGGTTCTGCATCGGACGGCAGCTCAGGGAAGACGGTAGAGAAGAACATTCTTGTAGAGCTACAACCTGTGCTCGAGGAGCCGGAGGACAATGATGCTTCGGATGAGCACAAGGGTGAGAGCCTTCTCCTCCTCGTCTTTGCCCCTTGCTTTTGCTCCGTTCCAACATTCCACATTCCGGCGGAGCGTACCAATTTCCCTTTAACTCATTTCAGATCATGAGCTAAGAGTTCCTTTCTCTTTCAATATTAGAACTGTCTCTTTCACCTGACTCGCTCATCTGTCTCCGTCTGTCTACGTCTGATTCCTGTAAATAGAAATATCTTTGTGGGGAGATTTTCTAACCGGAAGTCAATATCCCCAATCTGATGCATGAGACCGAGGAGTCTACAGTTTCATAAGAATATGCGCTTTCCCTTCTTTTTCTTCCAAGAATAAGGGTTCTTAAAAAACGCTTGTTCTTATGCCCTGATATTTATTTCTGCATGCTAGAGGACATTGTTGTTCATTGCAGATTATTCTGATTTGATGCCCTTTATGTCAACCAGTGGTTCCTGCCTGTTCTACCATCTGTCTTTATATGTATTCTATTTCGCTTGAGGAAAAAATGGTGAATGAGGAAATGCCCTGAGCCGAACGTAGTTTAAGACGTATTCTATTTAGCTTGGGGAAATAATGGTGAATTAGGAAATGCCCAGGCAGAACATAGTTTTAGACGTATTCTATATAGCTTGAGGAAATAATGGTGAATGAAGAAAATGCCCAAGTAGAACGTAGTTTACAGGACACTGTGGGAGGTCAACTCATATGGTTACCTAATGGGGAAATGCCGAGGCTCATTAGACAAATCTAGGATTGACATGCTTCCAGTGAACTGGATAACCCCTAATGATGCTGTCCCATGGAAAGTTTCGTAGGAAGAAGGTAGAACTATTACTTGGATAATCCCTAATGATGTTGTTATGAACCTCTCAAGATTTGGGGCGAAATCTTCACCCTAATCTTACCTTAGACGAGGCTCACTCAGGGAATCAGCTCTCTGTGTATAGAAGAACCAGATTGAACAATTGAAAATGGAAATTGGAAAGATAATAAAGGTTTGCAGACAGTAGGGTGAGTTCTTGAGGTCGGATCGATCCTCAGGAACAAAAGAGCCCGAATTGGACCTCTCTGGGGACAAATCTCCCTCTCCACTCTTTGTTTTCTCTTCTCTTCTTATTTCGGCCTCTTCTATATTTATAGGCCTCAATACATTATTCTGTTGTGGTCTCCCCTCCACATAGGGGTCTAGATCATCTTGTGTAGATGACGGTTGGCTTCGTAACATTACTCCCCCCCATGACTTTCACCTTGTCCACAAGGTGAGATGTAGGAAATTGTCACAAGAATGTTGATATTGTCATCCATGACGATTTAAACTCTGGAAGATGTTTTCATGAAACTAATATCTCTATCTTGAGGAGTCAACCTGTGAGATTTTATGTCATTTGGAATGAGTATCCATTTTTGTTCTTCTAATAGTGTCGAGGGAATTGATTGGCTTATGTTGTCTATTCTTAGTGTCTTTTTGAGCTGGGATATATGGAACACTGTATGAACATCTAAATGGTTGGACAATTGGAGTTTATATGCCACTGGTCCAATTCTTTTCATAATAGGATACAAACCAAAATAGCGAGGGTTTAACTTCTCGTTTTCCTTTTTTGCTAGAGATTTCATCCAATATGGTTTGATCTTGAGGAAGACCAAATCACCCACCTCTAATTCCACTTCTTGACAATACTTATCTATATTAAATTTTATCCTCACTTGTGCTTTGTGCAAGTTGAATTTCAAAATCTTAAGGATAGCATCTCATTCCGTGAGTAGTTGATTGATGGCATCAAGTAATGAAGGGGATGTTCCATATTTGATAAGTTTCCACGGGTCCCTACCATAGACTGCTCGGAAAGGAGTCATTTTAGTAGAAGAATGATAGGAAGTACTGTAACTATATTCTGCCCAATGAAGCCATAATTTTCATTGCTTCGGTTTATCAAATACCACACATCTCAAGTAATTTTTCAAGCACCTATTGATGACTTCAGTTTGTCCATCTGTTTGAGGGTGGTAAGAGGAGCTGAATTTGAGTTTAGTTCCTTGTAGTGTGTAGTTCACGCCAAAATGTACTTAAGAATATTCGTCCCCTGTCGGAGACCACTGCCTTTGAAAACCCATGGAGCCTTACGATTTCCTTGATGAATAATTGAGTGACCTCCTTGGCTGAGAATGGATGATGTAGGACAATGAAATGACTGTACTTACTTAATCTATCTACTACTACTAGTATGACATTCGACCCATGTGATTTAGGTAAGCCTTCAATAAAATCCATTGAAAGGTCTTCCCATATTTGGGTAGGTATAGGCAATGGCTGCAGAAGTCTCACTGGAGATAGTGAAGAAGATTTGCACTGTAAGCAAGTAGGGCAATTGCTGATATATGCCTTTATATCTCTCTTCATTTCTTGTCAATAGAATTGTTGTGAAATTCTATGGTATGTCTTTTGAAATCCAGCATGACCCCCCACCGGGGTATCATGAAATAATTGTAACACTCTGGTAGTTAAAGGGGAATGTGTTGATAGAACCAACCTTTCTTTATATAGCAAGGATCCATCCTTCAAAGAATATAATTCTTTTGTTGTATCTCCTTTAGACAAGGAAGTTTTAATCTCTACAAGCTTAGTGTCTTGGTCCACTACTAGTCGGACATCTTCGAGATCAATGGTGTGATGTGCTATTGCCTCATTTAGTTTAGCTTGCAGTAATAATGGACATTGGGGTAATGCATCTGCGGCTTGATTAATCTTCTCTTCCTTATATTTAATTTCAAAACTATAGCCCATCAATTTTACCAACCATTTATGATATTCAACATGGATTTTCTTCTGTTCAAGTAAGACTTTAAGACTGTACTGGTCTGTTTTGATGATAAAATGCTGACACATAAGATAATGTCTCCGTTTCCTTACTGCCAACACTAAAGCCATTAACTCCTGTTCATAGGCTGATTTCAATTTGGCTCTTCTTAGAAGTGCTTGATTGAAATAAACTATCAGGCACCCTTGTTGCTTGAGAACGGTCCCAACACCTTCCTCATATTCTGCAAGTGTTCAGTCATTGTGATGTTGTACACAAGTATATCATCAAAGAAAATCAATATGAATTGCCTCAATTGACATTGAAATAAATATTTGGTTCATTAGCGATTGAAAGGTTGTAGGTGCATTTGATAATCCAAAAGACATTACTTTAAATTCATAATGGCCATGATGAGTCTTAAATGCAGTCTTAGGTACATCTTTTTTCATTCTGATCTGATACTATCCTGATTTTAAATCCATTTTTGAAAAACCTGATTTCCCATATAATTCATCTAGCAGCTCATCTACAACTAGAATGGGGTAACGGTCAGGAACTGTAGCTCGGTTCAACGCTCTATAATCTATACAAAATCTCCATCTGTTATCTTTCTTCTTGACTAATAATGTAGGGCTCGCATAAGGACTATGTGAAGGTTGTATAACCTTTGTTGATATAAGTTCTTGGACAAGTGTCTCAATTTCGTTTTTCTAGAAATGAGAGTATTTGTAAGGCCTCAAGTTAATAGGTTTTGTTCTTGGTAATAGATGTATGGCATGGTCAACAGGGTACTCAAGTGGCATTCCTGTCAATACTTCAAAAACTTTGGGAAATTCTTGTTTTAGACTGATTTCTAAATCGTTGGGTGCATTAGGGTCTCTACGTGAGTGAATATGATGTAATTCAACCATATATGCCTTACTACTCTTAAGTTCCTTCTCTGCTCTTCTTTGTAACGTACTTATTTTTTAATACTAGGGTCCCCTTTGAAGATGTGAATTTTGCCTCCCATCATGAATCTCATTATGAACTTCTCATAGTTGGAAAAGATCCACCCTAAAGTTTTCAACCGTTGTATGCCTAGGATCACATCCGTGCCACTCAACTCTAGTGGTAAAAAATCTTGTACTATCAAAACACTTTGCGCCTGGAGAGGGATAACCTTGCAAATTGCTGCACCTACCACTGTGTTACTGTTGCCCATAATTATGTTGTAGTCATTTAACTTCTCCATTTGTAAGGATAAGTTATCAATTATTTTGGTGCACAAGAAATTGTGAGTTGCCCCACTGTCAATGAGTATTGACACCTCGGTGTCATAAATTTTGCCCCATAGTTTCATAGTCCCCTGTTGAGTAATTCCCATGACTGAATTTAAAGATAGGTGTGCAGTGAAAGCCTTCTCACCCGTGTTGGATATGGCCTGATCAAATAGTTCCCATCCTTCATCAGTGTTGTCCTCTGCACTCTTCTGCACTCTTCTCATCCGTGTTGGATATGGCTTGATCAAATAGTTTCCATCCTTCATCAGTGTTGTCCTCTGCACTCTTCTGCACTCTTCTCATCCGTGTTGGATATGGCTTGATCAAATAGTTTTCTACACTCTTTTGGTCTTCATCCACAATAATAATATTCAACTCCTTTTTACAATGATGCCCTGGAGCGAAATTTTCATTGTAGTAGTAGCATAATCCCTTATCTCTTCTCTTTTGAAATTCTTGATCCGTCAACTTGAGTATCTTGCAGTTACTCAAAAGTGGCTTGGATGTCACAGAATTTCCCTTTGATGTGCCTTTAGTTGAATCCTGATACTCCTTCCTGTAATTACCTCTGTTATTTTGTATTCTAGAATTCTCTTTTGTAATAGTCATAATGAGGTTGAGGTGGTTCAAGCTTTGTAATCACTTGTTTCCTAAAGAATTCATTCTGCTATTTCGGATTTCCTGAAGATGAAGCTCAGCTTGGATTGATAGATCCATTGTTTCTCTGAGTCCCAAGGGCTTATGCATTGCCAATTCCAATCTGATGTCCGGTTTCAAGCCCCTCACGTATGCATCTTCTAATACTTTTGTGTTTATATGAGGTAGAAAGGCTGAAATTCGTTCAAATTCAGCCCTGAATTCTCTTACTGATGTGGCTTGTTGTAAGCTCATTAGTTGTTGTAGTGAACTCTCCATCTCAGATGTCTTGAACCGTTTCCCCAATTGACTCTTGATGTCGTGCCAATCTTGGAATGGAAACCTGTCTTCCATCCAAAAATACCATTCAAGAGCTTCTCCCTCCATACTCAACATAATTTGCTTGAGTCTATCATGCTCTGACATAGGGTTTAGGCAGAAATATCTCTCAGCCCACCTGATCCATCCCTCAGGGCTCTCTCTTTGGAAAACTGGTAACTCTATTCTTTGATTTATCTGTGTTTGGCCATCTTGTGAAGCTTGGCTTGAATGAGTGGTGCCATTATGAGGTTGCGTTGGTTCCTCTCTTGGACCTTCATTTGGATGCAAATTGGAGTGTGGATCCCTTGTAGATGATTTCTGAAGAATCTGGTTGAGGATTTCTCTTTGCTCGATTAGGGATTGTTCTTGCTTAGCACAACCCTGTTTCAGAGATGCAACCTCTTCTTCTAATGAAGTCATCTGATGTGCCTTTGACTTGGTGAGCATCCGCCGATCAAGATAGGTTTCAGACTATATTAGATGATTGTTCTTCTTGCCATAGATCTGTCAATCTTCTTCCAACGTTTTGATTCTGTGGAATTACGGTCAAATGAATTCGTTGTGAGAATTACCTTCGTTTCTTGAATTTGTTATAGTTCGAACTTGGAAAGAATTTCTGCTTCAGCCTTGTTAATTCGATCCTTATTATGGCGCGAATAGAATCTTGCTCTTGTAATCTTCCACTTGCTGTAATTTCTCTGAGTTCTTGCAAAAAAGACCAGGATGTCTGCTCTAATACCAGTGTTACGAACCTCTCAAGATTTGGGGCGAAATCTTCACCCTAATCTTACATTAGACGAGGCTCACTCAGGGAATCAGTTCTCTGTGTATAGAAGAACCAGATTGAACAATTGAAACTGGAAATTGAAAAGATAATAGAGGTTCGCAGATAGTAGGGTGAGGTCCTGAGATCGGATCGATCCTCAGGAACAGAAGAGCCCGAATCGGACCTCTCCGGGGACAGATCTCCCTCTTCACTCTCTGTTTTCTCCTCCCTTCTTATTTCGGCCTCTTCTATATTTATAAGCCTCAGTACATTATTCTGTTGTGGTCCCCTCTCGACGTGGGGGTCTAGGTCGTCTTGTGTAGACGACAGTTGTCTTTGTAACAGATGCTTCCCTGGAGGCTCACTCTTCATCTTAACATTACCTAATGGGAAAATACCTTATGAACCCAAAAATCAGCTTTATTAGCATCGCAGACTGAATCATTTTGCCGGATTAGTGCTAAAAGTCGAAGTTGCTGTCATTCCTCCTCTCACTGCCTCTTTGCCATCTGGTTGGGATCCCCCATCTGGCTCATCTTGAAGTTTTTTTGGACAGGGAGATATATGTACAAGGGGTTCTCTTGAATCTTTTACCTTCGGCTCTCTACTGTGAACACCTGGATGGGTGTAGTCCTCAGCTATGGGGTTGTGTACTTGGGATCGATGGGAGCTGTGGTGGCCATACCAGCAATCTAAGTTTTTTTTTTTTTATTGAGAGAAAAATGAGGTTTGTGAATTGGTAGGACAAGAGAGGGGTTAGTGCCTTCACATGTGAGGCACTGTGGATCAGGGATAATTTTTTTTATTGGAAGTACTATTATGGATATCATGTTAGAGGCACAAAAATGCAATTCCAGTGGTTTGAATTGGGTTCAATTAGGGTTAACCGCTAACCTAAAGAAAAATCTGTAAATTGTGCAAACTGGTGTGGTTCCACCCGTAGGTTGCATATTGAAGTCTAGTTCTTCCTTTTTCTGGGTTCTGTCTTACTATTTATTGACTTTCTTTCGTTTAGGCTTTTATTTTTCGTGTTTTTCTTTCTAGAACATGTAAATTGTCAGTTTTTGAGCATGTTTGAATCACTGGCTAAGAATATGGTCGTTGACTTTCACATCCTATGCTTCTCTGTATTTATATTTGATTGTTATTTGATTTTATCCTGGCCGGCCAATATCCCTGTGGCGTAATTTGATTAGAATAGAAGGGGGTTGATTGAAGGTACGAAATGTATGTGCAGAATCAAATGATATGAGGAAAGAAGTAATCATACAATAGGCACGGAATTTTTAGTGGTTTGGTCAAGTCCTAATCCAAACCATTTCGAAAGCCCTCCTTAAGATTTTCTTCAAGTTACCCTATTTGTAATCTAGTTTACCCGAGATACTGACCAACACTTTCACAGCACAAGGCACTCATCGCTCAATAACCAGCTTGCTTTTACATCACGAAGAAAACTAAATGAACTATGTAGAAAACCTTATAAAAGAGCAAGAGAAAGTTAATCAAGTGGAGTAGAAGCTTAATAAATCTTGGAGTAGATCTTCAATATGCAATCCAATTAAGAGCTCTTGCCCTTTCACTAGAGATAAGACTTTAGTCTAGTGAAGGCTAGAGAAGTTTTATTATTTATTTATTTATAATGACTGATTTGTAATCCTAGAATGTGCCTTATGACTTGGCTCAAGAAAACCCTTGGTGGCTCAAAAAATACCCGTAAAATCCTACTTTTAATACTTTTCTATCATATTTAGAAGATTTCGTTCATCATTAAATGACAGGAGTTTATTGAGCCTACGAAAGTTTATTTTGAAAACTATAGGATCACAATCCTTGTATTAACTTGTGTTTATTACCTGCATAAGTTTCAGCTTACAGAGTGCAGGTTTTAGAAGGTCAAACTGAGTCGATAATAAAGCCAATATGCTAAACTTTGGGCCAAACTTGTGGGCCAAACGTTTTTTTATATTTTAAATTATGTATAGAAATTTAGACTCTAAACTGTACACCATCCAAATTGCGGAGCTCTTACCATGGGCCGTCAAGGTGTATATCAAAGTTTAACTCAACCTATGGATTATTTGCTCATCTTTGGAAATCAGGTCCCAAAGCTGGTGCATGAAGGAGATTGATTTCCATCCTCTGCTATTTGGTTTAATGAGATGCTTGGAAGAGTTGGATCCAGCTGCCAATCTGGGCTTCATCCTTGTTTACTCTTTGGACCTGCATTTCAAGAGGTTTTTTTCCGCTTTTAGGATGCTTTCGATTTGTTTAGTTTGGTAAGTATTGAACAATATTATAAAGCTTTGCTGATAAGATTGTATAATTCGGACTCCTGAGTTGATCTGGGTGTGATTATCTAGCAAAGCATTAAGGTTCATTTAAAACTGTTGATCAGATCATCGCGCCAAGATCATTTACCCATTTGAGTAATCTATTACCTGATCCTGCAAGAATGTAGATGAGAGCATTTCACTCTGATTTGAACCATGACCTGTAAATCTGTGAAGCACATTTTAATCATGTTTGTGTCATCATCGTTTACTCCCTTTGGATCAAGAACATTTGCGGAGAGGACTACTACGGCCGGCTGTGTTTTGAAGAGATGATGTCTCTGATGTTCTTAGTAATGAATGAGTTACACAGGAAAAAAAACCCCATGCTCTGCTCTATGATTCTGAAGGGACGATGTTGATCTCTCTCTCTTAATGCTGTAGATTGTGAAGAGCGTCTTTCTTTCCAATCAGAATCACCTCTGCTCCTGTTTTCTTAACACTTGTTTTTGACGGTCAGCTCTCTCTTAATTGGACGAGTCACTTGAGGTGAACTGTGAATTTCTTTCCTATTTCCTTATTGAAGAAATTATTGATTTAGCTAATTGTAAGCAGTTGAACTTGATTTAGAAGTTATTTTATGATGTTTGTTATGGTTGATGAACTTGACGATTCTTTTAGATTACGAATCCTCATTTTATTGATCATATTAGGATCCTCATCAGATCTCAGGTTGACTGATTTTTATCCAAATCGATGGTCTACCCGCCCATTCGAGGAACCATGAACATGATCGCGTGTGTTTGAGCGGCCTCAAGTAATGCGTCTGGCTCCTGAACGATTGAATTCCCTTTTGATCATTTCGTTTCCGGGTCAACCCAAGAACGAATGCTCGGCGTTCGCCCATTTGGGGTACCGACGGTGAATCCTGGGTTTGACTGGATTTGGTGAATTATTCGGTCAATAAGTGAGGATTTCTGATTGGTCACGATATCAGTTTTTGCTTATAAATTGTCCCATCCCAGATGATCTTTTCTCTAATTTGACAATGCGAATCAGCTCAACCATCATTTGCACATTTACTGCTTGTATCCCATCTCATATGATCTTTGTGATATTAATATTTTCGAGATTTTTTTTGCCTCTTAGGATATAATTTTCTTAACTCCTTGTTCTTTATTATTATTATTATTATTATTATCCACTTGCTCCTTTTGGGTGCAGGAGTTTGATGAAATGTCCCGTGGCTTGGTACGGAAACCCATGCGGGGGGGGGGGGTCCTGCGGCCTAATGAGTTCATCGTTTAAGGTAAAATCCCACACTGGTTGCGAAAAAAAGAGATCTTAGATTCTGTTTCGAGTTCTTCGGCGGACGGGCTTCATATTTTTTTCAGAATCTGTGGGTTGTGTTCGAGCTTGATCTTGGACTGAGTTGCAATATGAGTAAGCTGGAAGGTTCCGTTCATCTCGCCGCCCGATCGATTTTGGGTTTGGTGATCTAGCAAAAGTTTTAATATTTTTGCCGAAATTTATGCCCGCTCTTTGGTTGGAATCAAATATGAGGTTTTGGAGTTGAACACGTTTGATTCTTCCCCGACCGAATTCGATATCTACGGGGCAGGAGATCTATGACATCTCCCTCGAGGATCCCAATTATGGGGGGTGGAGATAGATAGATAGATAGATAGATAGATAGATAGATAGATAGATAGATCGAGAGAGAGAGAGAGAGAGCGCTCTTCTTCTTCCTCTTCTTCTTCTTCTGCCTTCTTCTTCTTCGTCTCAGGAGCGGGGGCGGTGGCTACGTCGACGCGGCGAGCTCCCTCGTTGGTCCTGTCACCGGTCACAGGCGGCAATGGCGGCGTGAGATTAGATTCCTGAGAGACAATGAGGGATATGGACGAGAATCGAAATTCGCAGCGGAAATCGACGCACCCGACACGATGGGATATCATCAGTTGGAAATCAAAGAGGGCGAGGGTGGGGCACAGATCGAGCCCTAGAAGTCTTGGGCGTCGAGGGGAGGGAGAAGGGGGGGGGGGGGCGTGCACGTACGTGGCCGGGAGGAGTCGGATCAGCATTCTTCGGCGTCCGACGGCTTAGGGGAGGAGGAGCGTCGCCGATCAGTGTCCTCGCCGGCGAGCAACTCGCCGCCGGCTCGGGACCCCCCGGCGGCGCCGCCGTCGTCAGATCCGCGTCCTCGTACCACGGCACCACCTGGTTGTCCCCATCGTCGTCGTCGCTGCGGTCGCACTCCTCCATATCCTCCATGTCTTCCTCGTCTTCCTCCTCGCCGACTAGGCTCCTTCTTCCCGGAGCTCCCCCTCCGATCTTCCCCTTCTCCGACGCCCCGCAGGCCGCCTCTTCCCTGCGGCGGAAGCAGATCAGGCAGACGGAGACGGAGGGCCCGAGGCGCGGCCCCTCCGCTCGCCACGGCGTCGGCCCCTGGCAGGTCCTGCAGAGCAGCCTCCGCAAGTGCCGCGCCACCAGGAAGTTCGCCCCGTGCACCTCCGCGTCGCACTCCCAGCACAGGTCCGCCTCGTCCGATTCGCACCGCGTCCTCGCCGCCATCCCGCACAGCTCGCACTTCTTCCTCACCATCGCCGCCGCTCCTCCTCAGATCCTCCGATCTGTTTCCCGCGCCTCCGGTTCTGCTCTCTTCCTATCTACCTTCGCGGGTACGATCAGTACGGCCCCACCATTCCACGTCATCCTGTCGCTTCGTATCCGCTCACCGCAAATCATCACATAATTCGCTACCGAAGCCGTCGTGTACCCGAGAAGGGCGGGTTTTCTCGAGAATTGGAGAGGATCTTCGGTGACCGTATCACCCGTCGAGATCGTGGGGGGAGAGGCGAGCGTTGGATTATCTCCCACGTGGCGGTTGATGGCGATGTGACGTCAGGAAAACAGGTGTCGAGATCGAAAGGCCTTCGAGGCGTACTTTCCGATCTATTTCAGCCGGGACACGTGATGATTATGACGTGGCTCATAAAAAGTTATCCACGTCACAGATGATCTGTCACTTATTGGCTGTGCCATTCGGAACCCTTGAAGCCTTACTCCTGTCGGTAAGTTAATAGGGATTCGGATCCCGTTCGGATAGTCAGTAAGGACTCGGATCGCCCCCTCCCCCCATTCTTCTCTACCCTCGAAGCAGGGCGCAGAGGGAGAGGAAGGGAGAGAGAGATGCATGCAGAGGGAAACCCTATAATTTAGGAGATCTACGACGGGAAAGGGAAGAGCTCACCCTGTAGACGTAACCAAACACCCATTTTCACAGCATGTTTTCATCGGAGAGGTTTGTCCTGGCGGCCTTCATGTTCCTGAGCTCTAGTGGGAGAGGGAACCTTTGAAGCCTCCTTCTATGTTCCCATCACATTAGAGTGGCCCCACCTCCACCTCCTCCTCCAAATCATGCCAAGTCATAACATTTGTTGTCGATTAACTTGAAATAATTCTCGATTCAGGGATCTTCTTGTTATCAGGATATGAGAATTTTTTAGGTTGATTAGGTCAACTTGTTGAGATATGCCTTAATTTTTTCACTCTCCCTTCACTTTTGGGTTTGGTTTCAGGTACAAAATCACTCCACCCATTTGGGATAAAATAATATTAAAAAGGAGGTTTGGTGAGAGAGAGAGAGAGAGCAAAACATGAAAATTATCTCACAGGCAGCAAAAATTAGGGATCCAACATCTCTCTAATTTAGTGCCTTTGGTCATGAGCTGGTCTATTCTTTATTTATTTCATCTTTATTTCTTCATTAATAGTGAAACTTCTCCTTCTCATTTTGGTCGCTGTGAGAAGTTGTTTTAACGTCTTTGTACCACATTAATTAGAGAGATGTTGGATCCATCAAGGCCTAGCCCAATTGCGTTTTCCACCAAGAAAATTGAAAAAAATCAAGTCAAGAAGTTCAGCAAGATCAGAAGAATTCAACTGATCAAGCATAGAGGGCCTCAAATGGCTATATGGATAGTCTTTGATGTTCTTTTGCAAATGAAAAAGACATACCAGATAAATCTATTGGAAGTTAGATGGTAAGCCCCAACAAAATTGAAAGGTATATGCTGTTGCTTCTTAGAGTCATGAAGGTAGAGGACAAGGACAGCCAAAGGAGCAAACATGAGAGCCTGCTCATGAATGTGGGGAGGACCTTATGAAGATAAAAGAAGAACTAGAGCGACTCAAAAGTATGTTGAGTTCTACCTCATTGACATGCTTAGATGAAAACAAAGTATTTTTCAGTAATGTTATTATCCCAAAACTTAGTAAAATACATTAGATTATTGATATTGATGCCACATATCACATGACACAAAATATCTCTAGATTCGTTAATTATTCAAAGATAAATAGGCCACATAAGGTCTTTACAGCTGGAGGAGGGATCTTATTGATAAAACAAAATCGAGGGTCATTGAAAAGTCCTAAAATTAGTTGATCAAAAATATTTAGAATCATAAATTTACCAAATTAAAATACTAAAATAGTTTACTATGACAAGTTCAAGGCCGATCCACAAGGAATGAGAATTAGGTATTAATTAGTTACTATTTTATTTGATTGATCGATTTAAATCAAACAAACTCAAAGGAGAGGCGATGACAAGTAAGAAGGATTTTTACTATTAAAAAAGGGGGAAATAGAAATTCAGTGATACAGAAGACGATTAAGGGGGGGAAACTGTATTTAACTATTTTAGTAAAATACGATTTTACCAAATCATATATTTTTTATGGATGATTTTTCAGTTTTTGGTCAATCATTTGAGTGCTGTCTCACTAACTTAGCAAAAGTTTTGCAGCTGTGCGTGGACAAAAACCTAATGCTATGTTGGGAGAAATCCCATTTCATGGTGCAAGAGGGGGTGGTGTTGGGCCATCTAGTCAGCAACCATGGATTAGAGGTAGACAAGGCCACGATAGAAGTGATCCAAAATCTCCTCCCTAATTCCATTAGACAACTGAGATCTTTTTTTGGGTCATGTTGGTTTTTATAAACATTTTATTAAAGACTTTGCTAAAGTTTCCAAACCTTTGACTAACTTACTTTCTAAGGATGTTCATTTTGAAATAGATGCTGCATGCCAGCAAGCTTTTTTACAGATTAAGAGGGCACTTATAGAGGCTCCAATTTTGCAACCACCCAACTAGAGCCTTCCTTTTGAATTGATTTGTGATGCCTCAGATTTTGTAGTAGGAGTAGTGCTAGGTCAATGAATTGACAAGAAACTCGTGGCAATTTACTATGCAAGTAAAACATTGGTCGAAGCTCAAGTAAATTATACTACTATAGAAAAAAAATTATTAGCTATTGTTTTTGTATTAGCTACTGTAGCAAAATTATCATATACTCTAATCATTCTGCCCTTAAATATTTACTTAGTAAGAAAGAAGCCAAACCTCGATTAATTAGATGGGTTTTATTATTACAAGAATTTGATATAGAAGTTAAAGATAGACAAGGATGTGAAAATTGTGTAGCTGACCACTTATCTAGATTACATATACACAAATCAAATCCTATTGCTGAAAATTTTCTTGATGAATAGCTCCTTAGTATACAAGCTACAAAATTACCTTGGTATGCACATATTGTGAACTATTTAGTCACTGGTCAAATTTCAAATGGGTGGACAACAAATGAGGAAAAGAAAATTTTCAAAGACATTTCAATTCTATTTTTGAGAAGAACTTGAATTGCTTCATTTAAGAGTTGACCATATTTTTAGACGATGTGTCCCTGAAGATGAACAACATAGCATATTAAATTTTTGTCATTCTTCTTGTGGTGGACATTTTGCATCCAATAAAACTGCTGCAAAAATTTTACAATGTAATTTTTTTTGACCTACTATGTTTAAGAATTCATACGATTTTTGTAAAACTTGTTTGAAGTGTTGAGCTACAATCAACATAACTAAGAAAGACTCTATGTCATTACAACCAATGATAGAAGTTGAAATTTTTTATTTGTGAGGCATAGATTTTATGGGACCATTTCTCTCATCTAATGGTCATGAATACATCTTAAGACTATTGATTATGTTTCTAAGTGGATAGAGGGTATCTCTACTAGAACAAATGATCATAAGGTGGTCCTTAAATTTATTGTGCAGCATATCTTTTCACATTTTGGTTGTCCAAGAGCCATAATTAGCGATGGTGGATCGTATTTTAATAACTATCATTTCAGGGCCTTAAGAAATATGATATGCAGCACAAGATGATCACATCCTATCACCCACAAGCAAACGATCAAATTAAAGTCACAAATAGGGAAATCAAAAATATTTTACAGAAAATCATTAGACATGATGGTAAAGATTAGGCAAGTAAACTTTCTGATGCATTATGGGCATATAACAGCCTATAAAAATCCTATGGGAATGTCTCCATATAGATTGATTTTTGGTAAAGCTTTTCACTTACTAGTTGAAATTGAACATAGAGCTTATTGGGCTATCAAAAAGCTAAATTTATCTTTAGATGATGTAGGGAAAAAAATGATTCTACAAATTTAGGAGCTACAAGAATTACGAAATGAGGCTCACAAAAATTCAGTGATTTATAAAGATAAACTTAAAACTTTTCATGATAGGTACTTGAATTGTAAGTTATTATTTGAAAATCAGAAAGTTTGGCTATACAACTCACGTCTGAAATTATTTATAGGAAAACTTAAATCAAGGTGGGATAGACCTTTCATTGTTATAAAATTATTTAATTGTGGTGCAGTTTTAATTGCAAATCCTAAGACAGGTCAGCAGCTTAAAGTGAATGAGGAAAGACTCAAACCATACATGGAGCACGAGCAACATCCTCTAGACAATTCTCTTCAACTGTAAGATCTGTCGCCATCTCAAACCTCCCATTGACAACATCCTGGTCACTAAATTTACAGTTTTTAGATCTTAATATAATCACTATTTTATTCAACAGCTTCTCTTCTTTTCAATCTTCCTTTGTAGTTATCTTTTAGTGCAGTTGGAGTACACAGATTGGTTCAGTACATGATCATGGCAATAGGGTGACGCATACATTGTACAGCAACAACAAATACAACATAGACTGCATTACTCAATTTGCACCTTCTATCTCTAAATCTATTTTTTATGCACTAGGGACAGTGCGTGAATTAAGTTAGGGGGTGAGAAGATAAGTTTCTTGTAGTATGCACTCACATATATGAATACACACATTTTTGAATTTATCTTATAGTTGCACTATAGAAAGACTCAATCGAAACAACACAATTCAGATTGTCATATTATTTAATCTCTATACTCACAAACTTGCCTCCATTAAATGAGTCTTAAGAAGAGAGATCATGCTGAGTAGTGTTTTAGGTATTCATGAACATGAGTTTGTACTAAGTAGGTTTAATTATTATTTTTTAATTCCAAATACTTATTTTTTGTCATAGAATTAGTTCAAGCTACTTGATTTTCTAGCTTAGAATACTTTATGATTTAGATCACGAGTTGAAGGAAGATCACACTCAACACTTTTATGTTCATATAGAATTTACCAAAGTGTGAGCCTCCAAAGTATGAATATTTACATTCAAACTTTCAACAAATATTTGGAGAAAAGCTACCTGCTAGCATTAAAAAAAAAAAGAATTTTTGTGCAGAGTGAAGCCCAAATGCAAATAAAAGAGGATTTTTCCTCTTTGTCTTGTGGAGCTTCCACATGTGAGACTTGGACAAGTATTACTTTATTTTGGAAAAGCTACCTGCACAACACATGAGTCATATTCAATAAGTTGCAGTGAACTGAGTTAAACTCAAAGTTTAAAATCTATTGGTGATATTTGGCTAGAAATGAGAATAGATGAATTGGTAACTAGACAATTCAGTTGTTGAGTTTGAAAAAACTGAGCTAACTTGAACTCTACTTAATCGTGATTCATGAATGTCTTAACATGAGCAGGTGAAACTCTCCAATGAAGATTTGTGAAATGATAGGCAAGTTAGTTGATGTGTGGGGTGAATGTCAATATGAATTTCTATTAAATTACTATGTAGGAACTTGAGGTATTTTCTTGCTAAGAGTCTAGCAATAACTCAAGTTGGGGGGTGTGATAACATGCTGATTATGACACAAAAGGCATAAAAATTATTTTATTCAAGAGCTTAACTCTTACAATCTAGCATGTTATCATATTAAAAAAATAAAGATTTATTATTTTAGAAATATTTCATGATGTTTAATATCTTAGAGAATTTTTCAGAATTTCTTTTCTGAGTTTTATAGTCATAACTAATTTTTTGATTAATATGAGAGAATTTCAGGAATTTTTGACATTTTTTTTATGGTTTTTAGGAAGCCGATATATACTTCAACAAATGAGATTTGATATGTGGAGATGAGACAACGTAATGAAGGGCCGAGGCACTGACATGCAGCATCATCAAATGACGAGATCGAAAGCTGTTGAGAATGTCTACACAATTAATGACAGATGGAGCATATTTACCGAGGGTGTAGTGGATCTCAACATTTAGGAAAATCCTACAGCTATGACAAGATCTCCAAATCCAATGCTTCAGATCAACTCGAGAGGAAATCGACTCTCACTTAATCTCATCACGACCCAAGAGATATAAATATCCTCATTTAATCACAGCCCTAGATCAGATGATCTTGGATGAACCGGCTCACGAGAAGGCACGATCAGCCGAACACGTGTACTCCCATACTCTCGTGTAAAACCTTACACATTTAAGCCACCGTTTAAGGGTGGAAAACCTTACTTTGAATGTCCCAACATTTAGTCTGCTTGGATGAAACCGCAGTGAGAAAAAGTATACTCGAAGAGAAAACTGCAGCTAAGATCATCAAAAAAGTGTACTCGAAGAGAAAACGACATGACCTTGGCGAAATATAGAGGCCCGAGGTAAGTTTTTGCAGGTTTGATGCATTTCGAGTCTGAATAACCATCTAGCTTTCGTAGGTTTTAATAGATAGAGGTACGCTGTTAACCTCGTATTATGATTCATTTGTGAGTGTTTCTCCCTTTTAATCGTCTTCTACATTGCTGAATTTCTGTTTCCCCCTTTTCTGATAGTGAAAATCTTTCTTAATTGACGTTGCCTCTCCTTTGAGTTCGTTTGATTTAAATCAGTCAATCAAATAAAATAGTAACTAATTAACGCCTAATTCTCATTCCTTATGCATTTCGGGGGTGAAGTATTAAGTCTTAATTTATGGTGTAGAATGATTAAGAAAATATGTTCACATTTGTTTTCATGCTCACTTATAAAAGCAACTAAAAAACAAACAAACTATAATATCTATTTTCTAGTTTTCTGTCAAGAACTGCAGAAAATAATTTGTAGACTATCAAAAACAGCTGAAAAAATAATCCAAAATTTGAAATTTTAGAGACCTTTTTCTCACATTTCAACTCCTAGACATATATTTATGAAATTCGAAAATTAAAGCTATAAAGAGGATAATTTTGATTTATTTTTGACATTGTTGCTGAAAATAAAATTGAAAACAAAAAGTAGAATTGTTAGAACCATCTAGTTTATAAATGTCTTACATCATGTTGGATGCACGAAAAATTAAATTAATTAGATTGATTGATACCAAAATCGTCTATAGAAAAATACTTGCTGCAAAATAAGTGGATAATGTGAAAGCCGTGAAAATGAAGAGTACACAAGGAGGGTGTGAGACATTATTCTTATTGACGAAATTTGTCTATAGGAAAAGCTACTTATCTACTATAGAAAAATAAATAAATAGAATAAATATAGTACAAATTTTAAAAATCAAGCTATGAAAAAAGAGAAATGTAGGATATTATTCTTGGATAAATATTGATAATTAGAACATCTTGTGAATTACCCTATCAAGTGGCTGATAACATATTGATTATCATATGAAAAGCATAAGAAATTTTATTCAATAGTTTAAATCTTACAATCTAGCATGTTATCATATTAAAAAATAATTATTTAATTTCCTTGAGTGATTATGATCATGACACAGCTAAATTACACCAACTTACTCAATTTTTCTTACTTTCCATACAAGTAGCTTTTCCCATCGAAAATTCTTTTAATTTGCCCTAGTCTCACATGTGGAATCTCCACAGGGCAATTGGGAAATCCCTCATTTAATGCATGCTTTTGGGCCTTCACTCTACATGTCATAGTAGGTATCATGCAAACCTTTTTGGTCTTAATCTCACATATGGAAGCCTCATGGGGCCAGCCAAGGTGCTTACTATCATTATTCACTTTCTATTTCATTTGTTTCTTTTGGCTGGTATGCTCTTCACTGGTCTAATCTTGTCTCAAGTATAAACATGACTAATGATTTGAAAATGCATTGGCTAATTCAAAAACAATTCAACTATTTATTGATCAAGATCAAAAAAAGATTCAATTTACTGATTATAGTCCCAAAAAAGAAATTCATGACCATAGAATCAACTCGTGATCAATGAAAATTTGATTCATATAACACAAGTTCATGAAAATTTTATAAATTATGTGAACCTAAAACTAGTATGAGGGTAATGTCATGCACCTAATGCCTCCCCCCCACTATAATTTGCATTGTCCTTAATGTATCATGAGAAGAAAGAAACAGATCGCAAACAAATAATGAATCTCGTAAGATAGGTGCAAGAATATAAGGAAGTGAAGCATGGCAAACCAATCTAGATTGATGGTGCACAACTCTTGGATGAAGCTTAAACTTCTGTGTGGAAATAAAAAGAATGGCAGCTTGAGAGTAAAATGACATAAAACACTCAAAACTATGAAACCAAAGAAATGAAAGCAAATAAAAAAATGAAATAAAATGCACTATTGAAGTAATCAATGACCATAAGGAAATGGCTCTAGCTACTGTAGGCTGATGGAGATCAAGGCTGCCTGCTGCTCATATTCTAGGTAGGGCTTTAAGTGCAGCCCATTCACTTTAGATGTTTTACTTGTTTTAAGATCTGTTATTAAAATAGTTCTTGAGTTAAAACTCTGCACAACAACGAATGGACAATCCCAACAAGATTTGAGTTTACTCAGAAATAATTTTAAACGAGAATTATACAACCAAACCTTCTAATTTTGATAAAATGATTTACAATTGATCTTCTTGTCATGAAATGCTTAGCTTGGCCTTGTAGATATTGGAATTCTCGTAAGCTTCACTTTGTAATTCTTGTAATTCTTGTAATTAAAGAACATGTTGCCCAATATGCTCGATGCTCAATTTTAATAGGTAAGTGACATGTTTTGTCATAAATCAGGTGGAAAGGAGACATGCCAATGGGATTTTTCAATGCTCTTATGTAAGTTTAAAGTGCATCAAGAAGTTTCTCGGCCCAATCTTTACCATCAGGCTATATGATTTTCTTCAAGATCTTCTTGATTTCTCTATTGCTCAATTCCACCGGTCCATTAGCTTGCAGATGATAGGACATCGTCAACCTATGATGTACTCTAGATTTTTTCGAAAGTGAAAATTATTAAGATGAGACCCACCGTCACTAATGATAGCACGAGGACAGCTAAATCTAGAAAAAATATTCTATACAATGAACTTGCATATAATTTTATGATCATTAGTTCTAGTGGGGATGGCTTCTACCCATTTGGAAACATAATCAACAACTAATAGAATATATTCATTACCTGCGGAAGAAGGGAATGGACCCATAAAATCGATCCCCAAAGATCAAATATTTCTACCTCCAAAATCGGTTGAAGGGGCATCACATCCTTCTTTGAGATGTTTACCATGGCTTGGCATGTGACAAATAAAATATCCTACAAAATTGATGAGAATCTCAAAAAATAGTAAACCAATAAAATCCATATTGCAAAATTTTTGTTGCAGTCTTTTTGGATGCAAAATGCCCTCCACATACGAAAGAATGACACATGGTTAGTATGATGAACTGTTCCTCTTCAAGTACACATCTGCATAGAATTTGGTCAATTCTTAGACGAAATAATTCTGGTTCTTCCCAACAATAAAACTTAAGGTCACAGAAGAACTTACGTTTCATGTTCATTGACCAACTTGTGGGCACTTGACCTGTCACTAAATAATTCACAATATACACATACCATGGCAATGTACATGTATCAACTTTTAATAAATGTTCATCAAGAAAAGAGTCTATAATAGATAAGTTGTTAGATACATGAAGTCTAGATAAATGGTCTGCGACGTAATTTTCACTACCTTTCTTGTCCTTGATGTCTAAATCAAATTCTTACAATAAAAGTATCCATCGAATTAATCTTGGTTCAGCTTCTTTCTTTACTAAAAAAAACTTAATGACGGAATAATCTGTATAGACAATCACCTTCATTCCTAACAAGTATGAGTGAAATTCTTCTAAATCAAGTACAGTAGCTAATAACTCTTTTCTGTTGTAGTGTAATTTAATTGAACATCAGCTAGAGTTTTACTCGCATAATAAATCGTGACTAGTTTTTTTATCAATCTGCTGGTTTAGGACTTCTCATACAGCAAAATCCGATGCATCACACATCAATTCAAAAGGATGAGACCAATTAGGACCTTGTAAAATTGGGCTTCTGTCAATGTTTGTTTTAATTTCACAAAAGCTTCTTTTCCTTCGGAGCTAATCATAAAATTGGTATCTTTAGAAGCAATTGAGTGAGAGGTTTAGCTAAATTCGCAAATCCTTCGATGAATTGTCTATAAAACCTGTGTGTCCTAAGAAAGCACATAATTGTTTAAGAGAAGTAGGTAGTGGCAGATCCTTGGTTATCTCAATTTTGACTTTGTCCACTTCCAGTCCACACTGGCTGACTACATGACCAAGCACCACGCCTTCCTTTACCATAAAGTGGGTCTTCTACCAACTTAGAACAAGCTTTTTATCAACACAAATCTGAATCACTTTAGTCAAATTGATTAAACGATCATCGAATGTTTATCTAAACACAGAAAAATTATCCATAAAAAATTCAAGACAATCTTCCATGAGATTATAAAATATTGCACTCAGCATCTTTGGAATGTTGCTAGTGTATTGCATAGTCCGAATGGCATCCTTGTAAACACATATTTTCCATATGGACAGGTGAACGTTGTCTTCTCTTGATCTTCTAGACAAATTTCAATTTGATTGTAACCTAAATGACCATCTAAAAAATAGAAATAATGTTGCCCTACAAGATGTTCTAAAATCTGATCAGTAAAGGGTAACAGAAAGTGATCTTTCTTTGTTACTTGATTGAGCTTTCTATAGTCGATACAAATGCGCTAGTTGGTGGTTAATCTTGCTTGGATCTCTTCCCCCTTTGCTTTTTTAGAAACTATTATACCTTATTTTTTTGGAATAATATGTATGGGGCTTACCCACGGGCTATTAGAAATTGCATAGATGTTCCCCCCATCCAACTACTTTACAATCTCAGCCTTGATTACTTCAAGCATCGTTGGATTTAATCTTTGCTGCACATCTCTTATTGGTCGAACATTATCTTCAATAGAAATATGATGCATACATACCTCAAGGCCTTTGCCTTGTATATCTAAGTTAAGAATTAGTAAATAATATAGTTTTAGCCTTAACTCATGATAAATAGACTTATATTTGTGTTAAAGTGTGAAAAGTAGTTTTTAGTTGATTAACGTGAATTTTTGGCTAATTATGTGATTTTTTACGAATTTATATGATTTTTATAGTCTTATTTTTGAGATAAATAAAGAAAAAGAAATTAAAATAAAAATATAGCAAGAGGGGGGGACCTGCTGGCCAGCTGGGTTTGTAAGTGGGTTAGAAGCGTAATTCGGGGGGGGGAGCCACGAGCAGGGGCTCGAGCGGCTAGGACCGATGGGGGCACATGTCTGCCACTCCCTTTTCACATCACTGGTGGCCAGCTAGTTGTGGGACAAAGAGTGGTCGTACATGCGGGAGAAAGAGACTCATTACTTGCAAATGTGATTTTACTATATATTCACCTAAAACTTCGACACAAATGATGTGGGACTAAACTCGTGTCACACCTTCCCTTGAAAAGCTTCGAAGATTTTAATACTTAAACTACCCCTTTGTTATAATAGAGATATACCATGATGATGTCACTTGATAAGGATATTAAAGTACTTATTTCAATATCTCTCATGTAGGGGGGCAAACAATGCGAGTTCAAATCCTCCAAGAGCCAAAATTTGTATTTTTATCTAATTATCGCGACTTTCCTACAAATCGCCGGTGAAGGATTAAGCCATTAGAATTGTTTGATCATTGGGAAAAATCTTATCAACACGATTTGCGGAACATTGTTACTAAAATTGCTGAATGATTTGCAATAAAAGGATTGCGAATCTATCGAGTAAATCATCTCCAATTGATCGACAAACAAGCCATCGTCAGAAAGAGGATGATCCGCTAGGAGACGAGTTATCATCTCCTGAGAGCATACTGGATGCGATGAAGAGCCTTCTCTTACTACACGGACCTGAGGATGAAGCTCCCTGACACATGCCTCACCTCCATCTAGCTCCTCTCTATTGGGTGATAGCTGCCGGAGAGCCCCAAAGTCGCCATTTTTCTGCCCCGCCGGGTGATAATTGCCGAAGACGATTCGATGACTCATTTCATTGATCTCTAGACTTCGCAAGGAGATCTAGAGATTGTCCACGTCATCCTTGTCCAAGGAGAGCCTTTGAAGGCATGGACACTACACAATGATTGATAAGTCTTCATTATCATGAGTTAATAATAAGTAAATAATATAGTTTTAGCCTTAACTCGTGATAAATAGACTTATATTTGTGTTAAAGTGTGAAAAGTGGTTTTCAGTTGATTAATGTGATTTTTTGGGTAATTATGTGATTTTATACGAATTTATGTGATTTTTATACTTTTGAGATAAATGAAGAAAAAGAAATAAAACTAAAATATTGCAAAATGGGGGAGACCCGCCGGCCAGCCGGGCCCGCAAGTGGGTCGGAAGCTCAGTCAGGGAGTAGCCGCGAGCAGGGGCTCGAGCGGCTTGGACCGATAGGGGCACGTGTGCGCCACTCCCCTTCCACGTCATCGGTGGCCAGCCGGCTGTGGGGCAAGGAGTGGTCGTACACGTGAGAGAAGGGACTTTGCTTAAAAAGCTAACATTACTATATATTCACCTGAAAAATCGGCGCACAACCGATGTGGGACTAAACCCGCGTCACACCTTCCTCAGAAGGGGCGGACAACCGGTGCGGGTTCAAATCCTCCCAGAGTCAAAATTCATATATTTTTATCTGATTATCGCGACTTTCCTGCAGATCGCTGGTGAAGGATTAAGCAACCAGAATCGCTGGATCATCGGCGAAAATCTCGTCAACGCGATTCGCGGAACATTGCTACTAAAATTGCTGAACGATTCGCGATAAAAGGATCGCGAATCCATCGAGTAAATCATCTCCGATTGATCGACGAACAAGCCATCGTCGGGAAGAGGACGATCCGCTAGGAGACGAGTCGCCACCTCCTGAGAGCGTACCAGATGCGATGAAGAGCCTCCTCTTGCTGCGTAGACCTGAGGATGAAGCTCCCTAATATGCGCCCCACCTCCATCCAGCTCCTCTCCGTCGGGTGACAGCCGCTGGAGAGCCGCAAAGTCGCCGTTTTTCCACTCCGCCGGGTGACAGCCGCCGGAGACAATTCGACGACCCACTTCATTGATCTCTAGACTTCGCGAGAAGATCTAGAGATTGCCCACGTCGTCTTTGTCCAAGGAGAGCCTTCGAGGCCGTGGACACTGCACGACGATCCTCCCGAACGCTCAGGATTCCGGTGCATCGCCGACGCATCGCCGTCGTGACGCCGGAACTCTGTTTTCCTGCTTTAAATTTACTTTACGCTTCATTTAGTGATAATTTTTGTGTTTTTAAGTTACCAAAATATACTTTGTTCAATTACGATTCTTCCGGCTTTTACAGATCTTAATTTGATTAATTAAATCGTCTGTAATCGCTTACGCAAGAATCGCCGGGCGGAACTCTGTTTCTGCCCGATTCGCGTTCGCCAGGCGCTGACGTCATCTTGACGTCCGCGTCCTTATTTCTTTTTTTTTCGTGAATTTTAAATATATTTCCTTCTTATTTCCTAGTATAAAATTCATAGAAAATCGTATTCATTGAGAAAAATTCTGAATAAATACCAGATATTATATTACATCCCTGTGATCGACCTGGAAAATTACTGCTATTTTTGGAATTTTTTATTGAATTATAATTGATATATTTATTTAGAAATACTTCTAAATATCCAAAAATTCGTATTTTCTAGTATTATAAATTTTATATTTACGTGATTTAATATACAACGACTGAGTCACGTCAATAATCCTCCTGAACGCTCAGGATTCTAGTACATCACCGACGCATCACCGCCGCGACGTCGGGACTCTGTTTTCCCACTTTCAACTTAATTTCTACTTCATTTAGTGATAGTTTATGTGATTTAAATTTACCAAGTTATACTTCATTCAATTACGATTCTTTCGGCTTTTACAGATCTTAATTTGATCAATTAAATCATTTATAATCATTTACGTAAGAATCATTAGGTGAAACTCTATTTCTACATGATTCGTGTTCGTCAGGTGTTGACATCATCCTGACGTCCGTACCTTTATTTTCTTTTTTCATGAATTTTAAATATATTTTATTTTAATTTTATAATATAAAATTCATAGAAACTAGTATTCTTTGAGAAAAATTCTGAAAACTTGATATTAGATTACATCCCTGTGATCGACCTAGAAAATTATCACTATTTTTGTAATTTTTATTAAATTTAATTGATATATTTGTTCAGAAATACTTCTAAATATCTGAAAATTAGTATTTTCTAGTTTTATAAATTTTAAATTTGTGTGCTTTACTATACAATGACTAAGTCATGTCAATAGGACTTACCCATTGATAAGTCTTCATTATCATGAGTTAATAATTAGTAAATAATATAGTTTTAGCCTTAACTCATGATAAATAGACTTAAATTTGTGTTAAGTGTGAAAAGTAGTTTTCAATTGATTAATGTGAAATTTTGGGTAATTATACGAATTTTTATGATTTTTATAGTCTTACTTTTAGGATAAATGAAGAAAAAGAAATAAAAATAAAAATATAGCAAAATGGGGGGGGGGGACCCACTGGTCAGCCGGGCCCGCAAGTGGGTCGGAAGTGTAGTCAAGGAGGAACCGCGAACAAGGGCTCGAGCGGCTACGACCGATTGGGGCACGTGTGCACCACTCCCCTTCCACGTCACCGGTGGCCAGCCGGTTGTGGGGCAAGGAGTGGTCGTACATGCACGAGAAAGGGACTTGATTGCAAATGTAATATTACTATATATTCGTCAAAAACTTCGGCGCACAAGCAATGTGGGACTAAACTCACGCCACACCTTCCCCAGAAAGGGCGGGCAACTGGCGCGAGTTCGAATCCTCCAAGAACCAAAACTCATATCTTTTATCTAATTATTGTGACTTTCCTACAAATCGCCGGTGAAGGATTAAGCTACTAGAATTGCTAGATCATCGGCGAAAATCTCGCCAACATGATTCGCGGAGCATTGTTACTAAAATTGCTGAATGATTCGTGAAACAAAGATTGCGAATCCATTGAGTGAAGCATCTCCGATTGATCGACGAACAAGCCGTCGTCGGGAAGAGGACGATCTGCCGGGAGATGAGTCGTCACCTCCTGAGAGCATACCGGATGTGATGAAGAGCTTCCTCTTACTATGCGGACCTGAGGATGAAGCTCCCTGACACGTGCCCCACCTCCATCCAGCTCCTCTCCGTCGGGTGACAACTATTGGAGAGCCGCAAAGTCGCCGTTTTTCCGCTCCATTGAGTGACAGCCGCCGGAGACAATTCGATGACCCATTTCATTGATCTCTAGACTTTGTAAGGAGATCTAAAGATTGCCCACACCGTCCTTGTCCAAGGAAAGCCTTCGAGGCCGTGGACACTGCACAACGATCCTCCCAAATGCTTAAGATTCTGGTGCATCGCTGACATATCGCCATTGCGATATTGGAACTCTATTTTCCTACTTTCAACTTAATTTCTACTTCATTAGTGATAATTTGTGTGATTTAAATTTACCAAGATATACTTCATTCAATTACAATTCTTCTGACTTTTACAGATCTTAATTTGATCAATTAAATTGTCTGTAATCACTTACGTAAAAATCGTCGGGCGGAACTCTATTTTTGTTTGATTCACATTCGTCAGGTGCTGATGTCATCCTGATGTCTGCACCCTTATTTTTCTTTTTCGTGAATTTTAAATATATTTTCTTTTTATTTCTTAGTATAAAATTTATAGAAAATAGTATTCTGAGGAAAATTTTGAATAATTACTAGATATTATATTACATCCTTGTGATTGACTTGGAAAATTATCACTATTTTTGAAAGTTTTATTGAAGTATAATTGATATATTTGTTTATAAATACTTCTAAATATCTAAAAATTTGTATTTTCTAATTTTATAAATTTTAAATTTGCGTGATTTACTATACAACGACTAAGTCACATCACCTATAGGCTGTCAGAGATTACATAGATGTTCTCCGCATTCAACTACTATATAATCTCAGCCTTGATTACTTCAAGTATCGTTAGATTTAATCTTCGCTGCACATCTCTTATTGGTCGAGCATTATCTTTAATAGAAATATGATGCATACATTCCTCAGGGCTGATGCCTTATATATCTGTTAAAGTCCACCCAATCGCCGCTTTGTATTTTTTTAATATCTCGATTAATCTTCCTTCCAGCTTCTTAATGAAGATAAAATAATCAAAGGAATGAATGATCCCAAAAATGCATACTTCATATGTGTAGACAATGGCTTCAAATTTGGCATAGTGCTGGATTGATTTGGAGAAATTTATCTCAATTGAGTTCACTGAATCCTCCAACGCACAGCTTGTCTCTCTGCTACAAAGCTCATTTGCACACTCATCAATGATATCAATATTACACAAATTTTCAGAGTAATCTAGATATTTCAATTATTTTGAGATATTTAATTCTACTCTCTCTTGACCAAACTTTAGCTCTGCGGTTCATTTTCTCCAATCCATTGTGGCTTTAACTATGGCCAAGAATGGCCTTCTGAGGATAATTGGAGCATGGCTTATGTTCTCCATGATCTTCATATAAACAGTAATAAAATCAATAGGAAAATAACATTTTTCTATCTTCACGATTACATCCTCTAATATTTCATAAGTTTGACAGAATGATCCATCTATTAGCTACAATTCTACCAAGAGGGGCTGTAAATCACCAATTTTATATAAATCATAAAAAGCCTAGATCCTGATTAGGTAAAATATTCACACTAGCTCTTGAATCAAGTAATGAATGTGTGAAAACCATACCTTAGATCTCGTATTTGATTAGTGGAGCACCTAGATCACACTTCTTAGTTACAATATTGATAATTATAAATTAATAGTTAGTATCTTATATATAGATATTAATTAGTGGGTAGATAATGCAATTATACATGTGTTACTAACTCATTATGTCATTCATAATGTTTCATCATTTAAGTTCTATTACATATTATTTTACTTATTTTATTGAGATTATGAGACTAACCCCACTTGACTTTTATGAAGTCAAGTAATGATTCTCTCACATTCTGTTGATAATTATTTGATTGCAAGGACTCAGGTGAGCTCTTATTATGAGCTAGAAGTAATGAAAGAAGCTCAAGTCTTCAACCCAAGGAAAGCCCAAGTCTTATGAAGGCTGGCCTAATATGTTTATAGGCCCAAGAGAGGGTGTCACTTTGGCCTAGCCCATTTGGACTTAAAAGGGCTATTAAGAGATGAGAACTAAGCTGCCCATCTTAAGACATCTTAAGATGAGATTAAGAGGAGAATTAGAGCGCCGTCCTCATGGAAGAATCTAGACTATCCACCAAGAGAGTCGATTATTAATCATAACTATCTATTGGAGGCGCCTAATTTTCTAGAGGTTTAAGGCCTCTTGTCCTCCTCTTGGAGGACACTTTTTGACTCTCTCTCTAGTAGTGGCTAGCTAGAGGAAATAAGAGGGAAATCAAGGCCTGGACAACAACATTCTTGTGCCTAAAATCATTGTGGAGAAGAGACTACCTGGAACGCATCAAGATCATCACAAATCAAGCACCACTCAGCCTAGGACTAACGCACAATGAGGTTTGTGCAAGATCTAGATCTGGGATGTCCTTGTAATCTTCTCTATAGATAGATTAATTTTTAATTTGAACTAGTTTTATCATTTATTCTATCATTCTATTGCGTTAGATTCATTCTCTCCCCTTTGCCATAATTTTCATTTTCCTTATCTTTACCCTTATTAAATTAATTCCACCCTTACAATCTCAAGCATATCTTTATATATATATAGAAATAAAATTAAGTAGAATTCTTACTCTCATTACTCACACTCCCTAAGGATCGGCCCTTACTTATCCTAAACGGAAGAGTGAGGCTTTATAAATGTTATTTGCATGAACTTGGTTGCATCAAGACGACATATTTAACCTCCAAATCAAGTTCATCAAATATGATTCAACAAAATTGAGCTAATGGTTTCAGACAATTGAATTATGTTTTGCTTCCTTGCTAGAATGCATAAACTTTTTAAAAATTTCGCATAAGATGGAATGTGTTGAATGACATCAACTAATAGTATATTGATTGTTACTTGTTTAAAAATTTCAAGGATTTTCTCATTAGAATCAGCACTTTTTAATTTGACATCACATAAGGCTTATGGAAATGGAATCGGAGGTGTATATGTGGAAGGGTTGGGTTCCATACCTTCCTTATTCTTACCCTTATTTTTTGTTGAAATCATTTCCTTTGATGCTTCTATTTCTTCCTCCTCATCCTATGCTTCACCTACAGCTGCGTGATATGGATCCGAAAGTACCTTACCATTTCTCAATTTGGAGATCCCATTGATTGTTTCACGATTTTGGTCGTTAAGTTCCAATTGATGGACTTGGCATTGATTTAATGGTCCTCTCATATTTCTTGGGTTGGAATCTGATTGCATGGGCAACTGTCCTAATTCTCTATTGCTATTATCTATTTCTATTCTCTTGTCAAGATGATTATCTGATCTGATTTGATTAGGTTGATATCGGCCTTCAATTTGGAACTTCATATGCCTCATTTCCTATTGTAATTCTCTTTGTTCTTGCAACATCTGCCTTAATAATTCCTACGTAGATAAATCATTAAATCCTACAGGTTGTTGAATTTGATGGTTAGGTGACGTAACTTAGTCGTTGTATAGTAAATCATGTAAATTTAAAATTTATAAAATTAGAAAATATAATTTTTTAAATATTTAGAAGTATTTGTGAACAAATATATCAATTATAATTCAATAAAAATTGTAAAAATAGTGAAAAATTTCCAAGTCAATCACACGGATGTAATAATATCAGATAATTTTTTAATTTTTTTTAAAGAATACATTTTTTTTATGAATTTTAGATTAAAAAATAAAAATGAAATATATTTAAAATTTGTGAAAAAAGAAAATAAGGGTGCGGACATCAAGATGACGTTAGCACCTAACGAATGCGAATCGAGTTGAAACAAAGTTCCACCTAGTGATATTTATGTAAGTGATTATAGATGATTTAATTAATCAAATTAAGATCTGTAAAAGCGAGAAGAACTGTAATTAAATGAAGAATAGTTTGATAAATTTAAATCACACAAATTATCACTAAATGAAGTAAAAATTAAGTTGAAAGTAAGAAAATAGAGTTCCGACGTCACGTCGACGATGTGTTGGTGATGCACGAAAATTCTGAGTGTTTGGAAGGATTGTTGTGCAATGTCTATGGCCTTGAAGACTCTCCTTGGACAAAGATGACATGGGCAATCTCTAGATCTTCTTGTGAAGTCTAGAGATCAATGAAATGGGTCATCGAATTGTCTTCGGCGACTGTAACCTAGTAGAGTGGAAAAATGGTGACTTTGCAGCTCTTTGACAGTTATCACCTGATGGAGAGGAGCTAGATAGAGGTGGGGCGCGTGTCAGGGAGCTTCATCTTCAGGTCCGCGCAGCAAGAGAAGATTTTTCATCGCATCTAGTACGCTCTCAGGAGGTGGTGACTTATTTCCTGGTGGATCGTCTTCTTCTCAACGATGACTTATTCGTCAATCAATTGAAGATGCTTTACTAGATGAATTAGCGATCCTTTTATTGCGAATCATTCAATAATTTTAGTAAGAATACTCTGCGAATCACGTTGACAAGATTTTCACCGATGATTAAGCAATTCTAGCAGCTTAATCTTTCATCGGCAATCTACAAGAATGTTATGATTTAATCAGATAAAAATATGAGTTTTGACTCTGGTAGGATTTGAACCCACGTCAGTCATCCACTTGTATGAGGGAGATTGAAATAAGTACTCTAATACCCTTATAAAGTGACATCATCATGGTAGATTGTTGTTATAACTAAGGGGTATTTTAGGTATTAAAATAAACAAAATCATTCTAAAGAAGGTGTGATGCGGGTTTAGTTTCACATCGATTGTATGCCAAAGTTTTGGATGAATATATAGTAATATTATATTTCCAAGCAATGAGTCCCTTTCTCACGTGTATTACCATTCCTTGCCCCATAGTCGGCCAGCCACCGTTGACGTGGAAGGGAAGTGGCGCACACATGCCCCCATCAGTCCATAACTACTTGAGCCCTTGTTCATAGCTCCCCCCAATGGGCTTTTGACTCGCTTGTAGGCCCGATTGACTGATGGGTCCCCCCCTTTCTCTATATTTTTATTTTAATTTCTTTTTTTTCATTTATCTCAAAAATAAGATTATAAAAATTATATAAATTTGTATAAAATCACATAATTAGCCAAAAATTCACATTAATCAACTCAAAACTACTTTTCATAATTTAACATAAATATAAGTCTATTTATCATGAGTTAAGGCTAAAACTATATTATTTATTAATTATTAACTCATGATAAAGAAGACTTATCACACCCCCGAACTTAAATCATTATTAGTCCCTTAGCAATAGAATTATGAGAAGAAAAAATCACAAATCTGAAAACATCATATTTCAGTACATAAAAAAAATATAATTAGAAATGATGCACCTTTAGACACTTTAGATTCTTATATCAAGTATTTAGGAATGATGTCAAGCACTTAAATATTTAAGCACTCCTTAGAATAACAATCTAAACTTTACTTCTTCTATTTACATCTTTATCATTTCTTCACTCATAGATATATTTACAAGATATTTTAATTATCAATTCTCATCTAAGAATAATATTGATCTTACATTTTCCTTTTTCCATGGGTTGATTTTTGAAGTTTGCACTATATTTCTTCTTTTTTTTCTATAGTGGATAAGTAACTTTTCCTGTAGACAAATTTGGACAATAATAATGATTACTCACACCTTCCATATGTATTCTTCATTTCTAGGGCTTTCACTTTATCCACTTATTTTGCAGCAAGTGTTTTTCTATCGCGATTTTCGACAATGAGAATGATGTATCACACCCTCTATGTGTACTCTTCATTTTTAGATTTTCCACATTACTCTCTCTCTTTTTTTTTTTCAAAATAAGTGATTTCTCCTCACAAGTCCTATAGATCAAGGTGCAAAAATCTCCATGAAACTCAAATGATCAATCAAATTTTCACATCAAGTAAATATTATCCATCAAGATTATGAAGTGAAAATTTGTAAAATCAAATCCATGTTATCTATCATATATCTAAGAAATATTTCAACATTTTATGCTACTAATCATTCTTTCAGCTCAATAATAATTTTTCTAGTATCTTTTGCTATCAATCAATCTAATTGATTTAATTTTTAGTACATCCAATATGATGTAAAAAATTTATAAATTACATAGTTTTGATAGTTCTGTTTTTTGTTTTCAGTTCTATTTTCAGCAACAATGAATTTGTCAAAAATAAATCAAAACTATCCTCTTTATAGCTGTAATTTCGAATTTCAGCAATATATGTCTAGGGGATTGAAATGTGAGAAAAGGCTCTCTAGAATTTCAAATTTCGGACTGGTTTTTCTCTGCTGTTTTTAACAGTCTATTGTTCCTGATAGAAAATCAGAAAATAGATGATGTAGTTTTTCTGAATTTTTTTAGTTGCTGTTTTAAGTGGGCGTGAAAATAAATGCAAACATATGTTCTTAATCGTCTTACAACATAAATTAAGAATTAATACTTCACCCCCCAACTTAAAAATGACATTGTCCTCAATGACACAGAAAAATTAGAACAAAATATGCCGAAAATATAATTTTCAAGTGAAGTATGCATATATGTAAAGTTAAGCACTGAAAATATTGTCATAAATGATAAAGCTTAGAAAGACATCACGTCAACCTCAATTTTAATTTTCCACTTCATCTTACACTCTACTTGTGCTTTTTCGAAAAAAAATAAATGCAGAAATAAGTACTGCAAAATTCTAAGAAAAATAGAACTTAAAATTAAATAAATAGAGTGAAATAAAAACCATGGGTTGCCTCCCATGGAACGCTGAATTTAATGTCTTCAGCTGGACACATTAATCTTACTCTTGAATTTCTTTTAATAATAAAATTTCTTTTTCTACAAGACATTCATGTTCTATGTAATGTTTAAGCCGCTGTCCATTTACCTTATAGTTATGATCACTTTTAGGATCTTTAATCATTACAGCCCTGTGATCATATGTCTCTTCCACCACATAAGGCCCTGTCTATTTTTATTTTAATTTTCTTGAGAATAATTTCAGCCTAGAATCATATAACCACACTTTTTGTCCAACATCAATTTTTTTTCTGTTAATATATTTATCATGAAAAGTTTTAGTTTTTTCTTTATATATTCTATGATTTTCATAAGCTTCATTCCTCAATTTCTCTATTTCATGTAGTTGAAAAATTCTATGTCCACCAATTGATTTTTTCATCCATACATAAATATTTAATAGCCCATAATGCTTTATGCTCTATTTTCACAAGAAGATGACATAGCTTTCTAAAAATGAGACGAAACAGAGACTTACCTATGAAATTTTTATAAGCTGTTCTATAAGCCCATAATGCATCTTGTAATTTCGTAGGCCAATCTTTCCTATCTGGTCTAATTATTTTTCTCAAAATGTTTAAAATTTTCTTATTTTCTACTTCAATTTGCCCATTTATTTGGGGATGATATGGAGTGGCTACTCTATGATGTATTTCATTCTTTTTCAACAGTTCTCTGAAATGTTTATTTGTAAAATATGTTCCTTCATCACTAATAATTACTCTAGGACATTCAAATCTCGAAAAAATATTTTCTTGCACAAATTTCATCACGATTTTATGACCATTAGTTATAGTAGCAATAGCTTCCACCCACTTGACACATAATCAACAACAAGCAAAATATATTCATATTTTTCAGCTGATGGGAAGGGACCTATGAAATCTATTCCCCATACATCAAAAATTTCAACTACTAACATGTTACTCATGGGAATTTCATCTTTTTTACTCATGTTAATTATAGATTGGTATGTAATACATGTTCTACTAAATTCCATAGAATCTCTAATGATTGTAGGCCAATAAAAACCACACTGAATTTTTTTTGTAATTATTTTTCATCTAGAGAAATGTCTTCAATAGTTAGATGAATGACACATGTTAAGAATGCTATGATATTCTTCTTCAAAAACACATCTCTTTAAAATTTGATCTTAGAAAAGAAATGATTTTTTCTGTTCTTCTCTCACTATTCTGGATATTTTTTAGAAACTAGAAAATTAACAATATGTGCATACCATGGTGATGGTTGATGTTCATCACGAAATGCATCTTGTAAAGGTGTTGTGTTTATTCTTGTATCACTCAATGTAGAAAGATGGTCAACAACAACATTCTCGAAACCTTTTTAATCTTTTATTTCTAAGTCAAATTTTTGTAACTATAAAATCCATCTTAATAAACGTGGCTTTGCATCTTTCTTATTTAAAAAATATTTTAATGCTACATGATCAGTATAAATAATAATTTTAGCTCCTAAAATATATGATCTAACCTTTCTAACAAAAATACTACAACTAATAACTCTTTTTCAGTCATGGTATAATTTAATTGAGCATCGGCTATAGTTTTGCTAGCATATGAAATTACTATGGGTTTTGATTCTTTTCTTTGTCTTAGAACAACTCACGCTGCATAATTCGATGTATCATATATTATTTCAAAGGAAAGAAACCAATCAGGAACTTGTAAAATAGGTGCTTAAGTAAGCAATCTTTTTATTTCAGAAAAGACTCAAAACATTTCTCATCAAAATTAAATGGCACATCTTTAGATAATAACATAGTGAGAGGTTTAAAGTTTTTTGAAAAATCTTAAATAATTTTTTTATAATAACCTACATGACCCAAGAAAGATCTAATCTATTTTATTGAATTCAGAGGTTTTATTTTAGATATAATATCAATTTTTGATCTATCCACCTCTAAACCCCTTTCACTCACAATATGACCCAACACAACTCCCTCTCAAACGATAAAATGTGATTTCTCCAAACTCAAAACTAACTTTTTCTTTATATATTTCTCAAAGAAAAATCGTCCATAAAATTTCCATGCCTTTTCCAGTCATATTAGAACAAAATAGACAGCATACATCTTTGAAATGTGGCTGGAGCATTACACAGACCAAAAGATATGCATTTAAAAGCAAAAGTACTCAATGGACAAGTGAAAGTTACTTTTTCTTGCTCTAAAGGGTTTATATAAATTTAATTATAACTAGAGTATTCATCTAGAAAACAAAAAAAGTTTTTTCAAATGAATTTTTCTAGAATTTGATCTGTAAATGGTAGGGGAAAATGATCTTTTCTAGTAACTAAATTTAATTTTCTATAATCAATGCAAACCCTCCAACCGGTAGTTAATCTTATTTGTATTTCATCCTTATTTCATTTTTTATAACTGTAATCCCTGATTTTTTTGGCACCACTTGTGTAGGACTAATCCATTTGTGATCTAAAATAAGATAAATAATATCAGCAGCCAGCCACTTTAAACTTTTTTTTTACAATTTCTATCATGTTAGGATTTAATCTTCGTTATGATTCCCTACTAGTTCTACTCACCTCCTTTAGATATATATTATGCATACATACACTCATATCAATGCCCTTAAGATCATCCATTTTTCAACTAATAACCTTCTTATTTTTTTGAAGTACATCTAACAATTCTTCTTCTTGTTCATCACTCAAATCAACTACAATAATAACAAGAAATAAATTATTTTCCTCCAAAAACATATATTTTAAACTAGGACTCATCTCTAAATTCGGATGATCTTTCTTTTTCTTTTCTCCCAAATTTATATTCTCTATTTCCTCTAATTCTTCCAGCACACAGTCATCAATAACATCTGGATCATCAAAATCATCTAAAACATCTATGATATGACAATCATATACTTGGGATTTCTTAAGATCATTTGATACCTCAAAATTTTTAATTTCTACTAATTGATCTCCACATGAAATTATTACAATACTTGTGGAAAAATAAATATTCATCTTTTTTGTATGTAAAAATAGTCTCCTGAGGATGATTGGTGTATCATAAAACTATCTATTAAAATCTATTTTCAGCTCTACAAAATTAGCTGGAAATTTACACCCTTTAATTATTACTATCACATTTTCTAAAATACTTTTAGGATGTTTTATAGATCTATTAGCAAATTGTAAGGTAACAGTAGAAGGTTTAAGATCAGTAATATTAAATTTATCACAAATACTTGTAGATAATAAATTAATATTAGCACTGGTGTCAAGTAATGTATTATGAAAAATAAATTCACCAATATCACATGAAATTAAAGGGGCACCAGTATCTCTCAATTTGTATGATAATTGATTTAATAATAAAGCACTAGCATGTATAGATAATTTTTCTACTCTAGTTGCCCTTTTTATTATACACATTTCTTTCAAAACTCTAACATATTCAAGAATATGTTTAATGGTAGTGAGTAAAGGAAGACTAATTTGCACATCTTGTAAAATTTTCTTTATTTCTTCATTGTGTTCTTTTTCTTTCTTTGTCTAGGCTCTAGAACTTTAGGAAATGAAATGGTTGTCCTTTCTTGTAGAATTTTTTGATAGAATCTATAAAATCCTCTTCTACTCCTATTTGATTTTGTTTTGGGCTATCCACGTTTTTCTTTTCTTTTACTATTTGGGGATAAGGATCAGGAAAAATCTTCCCACTCCTTAATGCATTCACTATCCTAATTTCTTTCATGGATTTTTTTTCTAGATTCATGCTACTAGACTCCCCTTGCTGAAATCTTATTGTTGAGTAGTTAGATTTTTTATGGGCTGACTAAGTAGTTGTCCCTCTTCTCTGTTATTCCCAAGAGCCTCTATAATTTTTTTCTACTGCAACATCATTTGATTCATAGTTTGCTCCATTATTTGGCTCATTTGCTGCATCAGTTCTATAGCATTAGGTTAGGTTCGAGAGGGCTGATTTTTTTGAAATCTGTTTTCTTATTTTGGATGAAATTCAGAGTTTGAATTGGGTTTAAGTACTTTTGAATTTTGAATATTATTTGGGTCTCTCTATGAAAAATTATTTCTCTAATTAGGATTATAAGAATTAGAAAAAGGCTCCCTATTTTATTAAAGCTATAGGCTACTTGCACTTACTCTTGCTTAGAATGAAATGATTGATCTAAATTATAATATTGAAATTTGAAATGATCATTTTCACTATACATAGGACATGCACTATATATGTTTAATTAAAATTTAGTAGACTTTCTAATATTTTCAATAAGTAAATCAAGTTTTTCTAATCTTTGATTAATATGATTAACCTCATTTCTTAAATTAGAATCATCATCATGATGCAATTCATAAATTTCTTTTTTCTTATCCCTATCTAATAACTCAAAAGAGGCTTGATCTCTAGAATTTTCACTTAAATTCTCATAAAAGCTATAAATCTCATCAGTAGTTTTCTCCATAAAAGTTCCTCAGTATATAGAATCAATCATATTTCTATGTTGTTGTAATAATCCATCATAAAAACTTCTATTGAGCTGTCACTTGAGTATAGCATGATGAGGACACTTTCTAAGTAACCCTTTGAATTTTTTTTATGTCTTATGCAAAGTTTCTCCTAGTCTTTGAGAAAAATGTCATATATGTTTTCTCATATTTTGAGTTTTTTTCTAAGGGATCAAATTTTCAAAGATAAGCATGTTCTATGTCTTTCCAACTAGTTAAATCTCTATCTAATGTAGATAGCCAATGGCTAGCTTTGTCCCTAAGTGTATGAGGAAATAATTTCATCTTAATAATTTCTAATGTAACTCGAGAGAGATTAACTAAATCACAAACTATATGAAATTTTTCTAAATACTAATGAGGTTCTTCTAAAGGCAATTCATGAAAATTACGGAGCATTTCGAAAATTTTTAGATTTATTTCGAATTTAATAGTGGGTGCTAAGGAGACTCTAATATTAGATGCTCTTTGAAATGAATCAAGGATATAATAATTTTTCATGGCCATAGGATTGTTCTCAGTTTGACTTGTACTTCCTTTAGGATTTATCAAAATTAATTTTTTTTGTGAATTTTTAGTTTTGAATGAAATAGTAAAAGGATTTTCTAGCCTTGGATGCAAGGATCTTCTACCATGCATAAAAGTCAATAAATTTCAGAATTTTTTTTAATAACTATTATCCTCCTTCAGTATGCTCTAGTCCTTGCCTTGCTACTCTTCATTCTTTTTTTCGTAAGAAGAAAATAAAAATAAGAGTTATTTTTTTATGTATTAGAGAAAAATAGAAAAATAACAAATACTATGTAATACATCCCCAACAACAGCACTAAAATTTGACGTAACTTAGTTGTTGTATAGTAAATCACGCAAATTCAAAATTTATAAAACTAGAAAATACTAATTTTTGGATATTTAGAAGTATTTTTGAAAAAAGATATCAATTATAATTCAATCAAAGTTTCAAAAATAGTGAGAAATTTTCAAGTTGATTACATGGATGTAATATAATATCACGTAATTTTTCAGAATTTTTCTCAAAGAATATGATTTTTTATATATATTTTAAATTAAGAAATGAAAATAAAATATATTTTAAAATTTGTGAAAAATAAAAATAAGGGTGCGGATGTCAAGATGATGTCAGCAGCCGACGAACATGAATCGAGCTAAAATAGAGTTCCATCTAGTGATTCTTACGTAAGTAATTACAAACGATTTAATTGATCAAATTAAGATCTATAAAAGCCAAAAGAATCGTAATTGAATGAAAAATTATTTAGTAAATTTAAATCACAAAACTTATCAGTAAATTAAGTGAAAGTTAAGTTGGAAGTAAGAAAATAAAGCTTTGACGTTGTGGCGACGATATGTTGGTGATGCACCGGAATCTTAAATATTTGAGAGGATTGTTGTGCAATGTCTTTGGCCTCGAAGGTTCTTGACGTAACTTAGTCGTTGTATAGTAAATCACGTAAATTTAAAATTTATAAAACTAGAAAATACGAATTTTTGGATATTTAGAAGTATTTCTGAACAAATATATTAAGTATAATTCAATAAAACTTCCAAAAATAGCGGTAATTTTCCAAGTCGATCATAGGGATGTAATATAATATCTGGTAATTATTCAGAATTTTCCTCAAAGAATATTATTTTATATGAATTTTATACTAAGAAATAAAAAGAAAATATATTTAAAATTCACGAAAAAAGAAAATAAGGGTGCGGATGTCAAGATGACGTCTGTGCCTAGTGAATGCGATCGGACGGAAACAGAGTTCCGCCTGACGATTCTTACGTAAGCAATTACATATGATTTAATTCATCAAATTAAGATCTGTAAAAGACGGAAGAATCGTAATTGAACAAAGTATATTTTTGTAAATTAAAATCACACAAATTATCACTAAATGAAGCGTAAAGTAAGTTCAAAGCAGGAAAACAGAGTTATGGCGTTACAATAGTGATGCGTCGGCAATGCACCAGAGTTCTGAGCGTTCGGGAGGATCGTCGTGCGGTGTCCACGGCCTCGAAGGCTCTCTTTGGACAAAGATGATGTGGGCAATCTCTAGATCTCGTTGCGAAGTCTAGAGATCAATGGGTCGTCGAATCGTCTCCAGTGGCTGTCACCTGACGGAGCAGAAAAACAGCAACTTTGTGGCTCTCCGATGGCTATCACTCGACGGAGAGGAGCTGAATGGAGGTGGGGCGTGTGTCAGGGAGCTTCATCCTCATGTCCACGCAGCAAGAGGAGGCTCTTCATCGCATTTGGTACGCTCTCAGGAGGTGGCGACTTATCTCCCGGTGGATCGTCCTCTTCCCGACGACAACTTGTTCGTCGATCAATCGGAGATGCTTTACTCGATGGATTCGCGATCCTTTTATCACGAATCGTTCAGCAATTTTAATAACAATGCTCCGCAAATCGCGTTGACGAGATTTTTGCCGATGATCTAGTGATTCTGGTTGCTTTATCCTTCACCAGCGATCTGTAAGAAAGTTGTGATAATCAGATAAAAAAATATGAATTTAGCTCTAGAAGGATTTGAACCCGTGCCGGTTGTCTGCCTACATGAGAGAGATTGACATAGGTACTCTACTGCCCTTATAAAATGACGTCATCATGGTATATCTCTATTATAAATAAAGGGTCCTTTAGGTATTAAAATTTTCGAACGCTTTTTGGGGAAGGTGTGACGTGGGTTTAGCCCCACATTGTTTGTGCGCTGAAGTTTCGGGCGAATAATATTACATTTTGGAAGCAAGTCCCTTCTCTTGCATGTACGACTACTCCTTGTCCCACAACCGGCTGGCCACCAGTGATGTGGAAGGGGAGTGGTGCACATGTGCACCTATTGGTCCAAGCTACTCGAGCCCCTACTTGTGGCTACTCCCCGACTGCGCTTCTGACACGCTTGCGGGCCTAGCTGGCCGGCAGGTCCCCCTCATTTTGTCTTATTATTATTATTATTTCTTTTTCTTCATTTATCACAAAAGTAAGACTGTAAAAATCACATAAATTCGTATAAAATCACATAATTACCCAAAAATTCACATTAATCAACTGAAAACCACTTTTCACACTTTAACACAAATATAAGTCTATTTATCACGAGTTAAGGCTAAAACTATATTATTTACTAATTATTAACTCATGATAATGAAGACTTATCAGCTCTCATTAGACAAGGACGACATGAACAATCTTTAGATTTTCTTACGAAGTCTAGAGATCAATGAAATGAGTTGTCAAATCATCTCCGACAATAGTCACCTAGTAGAGCGGGAAAATGATGACTTTGTAGTTTTCCGACGACTGTCACCTGACGTAGAGGAGCTAGATGGTGGTGGGACATGTGTCAAGGAGCTTCATCCTCAAGTCCACGCAGCAAGAGGAGGCTCTTCATCACATTCGGTACACTCTCAAGAGGTGGTGACTTGTTTCCCGACGGATCATCCACTTCTCGATGACAGCTTGTTCGTCGATCAGTTAGAGATACTTTTACTCGATGGATTCATGACCCTTTTATCACGAATCGTTCAATAATTTTAGTAACAATGTTCCGCGAATCGCGTCGATGAGATTTTCGTTGATGATGGAGCAATTCTGGCGGCTTAATCCTTCACTGATGATCTGTAGGAAAGTCATGATTTAATCAGATAAAAATACGAGTTTCGGCTCTAGTAGGATTTGAATTGGCGTCGGTCGTCCATTTGTATGAGAGAGATTGAAATTAGTACTCTAATACCCTTATAAAGTGACGTCATCATGGTATATTGCTGTTATAACTAAGGGGTATTTTAGGTATTAAAATAAATAAAATTATTTTGAGAAAGGTGTGACGTGGGTTTAGTCTCACATTGGTTGTATGCCGAAGTTTTGGATGAATATATAGTAATATCAGACTTAGAAGTTATGAGTCTCTTTCTCACGTGTACAACCACTCCTTACCCCACAGCTGGCTGGCCACTAGTGACATGGAAGGGGAGTGGCGCACATGTGTCCCCATCGGTCTATAGCCACTCGAGCCCCTGCTCGTGGCTCCCCCTAACTGCACTTCCGACCCACTTGCAGGCCCGGTTGGTCGTCGGGTCCCCCCTTTTTTCTATATTTTTATTTTAATTTCTTTTTCTTCATTTATCTCAAAAATAGGATTATAATAATCATATAAATTCAGATAAAATCACATAATTAACCAAAAATTCACGTTAATCAATTGAAAATCACTTTTCACAATTTAACACATAATAAGAGTTTACTTAAATCCTTGTAGTCAAATAATTATCAAGAAAAGTGTGAGAGAATCACCACTTGACTTCCTAAAAGTCGTGGGGTTAGTCTCATAATATAAATAAAATAAGTATAATAATATATATTAGGACCTAAATGGTAAAACATTATGAATGTCATAAAGAGTTGGTAACACATGTATAATTTTATTATCTACCCATTAATTAGCATCTATATATAAGATATTAATGCATAAATATAGGTTGTTGTTTAGGGGCTGAAAACCTAACTTCAAATATTCCGATGTTTGGTCGGCTTGAATGAAACTGCATTGAGGTTCCATATCAATCTTGATGTGTTTTGACTTGATTCAAGCTTTGGTTTGTAGTTGAGATTGTCGAAAAAGTGTACTCGAAGGGAAAATCCCCTAGCCTTGGCAAAAATATAGAGGCCCAAGGTAAGTTTCTCCATGTCTGATGTATTTTGAGTGTGAACGACCATCTAACTTTCGTAGGTTTGAATAGATAAAGGTATGATGTTAACTTTGTATTACGATTCATTTGTAAGTGTTATCTCCCTTTAATCGTCTTCTACATCACTGAATTCTGTTTCCCCCTTTTCCGACGGTGAAAATCTTTCTTACTTACTATTGCCTCTCCTTTGAGTTCATTTGATTTAAATCGAGCAATCAAATGAAATACTAACTAATTAATGCCTAATTTTCATTCCTTGTGGATCGACCTCGAACTTGCCATAGTACTTACCTATTTTAGTATTTTAATTTGGTAAATTCATGATTCTAAATATTTTTGATCAACTGATTTTGGGGCTTTTCAACGACCCTCGATTTCATCTTATCACTTCATCTCTTCTTGTCACAAGAATATCGTCCACATAAATAACTAGGATGATAATGCTGGATTCAGTAGTGTTTGCAGGTACTGTGGAATTTGCAAGACATGGTGAGAATCCAAATTGCGTTAGAAGACCATTGAACTTAGCAAATCAGATACATGGATTTTGTTTAAGTTTGTAAATGACACTCTACAAAAGACATACCTTCAATGACTCCCTCTGAGCAACATACTCAAGAGGTTGCTCCATAAACACTTGTTCCTCAAGGTCACCGTAGAGAAAGATATTAGAAACATTCAACTGATATAAACACCATACCTAATTCACTATTAAAGAGAGTATCACTCGAATAGAGTTGAGTTGAACCACTAGAGAGAACATCTCAGTTTAGTTAATGTCATAAGCCTGCGTGAATCTATGAGCAATCAAACAAGCCTTGTAACGTATAATAGATCCATTTGGGTTATACCTGAGTGTGAAAACCCATCTTCACATAACGATGTTGGCATCACGTGGACGAGATACAAGTGTCAAGTTCTCTAAGACATGAAGGCATCCACCTCCAAGTTCATGACTACCTTCTATTTAGGTACCTATGCAGCCTTAACATACGATTGTGGAATTGACTCGGAGGCCACGGAAAGAGCAAAGGTATGAAAGGAAAGAGAAAGACAGTTGACATGACTCAGTCGTTGTATATTAAATCATGCAAATATAAAATTTATAAAACTAGAAAATACGAATTTTTGGATATTTAGAAGTATTTCTAAATAAATATATCAATTATAATTTAATAAAAATTCCAAAAATAGCGGTAATTTTCCAGGTCAATTACAGGGGTGTAATATAATATCTGGTAATTATTCAGAATTTTTCTCAATAAATACGATTTTCTATGAATTTTATACTAGGAAATAAAAAGGAAATATATTTAAAATTCACGAAAAAGGGAAATAAGGGTGCGGGCATCAAGATGACGTCAACACCCGGCAAACGCGAATCGGGCGGAAACAGAGTTCTGTCCGGCGATTCTTACGTAAGCGATTACAGACGATTTAATTAATCAAATTAAGATCTGTAAAAGCCGGAAGAATCGTAATAGAACAAAGTAATTTTTTTGTAAATTAAAATCACAAAAACTATCACTAAATGAAGCGTAAAGTAAGTTGAAAGCAGGAAAACAGAGTTCCGGCGTCGCGACGGCGATGCATCGGCGATGCACCGGAATCTTGAGCGTTCGGGAGGATCGTTGTGCAGTGTCCACGGCCTCGAAGGCTCTCCTTGGACAAAGACGACGTGGGCAATCTCTAGATCTTCTCGCGAAGTCTAGAGATCAATGAAATGGGTCGCTGAGTCGTCTCCGGTGGCTGTCACCCGACGGAGAGGAGCTGGATGGAGGTGGGGCGCGTGTCAGGGAGCTTCATCCTCAGGTCCGCGCAGCAAGAGGAGGCTCTTCATCGCATCTGGTACGCTCTCAGGAGGTGGCGACTCGTCTCCCGGCGGATCGTCCTCTTCCCGACGACGGCTTGTTCGTCGATCAATCGGAGATGATTTACTCGATGGATTCACGATCCTTTTAGTAGCACTGCTCCGCGAATCGCGTTGACGAGATTTTCGCCGATGATCCAACAATTCTAGTTGCTTAATCCTTCACCGGCGATCTGCAGGAAAGTCGCGATAATCAGATAAAAATATATAAATTTTGACTCTGGGAGGATTCGAACCCGCGTCGGTTGTCCGGCCCCCCTTCTGAGGAAGGTGTGACGTGGGTTTAGTCCCACATCGGTTGTGCGCCGATTTTTCAGGCGATATATAGTAATATTAGCTTTTCAGGCAAAGTCCCTTCTCTCGCGTGTACGACCACTCCTTGCCCCACAGCCGGCTGGCCACCGGTGACGTGGAAGGGGAGTGGCACACACGTGCCCCTATCGGTCCAAGCGAAGCCGCTCGAGCCCCTGCTCGCGGCTACTCCCGACTGTGCTTCTGACCCGCTTGCGGGCCCGGCTGGCCGGCGGGTCCCCCCACATTTTGCAATATTTTAGTTTTATTTCTTTTTCTTCATTTATCTCAAAAGTAAGACTGTAAAAATCATATAAATTCGTATAAAATCACATAATTACCCAAAAAATCACATTAATCAACTGAAAACCACTTTTCACACTTTAACACAAATATAAGTCTATTTATCACGAGTTAAGGCTAAAACTATATTATTTACTAATTATTAACTCATGATAATGAAGACTTATCAACAGTCGTAGGAAATAAAGTGGGAAATAGGATGTCTGGTGCATACATGTGTACCTTTGCAGACAGCAATAGGAAGATGAAGGTCATCCACTTGTGTTAGAAGAGACGATTGGAGAAGGCTCGTCGACAAAGGGTGAAGATGAATCTGATCCTAGAGTAGAAGAGTCAGATGGTGATGAAGCCGAAGGTATTGAAGGAGGAGTGGACGAGGAAGAAACTAGACAAGTAAGAAGAGTAAGAGAGGGATCTACAATGATCACCACATGAAGAAAATTAGGTGGTGAAGATGAAGCAGATCGAGGAGTCGATGTTGGAGAAAAGAAGAGAGACTCATGAAAAATAATGTTAGCTGATGTCACATAGCAATGAGTATCAAGAAAATAGATCTGATAACCCTTTTGTGTCTATGAGTAACTAACAAAGACCCTTTTGAGAGCATGAGGGGTCAATTTAGAAAGAGAAGGAGAATGGTCTTGGACGAAAGTAGTGCGTTTAAAGACACAAGGGGGTAAGAAAAAAAGAAAAGAATTTAGTGAAAGACGATGAAGTGAAATGACCCCACTAAGTGGAGTGGAAGGACATCAATTCTAGAGATATATGACTGTCAGAAGGGCATTACACCACAAATAATGAGGAACATTCATCTCAATGAGTAGTATGCAAATAATATTAAGTAGTTAGTGATGTATTCATTCGGCAACACCATTTTGTTGGGATGTGTGTGGACACATGGTTTGATGAAAAATACCACGGTCAACACAAAATGTGTGAAGTGAATCTTGGACTAATTCCATAGCATTGTCGATACAACAAATCTTAGGAATAGTGGAGTACTAACGTGACTTAGTCCTTGTATAGTAAATCACACAAATTTAAAATTTATAAACCTAGAAAATATCAATTTTTGGATATTTAGAAGTATTTCTGAATAAATATATCAATTATAATTCAATAAAACTTTCAAAAATAGTGATAATTTTTTAAGTCAATTACAAGGATGTAATATAATATTGGGTAACTATTCAGAATTTTTCTCAAAGAATATGAGTTTTTATGAATTTTATATTGAGAAATAAAAATGAAATATATTTAAAATTCATGAAAAAATGAAATAAGGGTGCGAACGTCAGGATATATATTACGACGGCTTGTTCATCGATCAATCGGAGATGATTTACTTGATGAATTTATGATCCTTTTATCATGAATCATTCAATAATTTTAATAACAATACTCTACGAATCGCATTGACAAGATTTTTGCTGATGATGGAGCGATTCTAACGGCTTAATCTTTCACCGACGATTTACTAGAAAGTCACGATAATCAGATAAAAATATGAGTTTGAGCTCTAGTAGGATTTGAACCCGCACCGGTTGCCCACACGTATGAGAGAGATTGAAATAAATACTCTAATGCCTTTATCAAGTGACGTCATCATGATATATCTCTATTATAACAAAGAGATAGTTTAAGTATTAAAATCTTTGAAGCCTTTCGGGAGAAGGTGTGACGTGGGTTTAGCCCCACATCGTTTGTGCACTAAAGTTTTGGATGAATATAGAGTAATATCACATTTACAAGCAATGAGTTTTTTTCTACTATGTATACGACCACTCCTTACCTCACAACTAGTTGACCATTAGTGATGTGGAAGGGGAGTGGCGCACATGTGCTCCCATCAGTCCTAGCCACTCGAGCCCCTGCTTGCGGCTCCCCTTGACTATACTTTCAACTCACTTGCGAGCCCGGCTGGCTGGTGGGTCTTCCCTTTTTTTATATTTTTATTTTAATTTCTTTTTCTTCATTTATCTCAAAAATAGGACTATAAAAATTATATAAATTCGTAGAGAATTGCATAATTAACCAAAAAATCACGTTAATCGACTAAAAATTGCTTTTCACGCTTTAACACAAATATAAGTCTATATATCATGAGTTAAGGCTAAAACTATATTATTTACTAATTATTAACTCATGATAATGAAGACTTATTAGTGGGGCACCAAGAGGCAATATGTAGGTGTTGGGAGGTGATGTGACTTAGTCGTTGTATAGTAAATCATGTAAATTTAAAATTTATAAAACTAGAACATACAAATTTTTGGATATTTAGAAGTATTTCTGAACAAATATATTAATTATAATTCAATAAAACTTCCAAATATAGTGGTAATTTTCTAGGTCCATCACAGCGATGTAATATAATATCAGGTAATTATTTAAAATTTTCTTCAAAGAATACTATTTTCTATGAATTGTATACTAGGAAATGAAAATAAAATATATTTAAAATTCACAAAAAAGAGAAATAAGGGTGCGGACTTCACGATGACATCAGTGCCTAACGAATGCGAATTGGACAAAAATAGAGTCTTGTCTGACGATTCTTACGTAAGCAATTATAGACGATTTAATTGATCAAATTAAGATTTGTAAAAGCCAGAAGAATCGTAATTGAATGAAGTATATCTTGGTAAATTTAAATCACATAAATTATCATTAAATGAAGTAGAAATTAAGTTGAAAGTAGGAAAATAGAGTTCTAACGTCGGGGTAGCGATGCATTGGCGATGTACCAAAATCCTAAGCATTTGGGAGGATCGTCGTGTAGTGTCTACTGCCTCAAAGGCTCTCCTTGGATAAGGACGACGTGGGCAATCTCTAGATCTCCTTGCGAAGTTTAGAGATCAATGAAATTGGTCCTTGAATCATCTCTGGTGATTGTCACCCGGCGGAGCAGAAAAATAGTGACTTTGCGGCTCTCTAGTGGCTGTCACCCGACAGAGAGGAGTTGGATGGAGGTGGGGCGCGTATTAGGGAGCTTCATCCTCAACTCTGCACAGCAAGAAGAGGCTCTTCATTGCATCTAGTATGATCTCAGGAGGTGGTGACTCGTCTCCCGGTAGATCGTCCTTATCTTGACGACGGCTTGTTCGTCGATCAATTGGAGATACTTTACTCGATGGATTCGCGATCCTTTTATTGCGAATAGTTCAACAATTTTAGTAACAATGCTTCGCGAATCACATTGACGAGATTTTCATTGATGATCTAGTGATTTTGGTGACTTAATGCTTCATTAGCGATCTGCAAGAAAGTCGTGATAATTAGATAAAAAATATGAGTTTTGGCTTTAGGAGGATTCGAACCCACACTAGTTGCTCTTGCATGAGAGAGATTGACATAAGTACTCTAATGCCCTTATCTAATGACATTATCGTGGTATATCCCTATTATAAATAAGGGGTATTTTAGGTATCAAAATCATCAAACCCTTTCTAGGGAAGGTGTGACGCGGGTTTAGTCCCACATTGCTTGTGCGCCGAAGTTTTGGACGAATATATACTAATATTACATTTACAAGCAAGTCCCTTTCTCACGCGTGTATAACCACTCTTTGCCCCATAGCTGGTTGGCCATCAATGATGTGAAAGGGGAGTGGCGTACATGTGCCCCTATCTGTCCTAGCTGCTTGAGTCCTTGCTCGCGGCTACTCCCCAATTGCGCTTCCGACCCACTTGCGGGCCCGGCTGGCCGGCGGGTGCCCACTATTTTGTTATATTTTTATTTTTATTTCTTTTTCTTCATTTATCTCAAAAGTGAGACTGTAAAAATCATATAAATTTGTATAAAACCACATAATTACTCAAAAATTTACATTAATCAACTTAAAACCACTTTTCACATTTTAACACAAATATAAGTCTATTTATCATGAGTTAAGGCTAAAAATATATTATTTACTAATTATTAACTCATGATAATGAAGACTTATCATTCACAGTATAGTGTAATATGAAAAACATTGGTTGATAAATAAATTGAATGATTATTGTGAGAAGGAAAACAACTCAACACATGCTCTTCTATTTTTAGAACGATAGTTCTAACAGTTCTGTTTTCCGTTTTTAGTTCTGTTTTTAGCAACAATAAATTTGTCAAAAATAAATCAAAACTATCCTCTTTATAGTTGTAATTTCGAATTTCAGTAATATATGTCTAGGGGATTGAAATGTGAGAAAAAGGTCTCTAGAATTTTAAATTTCAGATTGTTTTTTGTTTGCTGTTTTTGACAATCTGTTGTTCCTAACAGAAAACCAAAAAATAGATATTGTAGTTTTTCTGAATTTTATTTTATTTTAATTTTTTTAGTTGCTATTCTATGTGAGCATGAAAGAATAAAAAATAAAATGCAAACACATATTTTTAATCATCCTACAGCATAAATTAATAATTAATACTTCACCCCCAACTTAAAAATAACATTGTCCTCAATGACACAGAAAAATCGAAACAAAATATGCAGAAAATATAATTTTCAAGTGAAGCATACATATATGCAAAGTTAAGCATTAAAAATGTTGTCATAAATGATAAAGCTCAGAAATACATCACCTCAACCTCGTTTTCAATTTTCCACTTCATCTTACACTCTTGCACTTCTTTGAAGAAAAACAAATACAGAAACAAGTACTACGAAATTTTAAGAAAAAGAAAGCTTAAAAAAAAATCAAACAAAATGAAATAAAAACCATGGGTTGCCTCCCATGCGGCACTGAATTTAATGTCTTCAGCTGGACACCTTGATCTTACTCTTGAATTTCTTTTAATAATAAAATTTCTTTTTCTGCAAGGTGTTCATGTTCTATGTAATGTTTAAGCCGCTGTCTATTTACCTTAAAGTTATGATCACTTTTAGGATCTTTAATTATTACAGCCCCATGATCATATGTCTCTTCCACCACATAAGGCCCTGTCCATTTTGATTTTAATTTTTCTAGGAATAATTTCAGCCTAGAATCATATAACCACACTTTTTGTCCAACATCAATTTTTTTTCTATTAATATATTTATCATGAAATTTTTTTAATTTTTTCTTTATATATTCCATGATTTTCATAAGCTTCATTCCTCAACTCCTCTAGTTCATGTAGCTAAATTTTTTTATGTCCACCAGCTGATTTTTTATCCATACATAAATTTTTTTATAGCCCATAATACTTTATGCTCTATTTCCACAAGAAGATGATATGACTTTCCAAAAATGAGACTAAATGGGGACATACCTATTGGATTTTTATAAGCTGTTCTATAAGCCCATAATGCATTTTGTAATTTTGTGGGCCAATCTTTCCTATCTGGTCTAATTATTTTTCTCAAAATTCTCTGAATTTCTCTATTTGCTACTTCAGGTTGCCCATTTGTTTGGGGATGATATGAAGTGGCTACTCTATGGTGTACTCCATTCTTTTTCAATAGTTCCCTGAAATGTTTATTTGTAAAATATGTTCCTTCATCACTAATAATCACTCTAGGACATCCAAATCTCGAAAAAATATTTTCTTGCACAAATTTCATCACGATTTTATGATCATTAGTTCTAGTAGTAATAGCTTCCACCCACTTCAACACATAATCAATAGCAAGCAAAATATATCCATATTTTTCAGCTGATGGGAAGGGACCCATGAAATCTATTCCCCATACATCAAAAATTTCGACTACTAACATGTTACTCTTGGGCATTTCATCTTTTTTACTCATGTTACCTATAGATTGACATGAAATACATGTTCTACTAAATTCTATAGAATCTCTAATGATTTTAGGCCAATAAAAACCACTGAATTTTTTTTGCAACTGTGTTTCGTCTAGAGAAATGTCCTCCATAGTTAGATGAATGGCACATGTTAATAATGCTATGATATTCTTCTTCAAGAACACATCTCTTTAAAATTTGATCATTGTCCAAGTAATATAAATCAGGATCATGCTAAAAATAATTTCTAATTTTAGAAAAGAAATGATGCTTTCTATTCTTATCCCACTATTTTAGAATTTTTCTAGAAGCTAGAAAATTAACAATATGTGCATAGCATGGTGATGGTTAATGTTGAGCTCCATCAATTGTTCATCTGGAAATGCATCTTGTAAAGGTGCTGCATTTATTCCTGTATCACTCACTGTAGAAAGATGGTCAGCAACAACATTCTCGAAACCTTTTTATCTTTTATTTCTAAGTCAAATTTTTGTAATAATAAAATCCATCTTAATAAACGTGGCTTTGCATCTTTTTTATTTAACAAATATTTTAATACTACATGATCAGTATAAATCATAATTTAAGCTCCCAAAATATATGATCTAAACCTTTCTAACAAAAATACTATAGCTAACAACTCTTTTTCAGTCGTAGTATAATTAATTGAGCATCTATTATAGTTTTACTAGCATATGAAATTATTATGGGTTTTGACTCTTTTGTTTGTTCTAGAATGGCCCTACTACATAATTTGATACATCACACATTATTTCAAAGGGAAAGGACCAATCAAGAGCTTGTAAAATAGGTGCCTCAGTAAGTAATCTTTTTATTTCAGAAAAATACTCAAAACATTTCTCATCAAAATTAAAAGGCACATCTTTAGATAATAACATGGTGAGAGGTTTAGAAATTTTCGAAAAATCTTGAATAAATTTTCTATAATAACCTGCATGACCCAAGAAATATCTAATCTATTTTACTGAATTTGGAGGTTTTATTTTAGACATAATATCAATTTTTGCTCTATCCACCTCTAAACCCCTTTCACTCACAATATGACCCAACACAACTCCTTCTCAAATCATAAAATGTGATTTCTTCAAACTCAAAACTAATTTTTTCTCTATACATTTCTCAAGTACGTGCTGTAAATGATTTAAGCATTCATCAAATGATTCACATAAAATAAAAAAATCGTCCATAAAATTTCCATGCATTTTTCAGTCATATCAGAAAAAATAGACAGCATACATCTTTGAAATGTGGCTGGAGCATTACATAGACCAAAAGACATGCATTTAAAAGCAAGAGTACCAAATGGACAAGTGAAAGTTGTTTTTTCTTGATCTAAAAGGTTTATATAAATTTGATTATAACCGGAGTATCCATCTAGAAAACAAAAAAAGTTTTTTCCAACTAATTTTTCTAGAATTTGATCTATAAATGGTAAGGGAAAATGATCTTTTCTAGTAACTGAATTTAATTTTCTATAATCAATGCAAACCCTCCAATCGGTAGTTAATCTTGTTTGTATTTCATTCCTATTTTCATTTTTTATAAATGTGATCCCTAATTTTTTTGGCACCACTTGTGTAGGACTAACCCATTTGCTATCTAAAATAGGATAAATAATATCAGGAGCCAGCCACTTTAAAATTTCTTTTTTTTACAATTTTCATCATGTTAGGATTTAATCTTCTAGATATAGCCCCCTCCTCTAGATATATACTATGCATGCATACACTCATATCAATGCCCCTTAGATCATTCATTTTTCAGTCAATAGCCTTCTTATTTTTGTGAAGTACATTTAATAATTCTTCTTCTTGTTCATCACTCAAATCAGTTGCAATAATAACAGAAAATGAATTATGTTCCTCCAAAAACATATATTTAAAACTAGAAGGAAGAGGTTTCAACTCTAAATTCAGATGATCTTCCTCTTTCTTTCTCCCAAATTTATATTCTTTATTTCCTCTAATTCTTCTAGCACACAGTCATCAATAACATATGGATCATCAAAATCATCTAGAAGATCTATGATATGACAATCATATACTTGAGATTTCTTAAGATCATTTGCTACCTCAAAAATTTTAATTTCTACTAATTGATCTTCACATGAAATTTTTGTAATACCTATGAGAAAATCAATATTCATCTTTAGTGTATACAAAAATGGTCTCCCTAGGATGATTGGTGTATTATCAAATTGTCCATTAAAATCTATTTCCAGCACTACAAAATCAGTTGGAAATTTATACCCTATAACTATCACTATCACATCTTCTACAATACCTTTAGGATGTTTTATGGATCTATCAACAAATTGTAAGGTAACAATAGAAGGTTTAAGATCAGTAATATTAAATTTATCACAAATACTTGTAGATAATAAATTAATACTAACACCGGTGTCAAGTAATGCATTCTGAAAAATGGATCCACCAATATCACACGAAATTAAAGGGGCACTTGTATCTCTCAATTTATATGGTAATTGATTTAACAATAAAGCACTAGCATGCATAGATAATTTTTCTACTCTAGGTGTCTTTTTTGGTGTACACATTTCTTTCAAAACTATACCATATTCAGGAATATGTTCAATGGTAGTGAGTAAAGGAAGACTAATTTACACATCTTGTAAAATTTTCTTTATTTCTTCATTGTGTTTCTTTTCTTTTTTGTCTAGGCTCTAGAGCTTTAGGAAATAGAATGGTTGTCCTCTCTTTCGAAATTTCTTTGGTAGAATCTATAAAATCCTCTTCTACTCCTATTTGATTTTGTTTTGGGTTGTCCATGTTTTCCTTTTCTTCTAATGTTTGGGGATAAGGATCAGGTAAGATCTTATCACTCCTTAATATATTCACTGTCCTAATATTTTCATTTCATGAGTTTTTTCTAGATTGATGCTACTAGACTCCCCTTGCTAAAATCTTATTGTTGGGCCGTGGATTTTCTATGAGCTGACTAGGTAGTTGTCTCTCTTCTCTCTTATTCCCAAGAGCCTCTATCATTTGTTTCTGCTACAGTATCATTTGATTCATACTTTGTTGCATCATTTGACTCATTTGCTGCATCATTTCCATAGTATTAGGTTGGGTTTGAGAGGGCTGATTTTTCTGAAATCTATTTTCTTATTTTGGACAAAATTCAGAGTTTGAATTGGGTCTAAGTGCTTTTGGATTTTGAATATTATTTGGGTTTCTCCATGAAAAATTATTCCTCCAAATAAGATTTTAAGAATTTAAAAAAGGCTCCCTATTTCTATTAAAACCGTGAGCTACTTGCACTTGTTCTTGTATAGGGTAAAATAATTGATCTAAATTATACTATTAAAATTCAGAATAATCATTTTCACCATACATAGGACATGTATTATTTAAATTAAATTGAGGGTTAAGAGGCTTTCTAATATTGTCAATAAGTAAATTAAAATTTTCTAATCTTTGATTAATCTAATTAACCTCATTTTTTAAATTAGAATCATCATCATGATGCAATTCATAAATTCCTCTCTTCTTATCCCTGTCATATAATTCAAAAGAGGTTTGATCTCTAGAATTTTTGCTTAAATTCTCATAAAGACTGTAAATCTCATCAATGGTTTTTTTCATAAAAGCTCCTCCACATATAGAATCAACCATATTTCTATGTTGTTCTAATAATCCATCATAAAAAGTTCTATTGAGTTGCCACTTAGGTATAACATGATGAGGACACTTTCTAAGTAAATCTTTGAATTTTTCTCATGTCTCATGTAAAGTTTCTCTTGGTCTTTGAGAAAAACTTCATATATGTTTTCTCATATTTTGAGTTTTTCTTAAGGGATAAATTTTTCGAAGAAAGGCCTATTTTATGTCTTTCCAACTAGTTAATTCTCTATCTAATGTGGATAGCCAATGGCTAGCTTTGTCCCTAAGTGTATGAGGAAATAATTTCATCTTAAGAATTTTTGGTGTAACTTGAGGGAGATTAACTAAATCATATACCATGTGAAATTTTTCTAAGTCCTGATGAGGTTCCTCTAAAGGCAATCCATAAAAATTAGGGAGCATTTGAAAAATTCTTAGATGTATTTCGAATTTAATAGTGGGTGCTAATGGGACTCTAATATTAGATACTTTTTGAAATGAATCAAGGATATAATGATTTTTCATGGCCATAGGATTGTTCTCAGTTTGACTTGTACTTCTTTCAAGATCCATCAAAATTAATTTTTCTTTTAGATTTTTAGTTTTGAATAAAATAATGAAGGATTTTCTAGCCTCGAATGCAAGGATCTTCTACCATGCATAAAAAAAATAATAAATTCGAGGGAAAAGTTTAGTAATTGTTACCCTCCTTCAATATGCTCCAGTCCTTGCCTTGTTTCTCTTTGTTCCCTTTTTTTTAAAAAAAAATTCGACAAGAAGAAAATAAAATAAGAGTTAACTTTTTTTTTGCGTACTCTAAGAGAAAAGCAGAAAAATACTAAATATTATGTAATACATCCCCAGCAATGGCGCCAAAATTTGACATGACTTAGTCATTGTATAGTACATCATGTAAATTTAAAATTTATAAAACTAGAAAATACGAATTTTCAGATATTTAAAAGTATTTCTGAACAAATATATCAATTATAATTTAATAAAACTTCCAAAAATAATGGTAATTTTCCAAGTCGATCACAAGGATGTAATATAATATCAGGTAATTATTCAGAATTGTCCTCAAAGAATACTATTTTCTATGAATTGTATACTAAGAAATGAAAATAAAATATATTTAAAATTCACAAAAAAGGGAAATAAGGGTGCGGACGTCAAGATGACGTCAACACTTGGTAAACGTGAATCAGACGGAAATAGAGTTTCACTTGATGATTCTTACGTAAGTGATTATAGATGATTTAATTGATCAAATTAAGATTTGTAAAAGCCAGAAGAATCGTAATTGAATGAAGTATATCTTAGTAAATTTAAATCACACAAATTATCACTAAATGAAGCAAAAATTAAGTTGAAAGTAGGAAAACAGAGTTCCAGTATCGTGGCGATGATACGCCAGCAATGCACCAAAATCCTGAGCATTCGGGAGGATCGTCGTGTAGTGTCCACAGCCTCGAAGGCTCTCCTTGGACAAGGACGATGTGGGCAATCTCTAGATCTCCTTGCGAAGTCTAGAGATCAATGAAATTGGTCCTTGAATCATCTTCAGCGACTGTCACCCGGCGGAGTAGAAAAATAGCAACTTTGTGGCTCTTTAGTGGCTGTCACCCGATAGAGAGGAGCTGGATGAAGGTGGGACGCGTATTAGGGAGCTTCATCTTCAACTCCACACAATAAGAGGAGGCTCTTCATTGCATCTAGTATGCTCTCAAGAGGTGGCGACTCGTCTCCCAACAGATCGTCCTTATCCTGACAATGGCTTGTTCATCGATTAATTGGAGATGCTTTACTTAATGGATTCGTGATCCTTTTATTGCGAATAATTTAACAATTTTAGTAACAATGCTCTGCAAATCGTGTTGACGAGATTTTCGTTGATGATCCAGCAATTCTGGTGACTTAATGCTTCATTGGCGATCTGCAAGAAAGTCACGATAATTAGATAAAAAATATGAGTTTTGGCTTTAGGAGGATTCAAACCCACATTAGTTGCTCGCTTGTATGAGAGAGATTGACATAAGTATTCTAATGCCCTTATCTAATGATGTTATCATGGTATATCTCTATTATAAATAAGGAGTATTTTAGGTATCAAAACCATCAAACCCTTTCTAGGGAAGGTGTGATGTAGGTTTAGTCCCACATCGCTTGTGCGCCGAAGTTTCGGACGAGTATATACTAATATTACATTTACAAGCAAGTCCCTTTCTCACACGTGTATAGCCACTCTTTGCCCCACAGTCGACTGGCCATCGGTGACGTAGAAGGGGAGTGGCGTACACGTGCCCTTATCAGTCCTAGCTGCTCGAGTCCCTGCTCGCGGCTACTCCTCGATTGTGCTTTTAATATTTTTATTAATTCACGTTAATCAATTGAAAACCACTTTTCACATTTTAACATAAGTATAAGTCTATTTATCATGAGTTAAGACTAAAACTATATTATTTACTAATTATTAACTCATGATAATGAAGACTTATTAGGAGGCGACACATAAGGCATCGGGAGGTGACGTGCGGGGTGTTGGGAGGTGACGCACAAGGCATTGGGAAGATCAACAGAAGATGGTGTCATCAAGCACACAGACGTGGCGGCGTGCTAGGTGGGCATGCAAGATGACACTAGGCAAGTGCCAGACTGCAGGTGCGTGTAGGTGTGCACGGTAAGAGTCATGGAAGGCATGTAGGGCTACACAGATTGGGCATTGGATAAGCATGTAAGACGGCATTGCAAGAGATTGCGCCGGAAGATGATAGGGGACGTCGAGAGAGGAGGCGAAGTGATGGTGGTGGTGGAGAAACCCTAGAGCTCTGATACCATGTTTACAAGAAGAAGAGAAAACCCTAGAATTAATAGTTGAAGAAGAGGAGTACATGAGGTTAAATAGAAGAAGGGAAGAAAGAGAGAGAGAAGGAAAAGTGGGCTTAGTGGGCCCAATAGGCCTATTCTAATAGTATAATAAATCATGTAAATTTTAAATTTATAAAATTAGAAAACATCAATTTTTAGATTTGTAAAAATATTAAAAATAGAAATAAATTATAATTTGATAAAAGGTTCTAAAAATAGTAGAGATTTTCTAAGCCGATCATAGGGATGTAATCTAATATCGAGTAATATTTCAGAATTTACTTAAAAGAATATGAGTTTTATGATTTTTAGACTAAATGATGAATATAAATATATTTAAAAATTCACAAAAAAAGAAAATTAGGGTGCACACGTCAAGATGACATTAGCACCTTGATGAACACAAATCGAGCAGAAATAGAGTTCTATCTGATGATTCTTATGTAAGTGATTACTGATGATTTAATAGGTCACATTAACTTTTGTAAAATCTAGAAGAATTCTAATTAAATGAAGAAGAGTTTCAAAACTTAAAATCACATAAAGTATCACAAAATTAAGTGAAATTAAAGTTTAAAGTATGAAATGTAAAGTTTCAAATTTGCAATAACAATCGTCAAAATTCTATGTTTGGGAAGATTATCATGCAATATTTATGGCCTCGAAAGCTCTCCTTGGACATAGATGACGTGGACAATCTCTAGATCTTCTTATGAAGTCTAGAAATCAATGAAGTGGTTTGTTGAATTGTTTCTGATAGTTGTTGCCTAGTGGAATGAAAAAATAACGACTTTACAGCTCTCTGACAGTTGTCACCCGATGAAAATGAGCTAGATGGAGGTGAGGCGCATCTTAGGGAGCTTCATCCTCAAGTTTACATAGTAAGAGTAAGCTCTTCATCGCATCTAGTACGATCTCAAGAGGTAGTGACTCGTCTCACGGTGGATCATACTCTTTTCAATAATGACTTATTCGTGGATCAATTGGGGATGATTTATTTGATGGATTCGTAATCTTTTTATCTAGAATCGTTCAACAATTTTAGTAAAGATACTTACGAACGTTGATGAGATTTTCGCTAATGATTGAGTGATTCTAGCAGCTTAATCGTTCACCAAAAATCTACAAGAAAATTATGATTTAATTAGATAAAAATATGAGTTTTTTTTATGGCGAGGGGGACCCGTCTCCATCAACTCAAGAGACACCGACAGTCTGAGTTCAGCCTGATCGACGCGCGAAGACGAAGGGGCCTAGCTTTCGCTACACGGCCTAGTCCTTCGGGACAATGACATTCCACCTCCACGACGACGACGAGCTCGAGCTCACCCTTATCTTTCTTTGTATTTTCATGTTGACTTGTTGGGCCTCACATTTGTGTGTTAGCGGGCCCAATTCTATGTGTGTGTTGTTGTTTGTGTCTCCCTTTCTTTAGGGTTTTATTGGGTCTCTCTTTTGAGGCCCAATTAAAACCCTAAGGGGGGGACCTATGTGTCTTTCCTTTTGGTCCTCATTTGTGGCTTAGGGGCTTGAGGGCCTCAAGTGGGCCCACCTCCCCTTAGCCCACTTATGGGCCCCATATAAGGGGAGGTAGGACCCCCCCTCAAGAAGAGCGCCGCATTTTGTAAGAAATTATCGTTTTGTGAGATACCCCTTTCGTGACCTAGGATAGGGAAGGAAGGAGGGAGAGGAAGGTCGTCGATACCCCGAGGACTTCGTTCCTCGTGACGCTGCTGCCGGAGAAGCCCCGCCGCCGCCTGAGACCACGGCCGCCGCCGGACATCCCCTTGCCGCCCGTGAGATCGCCGCCGTCACCGGACGAAACGGTCGCGGTTGCCGCTGCAACCGCCGCTGCCTCTGCTGGAACCCCGTCACGCCGTCGTGACGAAAGGGACTCGCTTCGCCTCCCTACGAGCCGTCGCCGAGCACTCCGCCGGAGTCTCTCGACTCCTGGTTCGACTGCCGCCTCTTCCTCCGGAACTCCACCATAAACTCGCCGGGGCCGCCCTCCGCCGCTCCGCCCAGTCGCTGGCCGTTCGCCGACGAACGCCAACCTGCCGCCGACGTCGGGAGAGACTCTGATGCCGTGTCGACGAGCCAGATCCAGTCCCAGCTCCTCACAGGCCCTGCCGGAGTTTCCCGACGATTCCCCGCCGCCGTCGCGCCGTTTCCAGCGCCGCTGACGCTCGGCCTTCCCGCCGAAGCGCCGCGGACGCTCGGCATTCCCGCCGAAGCGCCGCTGACGCTCGGCATTCCTGCCGAAGCGCCGCTGACGCTCGGCCTTCCCGCCGAAGCGCCGCCAACGCTCGGCATTCCTGCCGAAGCGCCGCAGACGCTCGGCCTTCCCGCCGAAGCGCTGCCGCCGCGCGCGCCCCGCGTGCCGGCTCCTGCGGCCCGCGCGCCTACCCGGCGCCACTGGCCGCGCGCGCCCGCTAGCGTGCCCTTCGGCCCACCAGCGGGCCCACGCCCGCGCCGACCGTGCCCCGCCTTTAGTTGACGACTTCTGCGACTCTCGAACAGGACCGACCGTCGACGCTCAGCATCGCTCTTCACCGGACGTCTCTGCCTTCGTTGAATCTCCGCTCCGTCACGACCCGCTGGGCTACGCAGCCCCGAAAGTTAGCTCTGTACCCCTTCCTCTTAAGTTTAATTATCTCTCGAAGGGTTTTCTCAGCTTGTCTCCACCGCCATCAAGAGAATGTAGACAGGATAGGACGATTATCGGATCGTGACTTCCGACGCTGTGCCAGATTCGTCACTATTTGTGAGCTGCAGCCCTAGGCTACCTCACGACGACAGTTCCGCCATCTGTCCGGACGTGGACCGAGAGGGCCTCAATAAGAACAGTTTACTACTTTACTATCTAAGATTCAATAAGAAAATTTGGAAGAAGTTTTAGTGAGTGAAAAAGTTATTGCTTTTATGAAAAAGAATTGAGAAATATAAATTCTTGATGTTAGTACCTTGGAAAACAAAAGTATCTTTCGTAAAACTAAAGGAAAGTTTTCAAAAATATTAAATGAGGATGAAAACATTGTTAGGAATAAGGATAGATTGGTAGGTCAAGGATATATTTAAATACATGAATAAATGGATGAAACCTAAGCACTAGTGCCTACTACAAGACCATCATTTCATATTAAATTGGTGTGAAAAATGATTTCTCAACAATGAAATTATAAAACATGTGGGTCAAACCCTTGATCTTATAAGTTCAGAGCATCCTAATTATGCTCTAAAATTGTTTAAAGCCTTTTATGGTGAGAAACAAGAGTCTAGAGCTTACTATAAGACATGGACACAATTCTTTTAGGAAACAGCAGTAATGTATCAGGATGAATGATTGTCTTAGTCGTTGCATAAAGAGATGTCAAATTTAATATTCATGAAATGATTAATTTCATAGATGTATTGAGGAAAAATTGATTTCTAAGTTTTTTATTTGTGATTCTGCTCAAATCTCTTCCTCTACTTGTCCCTAGTCTAAACAGAGGAAAAAACATATTATTATCAATCTTTTGCATGATTCTTTTAAAAAAATTATTTTATATTAGTTCTATTTTAATTCATAAACAATATCATGCATAATAAAACTAGTGAATTCACCCTATATTTCAAGCTTGTGCATTGCCTCATCCCAATTGTCCAAAGGGTATTTTTTTTATTTTTAATATGTTTTAATTTCAGTTTTGTAATATTTTGTTACTTAATTGATTATACACCCATTTTCAGCCCTTGGTCTTCTTGTTTTCACAATTGGTTTTGTCTAGTTTCCCTAAGACATGTGGTTCATTTCCGTGCTAGTGGTACAACCCACTGGTGGAGTCATTTCTCTATCTCTCTCACTTTACTCTCTTCGTGATCCTCTCTGTCCTTCTCTCTCTCCTCCCCTAGTCTCTTTGGTATTTGTGGACTCTCATAAATGTTTCTTAAAGGTTCAAGCTAAAACTTACTACATATCTAGGACTAATGCAAATAAAGGACAACCAGAGCCGGTTGCAGCTGATCAAGTGCAGAATATCATTTCTCTCTTTGCATTATTTACTTCATTTATTTATTATTCATATTCATATTTATTTAGGGATCAGAAAAGATTATCATCGGATGTTTTATCTTCTTTATGGATATTACCTAAAGCCACCATAGCTACTTGATTTAGATTATTGTCAATTAAGTTTTATAAATATTTAATTTGTCATCTCTTCATACAATGACTAAGAAACAATCATTTATCATCCTAAATTAAATCATTTCATAACAAGATCATTATGACCTTATATCAAGCTCTAGACTCTTGTTTATGATCATTAAAGGTTTTAAACAGTTTTAGAGCACAACTCGGATGTTCATAACTTTTAAACAAACACTTTTTGTTAATTTCATAATTGGGAAATCATTTTTCACAATAAATTCATAGAAAAAGATGGTCTTGTAACAGGCACTAGTGCTTACGCTTCATCCATTTGTTATTGTAATAGGCACTCATAGGAAGTTTTCTTACCTATGGGTTTGGTCATAATTCTATTAGTGAATGGTATAACATACAACATTTCTCACCTCACTCAAAAATATTAAGACAAAGTATTATTTACCAATGCAACAGTTTGAATTTCGAATAGTCTAAACAACAGTTTGTTGGGTAGTCAGCATTAAAAAATTAATCTATTATGTTGTGATCCTAACATTATTCTAAACCTTCATGTTATTGCATTTTAAGAAAAACATACAGGTAGTAGAAACTTTTACAAGAAACTATCATTTTGATTATTTCTAGAAACAAAACGTACCCATTGCCATATTTGTTCATGCTCACTAACTAAGAAGACGAGTAGAACAAACTTTCTCAATACTAATGATCTTCCAATGGACATCCAAACCAGTCTACAACGGGTCTACAAGATTTCTTCGAACAAGTTCAAAAAGGAAACTTTTATGAAGATTTTTTATCAAGATTTTATGAAGATTTGGGAACTCTGTAAACAATTTAAAGATTTGAGGTAATTTCTTGTATTGGATAAAATCAACGCGTGATGAGATGATTTGTGTGATGTTGATTTTATGAAGCTTTGTAGGGATGCCCGTGCGAAATTTCTTGTATTCTGGTGCAGTGGATCCAAAGCTTGGTGCAGGACGTCGGGAAAATGCGTTCTCCCTACGCCGCAGGTGCTAGGAGACAATAACGGCTGCTCTTCATTTTCTGAAGGGTTTATCTGGGCTGCAACTACAACAGACATGTGCTCGATCACATCTCCTCCCGAGACAGATACATACTTCAGATTGCACAGTTAAGCATTCAATGGCCTGATGGACCATTACATGAGCATCTGCATGATCAAATGATTGCTCGAGGACTAGCAAGTGAGCTATTGGATTAGAAACTGGGCCCTGTCTATGGACTCGACAGTGGGGGATCTCTCTCTCTCTCTCTCTCTCTCTCTCTCTCTCTCTCTCTCTCTCTGATTCTCTCTTATTCTCCACGAAGATTAGTTTTTAAGAAAAGCAGAGCTAAGAACGGGTCTCTAGAAGTATATTTGGGCATCAAACGACTATACTTAAGTTCAAAGTATAGATCTTGGGAACGAATTTCGTGAACAGAGTCTTGAAAAGAAAATTTTATTCGAACAAATAGAATTCTGGAAATGGATCGGTCATCCCGATTAGCATCGGCGGGTACACTACAGCAGGAGTCAGGAACAGGGTAGACGGCGGGTGGAGAGCGCATATCAGGAAGAGCTCCTCCTCCTCCTCCTCCTCCTCTTCCTCCTCCTCCTCCTCCTCCTCCTCCTCCTCCTCCTCCTCGTCCTCCTCCTCCCCCTGCTGCTGCTGTGTTTCCTCCCAGCACTGGGGTAGGATTCTCTCCTCCTCTATGCCGTGGAGGATGCCCTCCAGCTCTTCCTCGCTCCCGCTTAGTTGCTCCATTTGAACCTCGAAGACAGCCGCCGTCATCAGGGCGTCGAACCCGGCTTGGTGCGCCGCACCCCCCTCCGGCTTCACGCCGACAGTCTCCGCGAGCCGGCCCAGGCCGAGATAGAACCCTCCGCAGAACCTGGCCAGGTACTTCACGTCGATGATCCTGCCGAGGGTGGCCCCCACCAGCTGGGCGAACCCGGGGAGCGTCGGCGGCAACGGTCCCCCGGTGAGGAGCTTCACCAGGTATGCGATGTCGTAAAGGCCCTGGAACGTGATCCATCGGGGCTTGCGCCGTCCCACCCAGTCGCATCGCCACAGTAACTCGGAGAAGACCTCCGAGTCCACCCCTTCTCTTCTGGTCCTGCATAAATCAATGCCGCTCCTCTTCAGCAGCTCCACCGACGCCTCTGATCGCGCATCCGACGCAGAGGCAAGGTCGAAGTCGCGGAAGCTTATCTGCCAGGTTCGCCGCCGCCCGCCGTCGCCGAAGAAGCAGAGCCCGAGCTGGATGAGCTTCATATTGTCCACATTCCGCCTGACGTCTTGGTAGCGCTCGCTGGAGGACGCGAACCGAGGGGTCTGGTGGAGGAACCCCGGGAACTCCGTGTCCATCGCCACGAAGGTGGCCGAGTCGAGCGCCTCCAGGATCCCGGGCAGCTCCATCCCCATATTCCACCCCCACACCTCCTTCACCTCCTCCCGCGCCGTCACCACCGTCCCGCTGTGTCCTCCGCCTGCGTCCATCTCTCTCTCTATCTCTGTCTCTCAGCCCTGCGCTCCCGCAAGCCTAGTTCCCGCTTCCTTCTTGCCGTTTCTCGGAGAGCGACGATCTTGAGTGGGGAGCAGACGGGGATGGAAGGCCCCGTCTTTTATAGCGGGTGTCCGGCGGCGCCTCCCTTTCGATTCCGAGATGCAAGGAGCAGAAACCGGCTCTCCGAGATAGAAGGGGCAGTGGTTTCCTTTTCTTAGTAGCTTCCTTCGCCGAGATCTACGCAGATTGCGTAGTTAGCCGTTGCCCCTGCCCCCGCCCCCGCCCACCATACGAATTTTGGCGCGGACCGTTGGAAGTTTGGGCCTTGAATGCAAACGTGTAGTCCGAATCCCGTCGGGTTGGTGTGAAATAAGCCGATTAATCTTCGGCCCACCCGCAGAGTCCCCCCTGCCCTCTCTCTCCCCGCCTGCCTAGAGACTCACCCTCTACAGCTCAGACTAGGACTGCCGTGCGAAGCAAAACAGGCCGTCAACCACTACAGCACCGGGCGAGAAAATCAAGCAGCCTCTCAACGTCTGCAATCATCTACTGTAATAGAGAAACAGTTTGGGAATGGAAGTCAGAGCAGTAGTGATAGAAGAAAGAGAAATCTGAGAGGCAGCTAGCGCAGTTCGCCTCACACACCCGGTCGTGCAGACGTCGGCGCAACCGCTTGATGAGCTGGTGGTGGCGGCGCAACCGGCCTGAGGAGGAGGTGGTGGCGGGGGCGGTGGAGCGTCTCCCTCTGCTTCTTGCTCTTCTTCTCCTTCAGGCATCCGGATTCCACCGCAACGGACCACGTTGTAAAAAAACAGAAACTTTTCTCTTGCGAGTCAGCCCCTACCAACGCCTATAAATGGATCTTTCAGTCTCTATTTGGCAAAGGGCACTTAGAAGTTGGCAAGAGAGTGAGTAGCCATGGATATCGCTGGAAGACTTGAGAGAATTGAGCAAGCTCCAGAAGCTGGAAGACGAAGAGCCCCAAAAGGCGCCTTTCAATGTCGAGAAGAAACTCTCCCCCGATCACTTCATCGGGTTCATCAGAATGGGGTGCGAGAGGATTAGATGGCCCAGCCGCCTCTCCTGAGGCACGGTCCCAGGAGCAGGTTGACTAAGAGCTGCGCCTGCCCCTGGTGTTTCCGAAGCACATAGAATTCAGGAAGCGGCGGGAACACTACAGCAAGAGTCAGGAACAGGGTAGACGGCGGGTGGAGAGGGCATATCAGGAGGAGGAGCTCCACTTCGTCGCCCTGCTCTGTTTCCTCCGAGGACTGGGCTGGGATCCTCTCCTCCTCTTTGCCGTGGAGGATACCCTTGTTTTGATATATCTTAATATCTAAGTTTTCTTCCTCGCTTTGTATTTCTCTTCTCTGTTTCTCCTGTCACCTCTGGCAGGCAACGGGTTTACGCCATTACTTCTAGTTCAATCTCTATGTTTTCTTCTTCACTTTGTATTTCTCTTCTCTGTTCCAAGTTGCTACATAACATTATTTATGTACTCATATTTAGATGATTATCTCTGTTGGAAAATAGTTTAATTAACATTCATGCATAGACATGTGCTCTTTGATAATCACGACAGGATCTAAGTGAAGTTCACTTGTGGAGTGATTGATGTAAATTTGACTTTTTGTCGCACAATGCCCTTAAATTTGTGATCCCTTGTAGGCTGTTATGAATATCCATTGGAAGATCAGTAGTGCTGAGAATTATTCTACTTCACACTTCTTAGTCGGCAACTATGAGCAAATATGGAATTGCCTATGGGTTTTTCTTAAATTCGAGTAACATTATTTTTTTATAATATTGTTAAGATCACAATGTAACACTAACTTTGCAGTGTCAAGACCTCCCAACAAACTGTTGTTTAGAGGAAGAATAGATCACGACTAGAAATCTCAATTATCATGTTGGCAAATAACAATTAGCCTCAATATTTCTTAGTGAAATCATAAATATGTTCAAATATGTTCAAACTCATAGTTAGCAAAACTTCCTACAAGCTATTTAAAGGGAAGGAATCAAACATTATTATTTTTTATCATTTTGATGCAAATATCTTATATTATTTAATAGTACACTGAAGAAAAGGAATTTCAATACTTAGATTGATGATGGATTTTTTTTTTGGAGATTATGAAAACTTGATCTTTTAGAGCTTATGAAAAAAAGGCATTCCTCAAGAAAATCATAAATGTGAGAAACTTCAAACAAAATTTGAAATATGCCCTGAATGTGGATAATAGAGAATTATTACGCCTAGTGTGATGTTACGTTGGTTTCCCCGGGTTGTCCTGGGTTGATCCTGCATATTGGTACGCTTGCCTGTACTTAGGTTACGTGATCAGACCTAGAGTCTAGGGTCCAGACATTCTTATTAGATTGGTCCGACTACCCCATCCCGAGTCTCGAGTTTCATTGATTAGGTACAAGGGTTCTCACCTTGTCCTGTATCAAATTGGTATCAGAGCCAAGTTAGGTTACCACCTAACCTCGGTCCCCTGAGGACGCTCACCGAGCCTCCATACCCCTAATCAACCATTCATATAGGATTGCATTGGCATCTAGGCACTCATAAGACCCAGCCATGGTAGAGACATGCTCAGCCAGAGCTCGAGGAGGTTCACCATCGTCACGGCACTCGCGCGAGGCCTTAGATCCCACTACTCCCCCAGTAGCTAGAGTGGACACGAGTCCACCATCTCCGTCGAGACCAACGGATTCGGTACCAGACCCCTCCCGACCCCAGGAGACTCCGAGCCCTATGTCAGCTGGAGAGGCATCAGGGCGGCCCCAGCCGCCTGCAACTACAAGCCGCCGAGCTGGGAAGGAATCCACGCCCTACTATCTACCGAAGAGTACTAGGGGTCGTGGTAGAGGTGGCCGCCGGCAACCTTCGCCCCGGTACCCTTCAAGGGATGGAGCGCGCTCCCTCCGAAATGATGCCATATATAGTATGACTGACGTGACTCAGTCGTTGTATATTAAATCACGCAAATATAAAATTTATAAAACTAGAAAATATGAATTTTCAGATATTTAGAAGTATTTCTGAATAAATATATCAATTATAATTTAATAAAACTTCCAAAAATAGCATTAATTTTCTAGGTCGATCACAGAGATGTAATATAATATCTGGTAATTATTCAGATTTTTTCTCAATGAATACTATTTTCTATGAATTTTATACTAGGAAATGAAAAGGAAATATATTTAAAATTCACGAAAAAGGGAAATAAGGGTGCGGACATCAGGATGACGTCAGCACCCGACGAACGCGAATCGGGCAGAAATAGAGTTCCACCCGACGATTCTTACGTAAGTGATTACAAACGATTTAATTAATCAAATTAAGATCTGTAAAAGCCAGAAGAATCGTAATAGAATAAAGTATATTTTGGTAAATTAAAATCACAAAAACTATCACTAAATGAAGTGTAAAGTAAGTTTGAAAGTAGGAAAATAGAGTTCCGGCGTCGCGACGGCGATGCGTCGGCGATGCACCGGAATCCTGAGCGTTTGGGAGGATCGTCGTGCAGTGTCCACGGCCTCGAAGGCTCTCCTTGGGCAAAGACGACGTGGACAATCTCTAGATCTTCTCGCGAAGTCTAGAAATTAATGAAATGGGTCGCCGAGTCGTCTCCGGCGGCTGTCACCCGGCGGAGCGGAAAAACGGCGACTTTGCGGCTCTCTGGCGGCTGTCACCTGACGGAGAGGAGTTGGATGGAGGTGGGGCGCATGTCAGGGAGCTTCATCCTCAGGTCCGCACAGTAAGAGGAGGCTCTTCATCGCATCTGGTACGCTCTCAGGAGGTGGCGACTCGTCTCCTGGCGGATCGTCCTCTTTCCAACGACGGCTTGTTCGTCGATCAATCGGAGATGATTTACTCGATGGATTTGCAATCCTTTTATCGCGAATCGTTCAGCAATTTTAGTAGCAATGCTCCGCGAATCGCGTTGACGAGATTTTCGCCGATGATCCAGCGATTCTAGTTGCTTAATCCTTCACCGGCGATCTGCAGGAAAGTCGCGATAATCAGATAAAAATATATGAATTTTGACTCTGGGAGGATTCGAACCCGCGCCGGTTGTCCGCCCCTTCTGAGGAAGGTGTGACGCGGGTTTAGTCTCACATCGGTTGTGTGCCGATTTTTCAGGTGAATATAAAGTAATGTTACATTTTTAAGCAATAAAGTTCCTTCTCTCGCGTGTACGACCACTCCTTGCCCCACAGCCGGCTGGCCACCGGTGACGTGGAAGGGGAGTGGGCGCACTCGTGCCCCTATCAGTCCAAGCCGCTCGAGCCCCTACTCGCGGCTATTCCCTGACTGAGCTTCCGACCCGCTTGCGGGCCCGGCTGGCCGGCAGGTCCCCCTCATTTTGCAATATTTCAGTTTTATTTCTTTTTCTTCATTTATCTCAAAAGTAAGACTGTAAAACTCATATAAAGTCGTATAAAATCACATAATTACCCAAAAAATCACATTAGTCAACTGAAAACCACTTTTCACACTTTAACACAAATATAAGTCTATTTATCACGAGTTAAGGCTAAAACTATATTATTTACTAATTATTAACTCATGATAATCAAGACTTATCAATGACCCAGGCTATTGAGCATCTGGAGTGAGCTACCTTTGTAGCCGCAGCTCATGGCCCACCACCATCGGCTCCACCGCCAGTTGCATATCCAGTCGCACCACCGACCGCACCGCCTGTTACACAGACATATCAGGAGCATTGTGAGCCCCACCGGCCCGTGAGCCCCTATAGTGATCCATATGATCACTAGTACCTCGATCACAATCATCGTCGAGGGAATCTTCGTCGCGATGATGGCCACAATCGATTGGGCGGTCGTTGGCCACAGGATACTTATGATTGCCGCGAGCCGGTCTACCCTGCTCGTAGGGACGATCTCTCACGCCTGCCACCACCACCACCCCGACCCCACTACGAGGACTATCGACCCCACGGACGTGACCAGGGACACGACAGGAGAGACTTTTGGGTTATAGAGCTGACCCTTCCCGATGAGAGGAGCTCGATCGGCGAGCAGAGCGTCAGCCACGAGATCGTGATGATTCCTACCGCGACTACCAGCGTGCTCCGGACTTTCATCGAGCACCCCAAGACGCCCACCAGGATCGTTACTATGATCAAGGGCGTTACCCGAGTCCTCCCCACCGTGACTTTGGTGGTGACCATAGGGCCGATTGATTGGATGATCGGGATAGGCAACGTGAGGATCACAAGGCCCGCATACTGAAAAGTGTGCGTGCCAATGTGGCAGTCTTTGACGGCTCCCATGAGCCCAAGGACTTCATAGATTGGGAGTCTAGTTTGAACTCCTATTTTCGGTGGTAACGCATGGATGATGATTTATGTAGGGAGTATGCGGAGATGAGACTTGGCGGATAGGCCAAGATCTTTTAGGAGAACAAGAGCTATGCGGCACACCGACGAGGGCAGCCCATCACATCATGGGTTGATATGGCATCATGCTTGAGGAACAAGTATGTTCCTCGACAGTACGAGTCGATGCTATTAGACCTTTGACAAGGCAAGATGCTCGTCCAAGACTACGTTCAGGCTTTTGAGGAGTGCCGCATGAGGTGTCACTTTGTCGAGGACTCACGTGTGGTTTTGGGTATTTTCACCCACAGACTTAGTCCGCGGCTTCGAAATGAGTTGCTGAAAAGTAACCCGTTTGAAGTAGACGAGGCCTACCGCATAGTAGAGCATATGGAGCGACCCGCTGAGGACACAGTTCACCCCACCTCCGCTCACCATAAAGATCATGTCCATGCGATCTGCACAGACACTGACGACAGCACCGATGCATACTAGCATAGGGAACGGATGGATTACACCGGCGACATCAATAGGGTCTGCACCACCCCTGCGTCCGCCACCAGCCGACGCATCCGACCATGCTACGGCTGCATCCCAAGCCCATATCACTTATTTCAAGTGTAAGGGTAAGGGGCACTAGATGAGCCAATACCCATCTTTGAATCTCCTCATAGAGATCGAAGAATTGGGTAGTGGTTCACATGAGGATGACGTCCCCGTAGGTGATGATGTCTACATTGCTGATGAGGGTTTGGCCGAGGAGTGTGATGACACCCCTGATTTGATTGGCTACATTCAGATCCGGCCAGCCACTATACCAGCAGCTGAGATTGCCTCTCTCGCTACCTCATCGACGAGCACGTCTTCAAGGGGACTGGTCAGCATCGCTGTTCAGCATCCATCTTGAGACGCGGTTCCTGCACCACAGCCAGACACCACGGTAGTTAGAGAGATCATCCCGGCACCGAGGATGACTATGCCCACATCTTCACCTACGATAGACAATTCCCTTCGCACGTCGATCTTCTACACCTATGTGAAGATCAACGGACACGCATGCAAGGTGATCGTGGACAACGGCAGTTGCATCAATGCCGTGTCAGACTAGGTCTTGCAGAGGGCAGGGCTGAGTATTATTAGCCATCCAGCCCCTTACGATGTATCGTGCATAGACGCCACCGCACTATCTATCTGTCGACAATGTTAGGTGCCACTTAAGGTACGAGCACTTTTGGATGGTCCATCTCGAGATCATAAGGACTTGTGGTCAACGAATGTCTGTTCTTTAGGAGCAGACTATGCGTTCCAAGCACATCCCCCCGTGACTTCCTCACTTGGGAATGTCACGTAGGAGGTCTATCCTGTCATTTTGGTCGTGATAAGACCATCGCAGTGGTTGAGTACTAGTTCTACTGGCCGACCCTCAAGCGCGATGTAGGGAACATTGTCGCTCAATGTCGAGTGTGCGCACTCGCCAAGCAGGTAAAGAAGAATGCTGGACTCTACACGCCACTTCTAGTGCCAATCCACCCATGAGACGACGTCAGCATGGACTTCGTTTTGGGACTTCCGCGCACTACACGATGACATGACTCGATCATGGTGGTCGTCGATTGGTTTTCAAAGATGGCACACTTCGTGCCATGTTCGAAAATCTCTAACGCCTCCAAGGTTGCTAGCCTCTACCTTAGAGAGATTGTGCACCTTCAAGGACTACCCAAGTCCATAGTCTCAGACCGTGATGTACGGTTTACCAGCCACTTTTGAAGGACTCTTTGGAGTTTACTTGGGACTAAGCTTAAGTTCTCCACTGCTTACCATCCACAGATTGACGGCCAGACTGAGGTCATCAATCGTAGCTTGGGCAATCTACTTCGGTCATTACTCGGCGAGAGCTTGACCACTTGGGATCTGATCATACCACGCGCCGAGTCTACCTATAACTCCTTGACCACCCGTACCACTAGCATGAGCCCCTTCGAGATCGCACACGGCTTAGCACCACGTAAGCCCCTAGATCTAGTACCCCTGGACCCTCATGTTAGAGTTTCTGAGGATGGTGTCGCATTCGCCCAGCATGTTAGTCAGTTGCATCAGGACATCCACGATAAGATACAGAGTCAGAATGCATTGTACAAGCAGGCTACCGATATGCATCGTCAACCCTAGATCTTCCAGGTGGGAGACCAAGTTATGGTGAGGATGAGGCCCGAGCATTACGCTCTTGGCTCTGCTACGAAGCTTCACACTCATAGCGCCGGCCCATTTCGTGTTCTTTCCCAGATAGGCGAGAACGCCTATGTCATCGGCATCCCTCCTTCATGGGGGATTAGCTCCACATTCAATGTGGTGGATTTGGCGTCGCACCAAGCCCCACCTCTTTCATCTGACATCGAGCCCTCATCTACTGGCCCCTTCTCTAAGAGAGAGTTTGCCATGGAGTCCACTCCCCCCATTTTACCACCTGATTGGCACGAGCGAGTCAAGGAGATTCTTCGGGAGGTAATTGACTTTATAGGAGACGGAGTTTCGCGGAGATTCCTAGTATGTTGGTAGGGTCGCCTGTCGGAGGATGATGCTTGGATTTTAGAGGCGGACCTAGAGCGACTATGACCAGACCTGCTGGAGCCCCTGCCTTCCCCACTTGCCAACTCGTCAGAGTCAAATTCTTTCGACCCCGGGAGGATTGATGGCGAGCATGACCTGTCTCCATCAGCTCAGGAGTTACTAGTAGTCTGAGTTCAGCCTGATCGACACGCGAAGACGAATGGGCCTAGCTTTCGCTACACGGCCTAGTCCTTCGGGACAATGACATTCCACCTCCACGACGACGACGAGCTCGAGCTCACCCTTATCTTTCTTTGTATTTTCATGTTGACTTGTTGGGCCTCACATTTGTGTGTTAGCGGGCCCAATTCTATGTGTGTGTTGTTGTTTGTGTCTCCCTTTCTTTAGGGTTTTATTGGGTCTCTCTTTTGAGGCCCAATTAAAACCCTAAGGGGGGGACCTATGTGTCTTTCCTTTTGGTCCTCATTTGGGGCTTATTTGGGTCTTCATTTGAGGCTCACTTAAGCACCGTAAGAGGGCCCTCCTCTTTCTCCTTTTAGGGGAGCTTATTGGGTCTCTCTTTAAGAGGCCCAATAAGCCCCTTTTGTAGCCTTTTGTGGCTTATGGGCTTGAGGGCCTCAAGTGGGCCCACCTCCCCTTAGCCCACTTATGGGCCCCATATAAGGGGAGGTAGGACCCCCCCTCAAGAAGAGCGCCGCATTTTGTAAGAAATTATCGTTTTGTGAGATACCCCTTTCGTGACCTAGGATAGGGAAGGAAGGAGGGAGAGGAAGGTCGTCGATACCCCGAGGACTTCGTTCCTCGTGACGCTGCTGCCGGAGAAGCCCCGCCGCCGCCTGAGACCACGGCCGCCGCCGGACATCCCCTTGCCGCCAGTGAGATCGCCGCCGTCACCGGACGAAACGGTCGCGGTTGCCACTGCAACCGCCGCTGCCTCTGCTGGAACCCCGTCACGCCGTCGTGACGAAAGGGACTCGCTTCGCCTCCCTACGAGCCGTCGCCGAGCACTCCGCCGGAGTCTCTCGACTCCTGGTTCGACTGCCGCCTCTTCCTCCGGAACTCCACCATAAACTCGCCGGGGCCGTCCTCCGCCGCTCCGCCCAGTCGCTGGCCGTTCGCCGACGAATGCCAACTTGCCGCCGACGTCGGGAGAGACTCTGATGCCGTGTCGACGAGCCAGGTCCAGTCCCAGCTCCTCACAGGCCCTGCCGGAGTTTCCCGACGATTCCCCGCCGCCGTCGCGCCGTTTCCAGCGCCGCTGACGCTCGGCCTTCCCGCCGAAGCGCCGCCGACGCTCGGCATTCCCGCCGAAGCGCCGCTGACGCTCGGGATTCCTGCCGAAGCGCCGCAGACGCTCGGCCTTCCCGCCGAAGCGCTGCCGCCACGCGCGCCCCGCGCGCCGGCTCCTACGGCCCGCGCGCTCACCCGGCGCCACTGCCCGCGTGCCCTTGGGCACGCCGCGCGGCTTGCCGCGCGCGCCCGCTAGCGTGCCCTTCGGCCCACCAGCGGGCCCACGCCCGCTAGCGTGCCCTTTGGCCCACCATCGGGCCCACGCCTGCTAGTGTGCCCTTTGGCCCACCAGCGGGCCCACGCCCACATCGACCGTGCCTCACCTTTAGACGGCCACTTCTGCGACTCTCGACCAGGACTGACTGTCGACGTTGAGCATCACTTTTCACCAGACGCTCTACCTTCGTCAAATCTCTGCTCTGTCACGACCTGCCGGGCTATGCAGCCCCGAAGGTTAGCTCCGTACCCCTTCCTCTTAAGTTTAATTATTTCTCGAAGGGTTTTCTTGGCTTGTCTCCACCGCCATCAGGAGAACGTAGACAGGATAGGACGTTTATCTGATCGTGACTTCCGACGCTGCGCTAGATTCGTCACCATTCGTGAGTTGCAGCCCTAAGCTACCTCACAATGACAGTTCCATTGTCTGTCCGGACGTGGACTGAGAGGGCCTCACACTTACCATCGTCTACTATTTTCCTAGGTTGTCCTGGGTTGATCATGTATACTAGTACACCTGTCTGTACTTAGGTTATGTGGTCAGACCTAGAGTCTAGGATCCAGACATTCTTATCGGATTGGTCCAACTACCCCATCCCAGGTCTCGAGTTTCATTGATCAGGTACAAAGGTTCTCATCCCGTACTGCATCATTTTTTTTTTGGTAGGATTTGAACCCTCATTAGTCACTCGTGAGAGAGAGTGAAATAAGTACATGAATACCTTTATAAAGTTACTTCATAAGGGTATCTCCTTCTAATAAACAAAGATATTTTAGGTATTAAAATTATAAAAACCTTCTGAGGAGGTTGTGACCATTGATTTAGTCTTACATCGGTGATATGTTGAATTTTGAGGTGGATATATAGTAATACGAGATTTGGTAATCAATGAGTTCCTTTCTCATGTGTGTATGACCACTTCTTACCCCACACTTAGTTGGCCACCAGTGACGTGGAAGGGGAGTGACGCACACATGTCCCTTGTCAGTTTGTCCTTAGCTGCTCGAGCCCTTGCTTGCGGCTCCACCAAATTGTGCTTCCGACCTACTTGCATGCTCGACTGGTTGGTGGGTTCTCCCTTTTTTCTGTCTTTTTATTTTTCTATATATTTTTTTTAAAAAAAATAATTAAGATTTATATAAGTTTACTTAAAATTATATATTAGTCAAAAATTTATATTAACAAACTAAAAACTACTTTTCATAATTTAACACAAATATAAATCTATTTATCATGAGTTAAGGCTAAAACTATATTATTAATTAATATTAACTCATGATAATGAAGACTTATCATCGAGTCATTAAGAGAAAGAAGTATGATGCTCAACCTAGTGAAATTAGAATAGTGCTTCCTCATTGAAGTTGATGTCAGTCATGATAATTTTCTCCACATTAGAATGAAGATGCAAGAAAAAGAATAATTTTGCATGATAAAATCATTCTTGGGGGTTTGAACTAGAAAAAATTGATAGTTCAAGACAGCAAGTAGTAAGGACCAATCCTCGAAGATGGTTGGAAGGAGGATCTAATGTCTAGGGCAAAGCACTCGTCATGCATCCAATCATTGTCCCTCTCAAGTGGGTGTGGAGGAGTGGGAAAGAATGGAAGCAAGAAAGCTGTCAAAACATGTTGAGAGTTGGGTCAAAGATTGGTGGATTTGTGAGAGGACCTTCGGTGGTGACAAATCATTTATCCAGCAGATTGAAGCATTGTTCTATCTGTGATTTGAGTTCTAAAAAGGTGACAGAGCTGCTACAAAGGTCATCAAGATCTTTTTCCATGCCATCTATTCTCGAGTCGGGTTGCTGGAGTGCCATGGAATCATAGGGCTTTGACACCAAATTGGTAGGTCTTATGAGAATAGTGATAATAATGAATGGAGAGAGACAGGAGGGTTGGGGATAATGAAGTGCGAGAGAGGAAACAAGAGGTCACTATCATCTGTGAACAGTAACTAAGAGTAAAATAAGAAGTCAACAGCTCCAGCTACAGTAAATGGTGATGAACATGTGATGCAGGCTTTTAGTCTTCTGAGAGACTCTTACAAAAATAGAAGAAAAAATAACTAGGGAACACAGTAATTGAGTAGGACACAGAAAGAGAGAGAGAGAGTCAATTGTGCTCACTAATAGGGGGAGGGAGAGAGAGAAATAGAACACAAGTTATCATTCGAGAGGACAATACCCTGAAGGAAAAGGAAGAAATGATAAAACTGAGACTCTTCAAGTGACCCCACACTCCAGACTTTCCACACCCCTCTCTTCATCTTCCAAGGCCTTTAAATAATCGTAAGTGGCTTATCAGATGAAGTCTTCTAGCGATCTCTTCAATTGTTTGGCGATGTGGCTGCATAGGGAGGTGGAACAAGCAGAGGATGAGGGCGTCTGTTTGATTGTTTCCACTGAGGAATGTGGAGAGCAGTTAGTGGCCCATCAATTTCTCATCCTGCAGCCTAACAATCATAGTTGTTGATGGTTGGTAGAGAAGTATCATTTTGTGGCAACTAGTAGGACTCTGCAGCCCACTATTAGAAGTGACAGAAACCTCTCTAGAATATTTTCTTACAAATGGGAGACCTTCTAAGGTGGAGAGAGCCCAGAGACTGCTGGCTGGAGTTTTATGTGAGATTCATAGGGGGGAACTAATGTGGATAAACTAGAATTGATTCTTTCACCAATTCTTTTAAAAAACAATGTTTTATGTTATTAAATTAAAATTTGTGTTCTTTTGCAAATACCCTTGTAACTAGGCCATAAATTAGTAACGAGTTCCATATTAGTTTCAAGCATTTCAGAATAACTCCACAAAAATATGCTTTGACATAGAAAGAAAATGTAATTAAAGTCTCACTAGGCAAAGTTGACAAAATCCATGAAATTCTTTTATATTACATCACATATTTTTAGTTTTCTATAAAAGATAAAAATCTATAATTTTGTGTGTGGTAGGAAACGTAAAGAAAAAAGCTAGTAGATAGAGAAGCGGAGTATTTCCACAAGATGGTTGTACCAACAAAGATAAAGAGGAGGGAGTGTGTATGTGTGCGGTACAGGTACAAAATCAACTTCCTTATAAAATTGCCATTAAGTATC